CATTCAGCAGAGATAGAACAAAGAACAAGCATACAACAGAGATAGCAGACCAACAAAGACCAGACTAGCAGCAGCAACATCAATAGCAACACCAGTAGCAAGAACACCAGTAGCAAGAACAGCAGCACCATAGAAAAACCGAATAACGAGCGTCACCAGAGACTAGACAACGACTAAAGAAGGAACCGCCAAAGATAGAGACCAAAAAAGCAACAGCCAGACATAATGAACCAAAGAAGCAGACAGCAGAGGAGGTGGCAGAGAAGTAATGGCAGCAGCACCCACATCAAACAGGTAAAACAAATTATCGAAACCTAATAAACAAATTCGATTATTAGTACTTGTTCTATATCTTTCTGTGCTCGTTATCGAATGGTACCTATTATATTCCAATTCAAAGAAGCAGTATCAAGTACCTTTAACAGTGCAAGGCCGTGTTATCAGATGATAGAGTGTTATTTTAAATCAAAAGGGTTCCAAAATCAACATGGTTTGATACTGAGCGCGTTTTGGAAAAAGGGTGAAAAAAACGTTGGTATGAAAAAATGAGAGGGCGCCCTATCCAACGTCACAGCCAGTAGATTCGGCCTCAGTCTTCTGTCACAGTAGCTGTCGCTGCGGCACTCAAATTTGAAATTGTGCAGTGGGGGTATTTTCGTGTTCAAATTTGACGTGATCTGACATTCTTTAAACGTTGTTGTTAAATTCGACTATGAAAATTATCGTTGTTATACTTTACTTTCTAATGCATTCACAAAGAGTCAATGAAGGTGCACCGAGTGATGCTGGTTACATTTAGCTTTCAGACCGAAAATAATGAGCAATTTGCAAAAATATGAAAACAAGTTTTCTATGGATATGTCAAAATTCAACATATATAAGTCTCATAGAAAGAGGTTTCAGCGTTGCATTCCATCTTTACGATCAATTTGATCTGATATATATCTTAAGAAAAGTCTTCATTTTCGAGGTGAAAAACGCAATCGTTTGATTTTTAAGAATTTCCCCTTACTAGTACACACGAAAAATATGAGGATTTTCATGAATTTGCAATGACCCAAAAAAATTTGAGATAAAACATCAGTAAGTAAGGCGTATCAAAGGAGAGCCGTTTGGTGTTATTCCTAGCGTACAGAACGTTTTGTGGCATGAGTTATTCGTGTTTGAAAATGGCTAGATTTGGACAGAATTTGATCTATAAACAAGGCGTAGTATGTTTTGCGGCCAAAGAAGTAAGAAGATTGCAGGTCTGTCTAATGCTCCTGATGTTCTGCATTGTACGGAGCTCAATACCTAAGTTATCGACGCTTTTATTCTAATTCTGAGGCTCTGACCTGTCTGATTTTTTATCAAAAATAAATTATTTATAAAAAAGAGTATGAAATTAATCAGGTAAAGAATATCGTTTATTACATTGAAAATAAGAGGGCTTATATATTATTCGAATTGAGGGATTTGATGTGAAGATAGGGTATTAGATGGGTTGATTTGGGTGATAGGATAATAGATCCAATCTATTATCCTGAACATGCCATGATATGGATCGTAACTGAATCCTGTTTCTTGTCAAAGTTTATGATCTGATGTGATCGGTGCTTGAACTGCTTGTTTCTACGCATTTGGAGAACCGGTTTAGAAATGATGCATCACTGTCTTTTTGAAATGCGCGATTTCAGTATTAGCTTTAAAGTTTGAGTGTCAATGATACACTGCAAAAGTTGAATCTCACGGCTTATTCTGATTGACCAAGATGCTTGTCAGGTCAGCAGGGCACCTTTGATGATCGTTCACAACAGATACTACTGTGTATCTAACCTTAAAGCTAAATTTAAAGTCTATCCACGATGTTGTTAAACACTCATATTTTCGGGAAAATGGCCGGTACCTGACAGGCTGAGTTGGTGTCAGCACGATTAGGTAGATCAAACAACGAAACCTTGTTTCAAAGTCGAGCTAAAAGCAGAGATTCATGATACCTACAAATTCTGTGATACAAGAATTGACATCAATAAATCATAGTTAAATGACGGGTTTGAATAGTTTCAAGGAGCTACACTGCCGAAAAGGTTATACCTCTTTAAATTCATAAAAAACGATCGCTCAAAACTAACTTTCGTTATATTGACGCATATGCAGTTTTTTGACCATTTCTACTAGCCATACCACGCTTTGCACTTATTTTATAGACTTGAGCACCGTATGGAGGTTTCTATACTTTTGTTATTATTAAAGGAAAACATGTCTCGCCACTATGAGCTCCAATTTGAGGACTAGAACCCAATTTTTGAAAGGAAACATCGCAATAGTAGGTTCCCAGACGAGATCTTATTTGGTAGAGCAAACGCAATGGAGCATAATCTAGTTAAAAGAGAAGAAGTGCTGTTGAATTGGCAGTTTTGCATATAATAATGCTTGCCGAAACGCTGGTTTTCTTCATATATATTGGTTCCTTTATACTTTCCTGGCTTAATTATTTGACGACAAATGTAGCGACTGAAAATCACTTTATATGTTAGGAGACCTTTCAACGTGAATATATATGGGCCTTGATATATAAAAAAGGCTCTATTATTAGCATAGAGATTGGAATAGCTGTTCCACCTTTTTCGTAAAATGAGCAGCATTGTTTAGGATATAAATCACCTCTGAGAGGCAAATGTATTATGCGTTGTATAATACAGAACAAGACTCTAGCACGAGCAGAGATGCGTAGTAGATTAAGATCTCTTTATTCAGACAGTACAAAGGAATATGAGTGGTGCTATCAAATGGCTAATCTATATCCTGGTTCTTAAAGTGTGCTGGCCAATGACCTTTCGTCCCTGAAAGTGGAATTGAATTCTGACAAATGCTCTTCCATCAAATCTACTAGGAAGAACACTTTATTTTGGATCATCTTTGTTGTTTGTTTTTAACTGGTAGTCTATGAGCTCTTACGCAGCACATTATTCTCGTTAACTGGTTCAAGGTTTTTTATAATTTATCCCGTATTCAAGACTCAGGTCCTATTGCTGTGGCATTGCCAAATAACTATAAATACCTTCTGATCTATCAGAATTACAATATCCGCATTTGGAAATAGATTGACAGATAGCTGTACCTTAAATACCCACGATGACAACATTGAAGCAAACCTTTGTCAAAATAGCAATTTATCTCTGGTACAACGTTTATCACATCTGATAAATTTCAGCGCTTTGATAGTTGAGATGCACTTCAGTTATCATAGTTTGTCCATGTTATTCCACAATGCAGACGCATACATTCATCAAGAGTACCTTATTAACCTTTATAGATACTACTTGTAGCCCTTCTAACACAGCAACAACCAATGTAGCAACTAGAAATTCATTTACATTTTTAGCAACTCTTTGAAGTAAGCATATAACGATCCCAATCCGAAGGCTCTAGCATCAACATAGGGGATTGGAACAGCCATTCTTCTTCTTTGTTGATTGTGCAGCAAGCCTTTGACTCTTGGCCAAACCACAGCGAAACATGTTATCGCCAAACAATTTTGAATAGTACAGTGTTTTGAAACATCTCATCTATGAATCTATCATGCGTAACCACTCGTATTTAAATGGTTCTTATATGAATCTCATTACTCACAGCTGGTTTATGTCAAAAAACTTCTATTTCTCAGCCTTACTTTCTTCCAATGAAAAATCCAACTGCACCATCGATTATTCTTTGGAAAGGTTTGGCTTTAGGAGCTTGGATGGATCAGAAACTGGCATCGTAAATTGTTTTATACATTCAGGATCTGATGCGACGAGGTGAGACATAACATCCCCTCGGCATTGATTAAAATATCCTGTAATCATACTATACATGCCAACTGCCACTATGGTAGCTAGTAATTATGAACAATAAATTTATGTAAAATTTATTATGTTAAACGAGTGTGTCTACAACTTGAATGGCTCTCTACTTTTGCTTCGCTTAGAAAAGAATCAACTTTTGTAGCGGCCAGTCGTGCTATCGATTGCGTTTGTCCGTATTACCAAAAATACTGTCGCCTCCATTTTAACCCTCCTTTTGCATATGAAAAGCCCTTATATTTGTGGAGCTGACTTTTATGCGTTATTCCATGTTTGTATACACGTAAATAAGTTATATACAAGCAAAGAGTATACTGATAATGCCCCTTTCTACTCAAAAGTGCGCCTAATGCAGCAAAAACTGAATGTATTTGAGCTGTATTTTCTCGCGTTAAAAACCCTTTCAGGCAGTCAGAATAGCACTAAAGAATTGCTCTCATCTGGCACTTACTTATTGCCATTATTGTTCAACTTTTTGGGGCCCCAACAAACATGGTCAAAATTGGACCAAAAAACATGAGGAACCCCTCATGGTTTTCATTGAAAATCAAACGATCGCGTTTTTGACCTTGATAGTGAAGACTTTTACTATGGTATTTATTGAATCAAAATGTTTCTATTGATCTAACGTAACCTCTGAAATCATCTTTGAGGAACTTTGATATGTAAAAATTCGACTTTTTGGCCAGAAACCTCTTTTCATATTTTCATAAATTGCTCAATAAGTTTATTCAAAATATCTATCTTACTTGGTACCATTAGATGCGCCATGAAAAGCACTCCAATAATGTATTAGGAAGCATCGAATGATCATTACGTTTTATATAGTCGAATCCTGCAAAATAAATCAATCAAGTCGAAAAACAACAGAAAAATGGCCAATCTGGAGCAGACCGCGAGTCTGAGTTGGAATTACTTTTGGCTAGTGGGGCAGGCTGGCAAACTCAATATCCTTCTAATCATGAAGGCCATACAGTAATAAATGCTGTTGAAACGTATAGAAAGTAGGTGGCGAATTACATAGTACTATCGTTAACCGTGCTATTTTTTTTTGAGCCCTGCATCTAATAACAACAGTCCATGGAAATATTTGTAGCATCAACTTCCTTCCTTTTTTAAGGCTTTGAAAGTGTGTAGGGACAATAAATTTATTATGTCATGATTACAATCAAAGAGCTATTCATCACTAACATATTCTTCGTCGTTTTCTTCCGCAACATCCTCGCCATGCATATCGAGCTTCTTTTGCCTTTCCTCGAGCGATAAATAATACGATTTCATCAGCTCTTTGTACCTTTGCGTTTTCATGAACCTGGGCACAGAATCTTGCGCCATGATACGACAAATATGGGTATTGGCTTGGTCGTATAAATGCAAGATTTTGTAGAGACATGTCTGAGGCGAATCTTGGATGCCATCTCGAATGGATAAAAGCAGCAAGTCATCCACACTTGCTCCACTCGTACCACTGAGATCGCTGCTATTGCCGTTGACACCTGTTCCACCGCCCAGACTGATTTTTTTGGCTCTTCTTTTCCTTCTCCTGAAGGAGGACATGGCAGTTGATGACAGTATACCGTGCGATGACACCGAAATGGAACCAAATGGAACGTTGGAGGCATCAGCCACTACAGCCTTTGTGTTGGCATTTTCCTCGTCTGAAGAGTATACAGTGCTTGTAAATGTAGCTTGCATGTACTGCACAATGTCGTATCGAAGGCCATGATCGATATTCAGCTCGCTTGGTGCATTTTCAGGGCAAAAGTAATTGTTGTAGATGGAGCAACAATGGACAAGCAGCGAGTCACATAGCTTTGACGGCAAAGAGAGAATTTCTTCAGGCCTGATGGTATTCTTGTCTTCACTCACATAGCCTAGCTTCTTGATCAAAGCAGTATAATCAACCCAGAAGTTGATGTTTTCTTCGCAGAAGCATGACTTGAGGAAATGGCGAAAGTGCATGCGGATCAGCGGATCCTCAAGAATGCTTTCAAGCCGAGCATGCTGAGAATTGGGCTGATGTTGTTGACAATGCTCTGACGATGCATACAAGGCAGTGCCGGAATCGCTTCTGTTGTGCAATCTTAGTTGGTCTAATCTTTCCTGCAAATTTTGACCTTCTTCACTTTTGTGATCATCCTCAATGCCTGCCAAAAGCGATGGTGCTGGTAGCGGGACTGTCGTTGCTGCTGAAGATGTCGTTGAAGGTGCTGATGAAAAGCCAAAATCACAAGAATCGTTCTCAATTTGCAGCATGGATTCAGATGAGCAAGTTACTTGCATGTCCTTTGATGAAGCTGGCAAGGGCGTTTGACCAACGACTGATTTTTGTTTGGTGATGATAGCTTTGGGTATGACAATCGTCGAATCGGGCAATGGGGTAACCGCCGTGGTGGGCAACAATCGACTTGCATACTCCTCCTTTTTTGGTTTATTAAGGTTGATTGCTTTTAATGGTGTTTGTGGTGGCGCTGAATTGTTTGTTTTGATGCTGCTACTACTGCTGCCACTGCTTGTTGCTGTGTTGGTGGTGGTTGCGGAACTCTGGGTTCTCGATCTGGAGGATGGAACAGCATGGTGATTGCCATGATTGGACGAGCTGCCATGTAGAAATCGGTTTGCCTCTAGGGTCTGTCTTCCCTTTTCTGTCAAATAGTATTGTGTCCGCTTGTCGTATTTGAACAGTGTCGATTCGTCTTTTCTGACAGAGAGCTTGTCTGATTTGTCCAATATCTGCAGCATCCAGCCGTATTGCACGAATTCAGCAGCAATCATTTCAGATTCCTCACTGGAAACCACACTGGTGTATTCACTGATCCATTCAAAGCATTGATACCCGTAAAATGCGTCCTTGTATTGCGCGACATTCTCATTACTCACGCCTATTATTAGAACACATCAACGCCTAAGGTTTCCTGAAATGACACAAGCAACTTACCAGCGACATCGTCAAACAAAATGGTATCTGTGGGCAGCCACTCCATCATTGTCTTGAATGCTTCAATCATATTTTGTCTGGAAAATGATATCTGGTCGTCATCCAGCAGCCGCTCAAACTGCACGATGGGGAAAGTCTGGATAGGAGCCAAGTGTGGTTGCATGTGCTTGATGGGCACCCGAGCACGACGACTAAAGTCTTGAATCATATATTTGCCCTTGGGCGTAGGTGACCAGATACCGCGATCTTTCATTGTTCGATTCTGTGGATCTGTGGCATTTTCAGTGAGCCGAGCATTTATGAAATGCTGACCTAGCGTTTTCGCCATGGCTCGGGACATGCTGAATGTGGTTGTGGTGCGTGTCAGTATGGGATTACTGGCATCTAGCGGGTTTGGCGTCGATACAAGGTGTGTAAACTCCAAATTGCCTAGACTTTCGACAGCTTCGTCTGTGGTATATGTGGACGGATATGTGCGAAACAAGGATCGGTGGTCTGTCAATGGCTGCTGTATCAGTAACGCTGAATATATATCAAACAGATCCTACGAGAACCATCCAATTTAGACACTGCGCCATGTTTTTTATATTCTGTGTGCGTTTACATACTTTAGCATAAGGTCTCCCTTTGGAGTTGACCCTCATCATGGTCGTGTATGTGGACAATGAAGCAGAATTAGGCATGGTGAATGTACGTGTAAAAGCAAAAGGGGTGAAGAGAAAAAAAGCGAAAGAGAAGCAAAAATCAATCATTTGTTTATTATTGTCAGTTCAGTAAAGGTAACGATAGCAATCATATAAACAACCATTAAACTTGTTTGTGTAGCCATAACAAAAAGTAATCCTATGTTTCTATAAACTTTGAAAACACCTTATCCATGAATGATTTCTTCAATGGTCCCCATGTCACTGTCCATGTCTCTCCGTGCTCAAAATCATCCATGTCCTCCCAGTTCTTGAAGACAGGCGTCTTGTTCAACGGAACCTGTCGTCCCGACGCCGTAGTGATAGATGTGATTTTCCTGGTGCGAAACGTGGCAATGACATGGATCTTTTCTGCAATGGATTCGCCTGTTTCTTTCGGCTCCACTGTGATCCACACGCGATAGTCATCGTTGATGGATTTCACTGTAATCTGTCGTACGTTTTTATTTTCTGCAAAGTATGGCAATAAGGTTTACATAGGGTTAGCTTCGTGTCATAATCAGTGTGCAACTCAAAGATATACCTTCCATCTTGGGCGGATGTTGCTGCAGCTGTGCTTCCACAGCTATTGGCGAGCTGTTTACGCTTGGTAGCTCTTCTGGCTCATCGAGAAATGAAGGTGATGGAGCTGAATAGGTTAGATGACTGGCTTCTATGTAGGGTTGTTGATGGTAAGGAGGGTGGTACATGACATTGAGACCAAGGCTCACTGCTGACATTGGAGTGCACGGCACTTCAGCATAGTGGTTGTTGTGGTCATGTTGCCAGTGCGGGTGATATACTGGTGGGTTAAGCTGGTAATAGGCATCATCGTGAGTGGTATACAATGTCGGCACTTGTGGCAGTGGCTTTCTGTTCTTGGTGGGCGAGCAATCACTGCCATTCATCGACGGCATTTGGATCAATTTTCTTTCATAGCCATCTTGTTGATTGGTTGCATGATGCGAAAGGGTGGATACTTTCCAACCTTCTGCTTCTTCTTGAGTCTCTAAGAGTAAAGGTGAAAAGGACCTTTCATATGTTTGAGGTTGAACAATTGTGCCGAACTGCTGCGAATACATGATGTCTGATGGAGGAAAAAAATTAGTAAAGGGCGAGAAAAGTAGAATAGCTGATAACAGTAGGTCTTTTTATATGCACAGCTGTCTTTTGTTTGCCTTGAACACATGGTGTTGTATCATAACTCGCTGCTTTGTTTACATTCACCCATTAATGACATTTGACAGGGGAAACATAAATCATATTTAAACCGAGATAATTAGCGCCTTACATTATCATAGACATAGAACATCATGTCTTTTTGTTTATTGCCCCATCGCTATTAGTATATATCAATATGCCTGTGTCTGGCACTCTTTAGCGTAAGCCATCTCTCACTTTCATCACTGGATATACAAGCCATGATGGCACACATGAGATGGGATTCATACCATCGACATTGCAGCTGTGTAACACTATCATATACCAGAAAACGTTCCACCAGCAAAAGTATATTTTGATTAGATTAGGAAGGTACGCTCCTGAAGAATGGTGTCAGTGAGATGCCAAGGGCAAGTGCAAGCTTCTTCATAACGGAGCAAGCGCCGAGGAGTTTGTCTATCTCCATCACATCCAAGCATACATATTACTCAGCCCAAGATGGCATTATCGGCCCTCACATTCAGCTAGCCCCAATCATGCAAAATCATGAGAGCTTGTCTGATTATAGAAAATGTCGATGCTATATAGTTTGAGACAGTGCTGCATGTTTATATCATTTATATCTCCTTTGCTGCCGTCAATCGAGTCCGCATTGCTATACCGTAGGCCATGAGCATATGAAATGAGAAAGATATACTCATCATAAGGTAGCAGCAGCCACCTTCAAATGTTAACATGCATTCTAACCACTGACATGGCCAGGTTTCCTTGATGAGGATGGATCGGCCCTCTTCCCAATATCGATTTGATACGTATTGAACATGTTGAATGCCTCACGGCTTATTGATCGTCGTCTCTTCTCGAGCATACAAGAGGTGCGCCGAAATGCCAGCAACAGGCATCAAGAAGACCAAAGCATCATGGTATGTCCTGATTGCTTCCCAAGTCGGAAGTAAAGCGTGATCATATCGGCAGACCTTTTCCCTAATTCCATGTGTCAAAGCTACTGGGGTAAATCCGAACAATAAGATGGTTAGCGGTCTTTCTTTGCTTCTTTTTTTTTTTTTTTTTCTTTTCGCTCATTTAGCCAGCTATCACTCTTTTCTCTCCTTCTTCCTCTTCTTTACACACTATACATCATGAACCCAAAACTCGTAAAGAGCCTTTCATTCAGCAAAAAGACAGACAACAAGCCCAATTCAAAGGGCCTTTTCGGTAAATTAGGCAGCCCATTCAGCACACCATCACAGCCATCTACTCCCGCTGGATCGCCACCTCACATCCATAGCAAGTTTTCCGATCAAACACACACAACGCCTGAGGAGAAGCAATTGTACATGGAGATTGCACAATGTCGAGTTGCATTAGACCACTTTCTCAATTCAAACATCAATGAAGCGGAGGCCATTTTGAAACCCCATTATAAGGATTCCATGTACTTTTCATTGGGATATTCATTCATCCTGTATCTCAAGTCTGTCATGACATTCCAAGAAGACGACATTGAAGCGACTTTGGGCGTCTTGAAGCATACGATTCAACTGGCGGAAAATCTTCGCAAGAAGGAAACTGGCTGGCTTGGTAGTGTCACCAGTTGGGTCAAAGGCACAACATTGGAGGATGTCAAGAGTATGACAGCCGTTGAACGCCATGCCGTAAGGTTTCAGAAAAAAAAAAGAGACAGACAATGGACAAGTGAAACTTATTCTTTCATGTATAGGAACTGGTCCACGCCGAAGCTTATTTGCTCAAAGCATTACTCAGCATTATCCACGATGAAAGTGTCATGTCATTTCTGCGAGAGAGCTTAAACATCCGCAGCAGCTACAGTGCTTATACGACCTTGCAGAAATATGTCAACTATGTCAACGAGACGGAAAAGACCTCAACGACACTAGACAGCGACTTTACTTCAGGGGTTGCACTGGGTGTTGGCTGTTTTAGCTTGATTCTATCCATGCTGCCTGCTTCCGTAGCCAAGGTGGCGGAGCTCATCGGCTTTACGTGTGACCGAGCCCATGGTTTAAAGGTATTGGAGTCAGTAGGTGGTTGGGACAAGCATCACGATGGTTCCATCCCTGAGGAGACGGATATCCACACGGGACTTCGTAGCCAAATGTGCAATATGATCTTGATTGTGTATCATATCATTCTATCTACCATGATCCAGTTGTCTGACGTAGATAGGCCATTTGCAGAGGTCATCTTGAACGATTGTCTTGGTAAATTTCCTCGTGGTGTCTTTTTCCTGTACTTTAATGGTCGGCTCATGGGATCCAAGCGAAAGCTCAAGGAGGCCGAAGAGCAATACCAGCTTGCCATTGATACACAAAAGGATTGGAAGCAGCTGCAACACATGTGCTTTTGGGAACTGGGTCTCATTTATCTGATGGAGCAGGAATGGCAAAAGGCATATGACATTTACACAGTGCTTTTGCGAGACAGCAAATGGTCTAAGGCTGTTTACACATATCTAAAGGCTATTTCTCTGTACCAATTAGCTGGTGTCACTGGAGATGCAGCAATCAAGGCAGAGTATATGAAGGAAGTGGAGGGCTATATGGATCAGGTTACTGGAGAAAAGCAAAGGATTGCTGGCAAATCAATCCCAATGGAGGTAAGTGGCGGTGCCTTGAGTTTATCCGACGTTTAGTGCACAATAAGTTTAACCTTAAATTTGTTAGAAATTTGTTGCCCGAAAAGCTAGAAAGTATCTCAGCCAAGACAATTACCTGCTGTTGCCTGATCTCGAGATTTTGAATGCATTCACAGCCTACGACTTTATACCTGAAAATTTCCTTCTCGCTGGTTTGGGCAGAATCAACACAGAAGTCACTCGTCTAGCATCCCTACCTGTCGAAAAGCGCAACACATACTATTACGACGATCTCTGTTTAGCGGAATTCTTGCGAGCCATCACATCGCGCGAGTTGTATGAGCAAGGATCTGATAAGAAAAACATGCGTTCAGCACACGAAACGTCATTGCAGTTTGTATTCGATCATGCAGACAAGATACAGCTGGATCACTACATTTACTACTTTAGTCGCTATGAAAAGGCATGTATGCTTATTCTGGAACAGGAATACACCAAGGCAGAATCCGAGATTCAGGTTGTATTGAAAGCCAACGACCGAGGACAGTACAGCATTGGATCAGGGCCTCATGCCAAGAACAAATACAGTCTTGCTAGTGCGTTGGTATTCAAGTGCCACAACTGTATGACCAAGATCAAGGCAGAGTCATCATCATCATCTAAATAAATAGAATGCTTTTTTTTTTATAGACAGTACTTGGGGTTTTTTTTTTTTTTTTTTTTTTTTTTTTTGCTAGATGAAGCCATACGAGGATGCGCCTGACAATGTGGATTTGAGAGTCGTTTTGCCCTGCCAAGTGTTGATCGTTGAAGCCATTTGTTGGAAAAGCCAATCAGACAATGTACCTTAATTTAGCAATTCAGCACCTTGTCTTTTTAGGTGTACTTTGTTATGTACGCCTATTTTTTTTTTTTTTTCCTTCTTTTCTCTCTCGCCTCTTTTACTCCTTTATATATATATGCAAACAATTTATAGTTACCACAATGATTAATTCCGTACAATTAAAAAGAAACATTCTATACACTGCTATTGTGGTCGTAGTCATCATCACATGGAGCCAACTAGAGTCGATTAAAAATTTTGCCAACGACAAGCATCCGCATCCTACACTCAGCATTGTATTTTCACAAAAAGAAATAGATCCTCCAACATGGCGGATCCAAACACTAGAAAACGAGCCTGTTTTAAAACAGCCTTCCATCTTTCCAGCGACAGTCTTTTCCAAACAAAACCTTCGACAGTATCCGCCAGCGACAGCCATTATCAATCGTGTGGATAATAGTGATGATGGCATTTTACACGCCATTGAACACCTTTTCAAATACCCGTTCATCAAGGAGATATTAGTATATAACCAAATCAAGTCAAAACCATTAAAAGCAGAGGTAAGAGATCGCCATTGGCCTAAATGTCTCGCTATTGACATAACCAACAGCTATTATATCCCAACAAAACCCTTTCAACTGCTCTCAACGATCGAGTGCATATACAAGTCATTGAGACGGACGCCTCCATACACAGCATGGGAAAGTTCACTGCATGTGCAGTTGCGACATATGGAAAATGTTATTTTCAAGATGATTTATGGTTGAATCCCTACTTGGATAGCTTGTATACCCATTCATTTCGCTATCCGGATCATTTGATCGCCAATACCAGACCTGTCAATTATGTGGATTACATGCGATGGCGATTCACCAACAGAGGTGCGTGTGTGTGTGTGTGTCTTTTGTAGATCCTTCCTATACTCATCATCATCTACAAATAGACATGTCGCTCCATACAGGCTACACAGATCTGCGATACGGCGCATTTGTTTCCCAGCAAAAAGTACAGAAATTTCTAAGCCAATTGAGTGCACAAGGCTTGAGCACATCAAAATTAAGACGAGCCGAACTTTACTTTTCGATTTGGTTAAATCAATACCCATATCTTGTATCCAATCCCTTGTTATCTTCTGGTAGAGATGGATTCAGGGACATTGGTAGTGTCAATAACAGACCTCTGGTTGAATATTACATGGTAAGTCTAGCTGTATGGGGCTGATGAAAGGTCGTACACTCAGCACACAGCCACGCCATATATAGTATGATGCTGTCTCTCTTTTGGAAAACACATTGGCCAACTCGAGCTGGATGGAGGAACAGGATGACTATTTTGAGAAGGGAGAGTTGGGACCACCAGTGGAAGAGAGAGATGTCAGGTAATGTGGATCTGTAGACACCTCGTTTGCCATCGAGCCAATGCTCATGTCCCTTCATAGATCAAGCTGTGCCAATGACAGATGCTTGTTTATTACCAATATCCATAGCATGCCTATTCCAGGTACAGAAAACGACATTGTATTCCATTCAGGGTCCATTGCCAATATCAGTCAATTCGAATCCATGTACAATCAAACACACCTCGGCTTCAAGATACCCAACAAATCCAACTTTGCCTATCGATCGTATCACAAGGCTGTAGATCAGGACACGGAGACTTGCTGGCATACACAACGAGGTAGGATAACAACCAGGACATGTCAGCGTTGGTAGACTGACATACACATCTCTGCAGCCCCCTTGGCCGGTGATTACTTTGGTCTATACATGGTAGGCGACATCCAAGCCAAGCGAATCATCCTGTATACACCAACCAAGTTTGATCTACCGTTGGATCAAGTATTCCAGGTGACGGTGCAATTTGTACCTTTTGGTTCATGGGAAGAATGCGACATCCAATTGACACCTTTGAACCAGCTGGATTATCGCATTGGCTTTGACATCGCATGCCCAAGAAAAGGCTCTTTCAAGTCTATCCGAATCATATTCAAGCAGGATATGCAGAAAGCATTTGAGCTGTGTAGTTTTGGGCTCGATAATTTCGTTGTTTAATCAAATCTAATAAACCATTGTACTCTTGTTACACTGAATTTTGAAATTTTTTTTAGGTCAGTAATAATGGCTTCGTTATTGGTTTCTTTTCCCTCCCTTCTTTCTTTTTCTCCATTTAACGCTAAATTATACAGTATGCAATCTATCAAGTGTGTTGTTGTGGGCGACGGGTAACGTAAAACCTGCGTAATGTGCGCAAACGTATCAGAAAAGGGTTCATTGTAGATGTTGCTCTTGTAGTGCTGTCGGTAAAACTTGTTTGTTGATTTCGTACACAACAAATGCATTTCCCGGTGAATATATCCCCACAGTGTAAATGGCTCGACGACACAGTACTGGATCCCGTATACTAAACTGAAACTCTATGCAACAGGTTTGACAATTACTCTGCCAATGTCATGGTGGATGGTAAGCCAATCAACCTTGGCTTATGGGATACTGCTGGGCAAGAAGATTATGATCGTCTCAGGCCTCTGTCTTACCCTCAGACCGATGTATTTCTCAGTTGCTTCTCGCTTGTCAGCCCTCCATCCTTTGAGAATGTCCGCACAAAGGTAGTATACGGGAAAACATGCTATGGCATGCGGTCGGCTCATTTGCATTTGCATGTGAATAGTGGTATCCAGAGATCAGTCATCATGCACCCTATATTCCCATCATTCTAGTTGGCACTAAATTGGACTTACGCGAGGATCGTGATACAGTGGAGAGATTGAAACAAAAGCGCATGGCTCCCATCAGTTATCCTCAGGGATTGCAAATGGCCAAAGACATCAAAGCTGTAAAGTATCTTGAATGCTCTGCTCTTACTCAAAAGGGCCTCAAGAACGTGTTTGATGAAGCTATTAGAGCTGTCCTGTCACCTCCTGTACGACAAAAGAAGAAGAATCCTTGTTTGATTTTGTAGTTTTCGCCCTCTTTCTATTACACATTTACTATCTTATTTACATGTATAACTTAATTTCCCATTATAACTATCACTTACTCTTTATTCTATTATTCTACTAATCCCTCCTCTGGAGAGAAACAGCAACACTAACAGCAGCAGCAGCAGCAGCACAGATCAACACTCCAACAACAACAACAACAACAAAAAAAAAAAAAAAAAAAAAAAAAAAAAAAAAAGACCATCATACATGAACAATAAAAGCGTTTATTCTATACTTTTCAAAATTTCTATAACAGGTGCCATGTTGGCATCTCCCTCAATCACAAGATCAAATGCCTCGGTATACGCTGGCTCCAATGCTTTGATATCATGGTTCAGGAAGCCGATATTAAAGCACAAATCATGCTGAACACCTTGACTCATCTGAAGATCACCTAAACTATCACCCATCAAAATCACATTGGCTCTTTCTTTAATCTGCTTGTAGTAGGGCGACGTTTCTAGTTGAAATTCGGATTTGTTGAATACATGGATCAAGGGTTCCTTGAAATCAACACATATATCTTGATCGTCGAATACCATCATGTTGGATACAATGTGCATATTGTCATGGAACATGTTGACTTGCTTCAAGATTTCTTCGATAATGTTGCCAATGCCAGCAGAAAAGACTAGAAATGGAACTTGGGTATCTCTGCAGTCGGTCAATACATCCTCCACGCCTCGTCTCATTTCTAAATTCACTTGTCTCGCCATCTTTGCTAAATCTATGCACAGTGGTGATAAATACCTTGCCTCTCAACGTCATCACCCCTTATCTCTGCCCCCATTTACCATGCTTGGACAACTTTTGCTTGATCAAACTAGCATGTGCCTCAATCCACCACTTCATCATGTAAGGTACCTTTTCATCGTGAGTCATGGTTTGATCAATTTCAATGGGATAGTATGTATTGTAGATGCGAGCTGTTTCTTTCTTGTACTAGTGTGTTGACATGAGTAAACAAGCATAGGCAGTGTTTGTTCGGCTGTTGCTCTTTACCTCGGGAGACATGATGTCAGAACGAGCAGGAATACCATGCGAAGACGAGTTTCTCTCCAACGCATCCGTTTCCTTGTTGCGAATCCAATGACGCGACATGGTCATATCAAAGTCTGTCATGCAGCGGGGTGAGTATTCAAAGCTTCAGTCTATCCAAGGGCTTGCTTCTTACCACTGATAAAATGAAGGTTTCGTCGACCATCCTGGATGATTTTCTGCAACTTGTCTGTAGCACCAGCGACATTTTTGATACGGACAGTTGGAATCTTTAATAAGGACTCGACTGTAGACAAGGTGAGTTTCATGCCTTGCAAGGTTTGGTTTCAGTTTACCTAAAGACTTTGCTTGTAATGATTTCGACATGTTGAATACAATAATAAAGAGGAAATAAAAGGGTAACTGTATTTGACTTTCAGGGCCATCACATTTTGAACTAAAAAAAAAAAAACTGCGGAGTCTCTTGTGTTCGTCATGACGATGATGATGCTCTTGGAAGATGGAGGTGTTTGATGGATGACTATGTAAACCTTGCTGATCCGACCAATGCATCTCACTTTCTGATTCATGGTCAAGTGTATTACATGGTGATTGGATCAATCATTCAAGTTCATTAAAACCATAGGCATCAGTGTCTGACCATTGCCTTGGGATGCACATATTCCTTCAACCCCTTATCAAGCAAGACAAGATCCAGCATTCCGATGGTAAAAGAAACCATTACACTAACCTGAGTAGATGCTACCTGGATGCAGTTCAAAGATGACTCAACATTACTGCGGTGCTATTATTCTCGGATTGCAAGATTTCCCTCAAGGTCTGCTTAGTGGTCTCGTTTAAAAGCTAATTTTAGATCGAGAACGTCTTGCTATGGGTTGTTGTGGCACAATTATGGCTTTTCTCTTTTCTCTCCTTCTTTGTCTGGTAGTCAATTATAGTAGAAGCAAGTTTTCATCAAGAGCATTGGCTGTCTGCAGTGGTATGTTGAAATGATGAAAGCAATTGATTATTACATGATGTAGGAGCGAGTTTATGTCCTCAAAAAAGGGGATTATGTACAGATCACCCCCCCCCCAAAAAAATAAAGTGCAAATGTTGGCCAAGCCAAGCAACATGTCTAGTAAAAATGCTAGATCAAGCGAGTACACTGCAATGCCCCATCTACAGGACAGCATTGGAGACCATGTATCAAGTGCAGAAGAGGATTCGAAATGAATTACACACTACAGGTAGCATACAATAGGAGCAACGCCTCTAAATCTTGAAATGGGTTGCATACAACAGTTCGATCAATAGATTGCTTTATTTGACAAATGTATCACATAATGAGGGATAACTACGGGCTTACTCTGATACCAAATCAGCAACGACACCAATCACCTTGGGAGGGAAATCTCGTTTGACCATCTTGTCTAGCACCTTTTTGGCCATATCCAGTTTGTCGTTTAAGAGGTAGGCACGAATCATTGCTTCAAATGTACTTGGTTCACGAATAACGCATACATGGTGTTGAGTCTTGTCATCTGACATGGCATCGAATATCCTTTCAGCCTTTTCCAGTTGAGACTTTTCACCATAACCACGGATGAACAAATTTTCAATATAGGGCGATCCACTCTTTTGCAATTGGGTATCCTTTTGCATTTCTTGATAGTAGACTGCTTCAGCTTTCTCCAGAGCATCATTGCTGATCAGTGTATCAATCATGGCTTGGTAGACCGCTTCATCGGGATGGATATTTGACTTTTTCATTTCAATAAACACGCGTTCAGCACTTTGTACATCGCGCTGGAGAATACCATAGGAGTAGATCAGAGTGGCATAATGGGTTGCTTGAGGACGAAGACGATCACATCGAGTCATGTCGCTGAGCAATTTATGAGCCATTGGCATGTCATAAGGAGCAATGTGGGTATAGGCTTCCATCAACAACTTGTAGCTATGAGGAGAGGGCTTGATATGGCGGCGACGCAATTCAGAAAAGTACTCCAAGACTCGCTCACGGTTAGGGTGTTGGCGCACGTAGAACTGCATCATATTGTTGAATGGGCCCACACGAGGTTGATACGAAGGAGAGGAGAGCATTTCACCAAAGAGACGTCGAGATTGGCTCTCAGAACCAGAGCGAACACTAGCAGAGATAATAGCACCATAAGTAATAGAGTTGGCAGGAATCTTGAATAAACGCATTTCATCAAAGAGACACAAAGCAGAATCAAGCTTGCGAGCCTTGGCTAGTTTAGAGATGATGACATTGTAAAAGAATGTAGTAGGCTTGACATGGTGACGCTTTGCTTCATCGTATATGGCAAGAGCATCTGTTGCTTCATCTGTGGCACATTTGGCACTGCCCAGCAAGAGACTAGCATAGCCATTGCTATCAGGATAATGGCCCATCGCCTTGATACGATCATAGTACACCTTGGCCTTGTCCATGTCACCCTTTTGAGCATAGCCAATGAGAAGGCTATTTGTTGCCATGTAGATGGCTTCGTCCTTGGTTTGGATATCAGCAATGTCCTTGAAAGCGTAGATAGCGTTGTTGTACATTGTCAATGCCGTTTGAATATCGCCTTGTTTTCCAGCCAACGCAATCACGTCCCGCATGACTTCAGGAGTAGGAATCAAGCCTCGACAGATGATACGGTCTTCAAAAATACGGATGGCACCGCGACAGTTTCCATTGATAATAGCCTTAAGTACTTCATTCGAGATGATTTCCGCCCTAGAAGGAGTAGATACAGCATTGGCAGCTGCAATGGTTGTAGCAGTAGTGCTTGCACGCGCATGAGCTTGCTCTTGTTCAGTTTCCTCTGCAATTTCAATGATGATATCGTCCTCATCCTCATCTTGAGCATGACGAGAGGAGGCGGTATAAGCAGTAACATCTACCAGCGGCAGGCTTTGTTCAAAGGCTGATTTCCAGCGAGATTCAGATACCAAATCACCATGACGCTGTAGCTCAATGAGCACGCTATGGTAGAGATCAGCGGGAACAGTAATATCAGAAGCAAGCATGTCTTGGAGGAATTGCAGGACAGTATCGCCCAGAGCAGAGGATTGAGCTGTGGACTCTTCATGAGCGTATAAAACAAAAGCAGCATCAAACAAGAGTTGGAAATCAGCCAGGGTAAGCAAGTGCTGTGAGTCCTTGGCTCGATCAAAGTAGGAATCAATGAGTGTCTTGGACATGATTTCGTAAGCGGATGGTACTGTAGTGTGGCTGTTTGTCTGACTGCTTGGGTTGCTGTGAGTATGAACGAGTGGCATGACAATTTGCATCACTTGAAGCACCTGACGCATCGATGTAGAATGCAACACGACCTCAAGAGCACCATCTATAATATGGTGGAACCCTTTCGACAGTGAGCGTGGCGACATGGATTGCTGCAGGGTATGTAAAGCACCAATGGCTTGAACAACCTCTTCAGCTTGAGCAAAACTTGTAATAATGCGCTCAGCAAGGACAGGGTCAGGCTCCAGATTAGCTTTAGTCATATCTTCAATCACACAAAGAGCCTTATCGCGATCATGATGAGTTAGACACAGTAGAGCATAGTTAGCTAGATTTCCGTAAGCCTTGGAGATGTTCGTCTTCCTGAGTGCGTCATAAATACGAGTAGCAGCTTCCCACTCATTTGCTTGGCAATACGCCGACAGAATAGGACCATAGCTACTGGCATCGGGGTATGGGTACTTGTCGCTCTCTTGCTGATGGCCTTGGATTAAGCGGTCAACCAAAGCTTCAGCTTCTGACATTTGGCCATGAGCACAATAGTGACGGATGATGGAATTGTAGGGGATGCAGGTCAACTTGATACCATGCTCAACCATATCATGCTCTACAACGTGAAGAGCACCATTGAGCAGACCACATTTCAAGTGACAATCGACCAACGCATTAAAGATATAAGATGTGTCATGAGGGCCTAGGGTCTCTTTGACTTGAGTGTAGACATTGTAGTAATAAAGAGCCATGTTGATGTCACCTGCGCGTCCAAACAAGTTTATCAAGGCAGCATAAGTAGCAGAATTTGGCTTGGCTTGAACAGCAGACTGTTCCAATTGACTGTAAACAAAGTTGGCATCTGATGTGTCTCCATAATGAGACAGCACTCGAAGCAATTGATTGAAAATTTCGACTTCAAAGGTATTGGCAGAGACACCGTCAGAGACAGCATAGTGGAATATGGCGAGAGCCTTGTCGAGGTTGCGTTCAGCTTCCAAGAGACCAACATCTTCATTGTCATGGCCAATACGAGCGGACTGACGCTTAAGCATAGCAACGGTCTTTTGAACTTCAACATCTCTTTTGCAAAGGGTGCGGATCATAAGTATAAATGTGTAGGTGTTGGGTTGAATTTGTGCTTGTATCATCTCATTATAAACTACAAATGGATCATAGTGTTAGTGCCTTGTATAATCGAATCAGTGATGGACAGTTTACTTTTCAACATGGCAGTCAAAGGGGTGCCTTCACGGCGTAAGATGGCATGCGCTTCAAGAACAAGATTGTATGTATGATGAGTCATCTGGACTGAATTCTTCTTCATGGATATGAATTCGCTCATGACAACGCGAATATTGCCGTTTCTTTTGGCGGTCAATATGCGATTATTGTATTCATATGTGCTACTGATCTTCTTCTTGTGGTAAGGAGTGTTAGTGATGGTGTTGCTTTGATTTGGTCCAGAGGTGCGAGGCGTAGCCTCAGGTGAGCTGGGAGGTGTAAGTAGAGGCTTATCTTGCTCATTTTCCAGCAGTAGAGTGTCATTTGTTGATTGCAATTGTCTGTTGATGTGAGGACTAGTAGGAGAGACAGGTCTTTTACCAACATTGGCATTGCGATGATTGTTTCTCATGAGATGCTGTTGATGTGATTTTTTGTATTTGCTGTGATTGGGATTATTTGATTTCATAAAATTGTTTTTCTTGGCTGTGGTACTGTTGCAAGGAGTTGATGTAGTTGTGTTGATGACCATTTTGCTGACAGATGTGTATTGGTTATTAAGCATATTGGGTAGAAACTTTGGGTAAAAGAATGATTATTTGTTGTTTGAAAGTTATAGAAGAAGAAAAAGAGCAGAACTATAGTACAATAAGACACCATATTTATATCTTTTTGTATTTTCTCGGATAATCAAGGGTTACATTCATGAGTTATAGGTGATATTTTAGAATTCCATCTTATCAGATTGATTTCTCCGCCAAGCAGAGAAATTTTTTGTGATCCATTCGCCTCCTCAAATGTCTAGCGAATCATACAGTCGATCTTTAGATCAGATAACTCTCTATATCCAAAAAATGGCCACCCCCCCCATACACATTTGAATTGGCATTTTATTTATTTACAGTTGTACATTGTATTTTATTATCAGATCTTTTCCACACGGGATGGATTGTAACTAAATGATGTCGTATATTGCATATAAATACTAGACTAAAGTAACCTTGGCTTCTTGTTTAAAAAGCGGGGAAGTATTTTCCGTTGTCATGCGGTCAACATTTGTATACAGTTGATTGTCAATACCTGCTTCAAACCTGTCGTTGATTGTCATGTATATGGCATAGATGGTCTTCAATAAAAGTACGTATACTAGAAATGATACAGCGAAACATGTAGATATGAAAATAATTTGTCCACCTGTCAAATAAAGTCGCTAAGAACGATCTTGACTTAGATCATCCTAAGGATCTGATAAAGAACATCCTGTTTCAATGAACCTTTTTTTTTTACAGGGGGGAGGTGGGACCAGAGAACGTAGGAACCTAATATAGATCAAGCCATGTGAGGGCCACTACTTTTTTTTTTTTCAAACAAGATGTTTCAATTACAAACCAACTTTTTTCCGCCCCAGGTCCTGTCGTTTTGTCATACACAAAGTTGAAACCAGGGCCGCATTTCATAAAGGAAAAGTGATGAAAGAGTATAAAGAACCCTACATTTCCACCATTCAAATTCATCGTATCATGATCCAGCGTAATGTGGGCACATTATTTTGTCCTGAACTGTGCATCAATGGGTCCATATGGCTCGATACCGTCAAACATCTGTTTCATCCTAGTATATGATGTAACATTTAATATACTCTAACTTTCTTTTCCGTTCGTTTGCTTTTACTCTGGTCAACCAATAAGGACTGCATGAGTTATCAGATCTTTTCTTTTGATGGGTTCTTTGGAAGCTAGTAAATGAGACGTAATCGGATGCGGTTTGATCAGAATAGTTTTAACTTGATGCATGAAGCTCATTCGACTGCTTATTCCCAGCTTGAATCGCTTACAAGAGTTTGTAGCCTGCGACCGAAATGAATGTATCGTGTCTAGGCATTTCGAATCTATTTCGCCGCTTACTACAATGAATTCGATAATTGGTGTTTGCTTTTGCCTCTTGTTCATCAATCAAAAAACAAAATGAGATTCCAGATGAATCAATTGACTATTAAGCAGTGCACTCAATACTCCTGGCATGCAAAAGCTTAATATCGACTACACCTTTCAAGGGTTGAATCGCCCGTATTATACACTCCAATACTTCCATGTGGTAAATGTTAAAAATAAAAAACACATTTGATCCATTGCTATTTCTTCGCTATATAGGATATACTAACACTATGTGCATGAGGTTTGGTACATGGATGGTTATATCTCGTATCGACATCATACGAGAGACCAAAAACAAAGCTTTAAAAACTAATGCAACTTGTCTCATTCCAGAATAATTATCATCTTTACAAAGCTGCAGAGAGAGCCATCAAGTTACCAACTAAAAGGGAACATATACAGTTGAACTTGAACACTGGATCTGAATGAATGGTGTGATATGCATATTGCTTGAGTGTGAAGATGGGAAGAATACGTCGTTCTTGGACCATCAGAAAAACTATATCTTTTACTGTAAAGATATTCCATGACATAATTTTATGAGTTTGATAGGACTACACATACAATATCAAATCCAATGTGAATCGGATGATAATCTTGCATTCAAAGTTGGAATTCTTATTTTAATGAGCAATTTCAACGATCAAATCTATTGCATGTAAATATACGTTGTTACGTTAGATTAGAATATTTATAATAGATTACACTACGCTTCAATTTGCAATTCCCTTCGAAATTAGCACCGTAAACATCGACTACCTTCATGGGAAATGATTTTGCCAACAGGCAAAATTAATTCAAACCCAAAATCATAGTTTGTTTCCAGATTGGCCAAATCTTAATGTTGTTCGACTCGATCGATCTATTTTCGCAGATTCGACTAAGTAAAGTATGATGATCACCCTATGCTTCCTAATACTTTCTTGATGTACTTTTGAAGGCGCATCCAATAGTACCAAGTAATATAGATGTTTTGAATAAACTTATTGAGTAATTTACGAAAACATGAAAAGAGGTTTCTGGCCAAACAGCCGAAATTTTACATATCAAAGTCCCACAACGATGGTTTCAGGGATTACGTTAGATCGATAGAAACATTTTGATGTAATACATACCATAGTAAAAGTCTTCAGTATCAAGGCCAAAAACACGATCGTTTGATTTTCGATGAAAACCATGAGGGATACCTCATGGTTTTTGGTCGAATTTTGGTCATGTTTTTTTGGTCCCCAAAAAGTTGAGCAAAGGTGTCTGCAAGTAGCTACTGGTCGAGAGCAACTATCCGGTGCCATTCTGGAGATCTAAAACGGCCTTGAACGCGAGAAAGCTCAGCTCAGATGCACTCATACTTTGCTGTAGTAGGCACACTCTTGGCTAAAGAAGAATAATATCTGTATGATACTTGCCCCTATATGAAATAGCTACGTGTATATGGATGTAGAGCATCACGTAAGAATCAGATTTACAGATAATATAAAGGGTTTTTATGTGTAAGTGGAGGGTCAGAATGAAATTAGTAGTATTTTGATAAGATACGCAAGGGCAAGCTGCCGCTGCGCAGGTTGGTTATCACCGAAGCGAGCAAAGGTAGAGAACCATCTGAAGCATAAACGCTCGTAATGAATAACGATACCATGATCTTTTGTAATATATACATCTTGTAACTCGGTTGATTTGCCAAGTTTTGTAGAACAGCATAGGCAATATAGTGAAATCGCAAAGAATTCCACTTGGATATGTCAAAATGTTACTTTTCGGCCTACCACTATTAGGTAAAAACCCTTCACTAACAATTTATTTCTAGGATCTGGGTCTTTCACATTGCAGCACGTATGTATCAGCTAGAAGAATTAGTATACAGGTAGACAACATGCTAGAATTGCCTGTTGCTACTCAAAAGTTTGGAAATTAGAGCAAAATCTGCATATATTGTGCCGTAATTTCTCGTGTTAGAAGCCATTTTAGATCTCCAGAATGGCACCGGATAGTTGCTCTCGACCAGTAGCTACTTGCAGACACCTTTGCTCAACTTTTTGGGGACCAAAAAAACATGACCAAAATTCGACCAAAAACCATGAGGTATCCCTCATGGTTTTCATCGAAAATCAAACGATCGTGTTTTTGGCCTTGATACTGAAGACTTTTACTATGGTATGTATTACATCAAAATGTTTCTATCGATCTAACGTAATCCCTGAAACCATCGTTGTGGGACTTTGATATGTAAAATTTCGGCTGTTTGGCCAGAAACCTCTTTTCATGTTTTCGTAAATTACTCAATAAGTTTATTCAAAACATCTATATTACTTGGTACTATTGGATGCGCCTTCAAAAGTACATCAAGAAAGTATTAGGAAGCATAGGGTGATCATCATACTTTACTTAGTCGAATCTGCGAAAATAGATCGATCGAGTCGAACAACATTAAGATTTGGCCAATCTGGAAACAAACTATGATTTTGGGTTTGAATTAATTTTGGCTGGTGGGGCTGGTTAATCATATATGAGCCAGGCCTGACAGATGCCTGGAAACTCAGTTTCCATAATATGAGGGCTGTAAAAGTGTCTAGGGACTGAACATTTATTATAATATGATATACTGTTGATTCATATTAGAACATGCGTTTCTATTATGCAAATTGAAGCATGAAAATTGGTAATATGTCGAGCCAGTCATTGATGGACTGACGCTATTTAGTATGCAGAAAGACTTGTAACTGCTCATATTCGTACTTGCAACGCCACTTATTTGAAAGATTAAGCGAGCGATTACTACCTATATTATGGGTTTCTGGATTACGCATAATATTGCAGCTATATACTACCATTTGTTCCAGTTATCAATTCTAAATACATCCCATCATCGATGCTATGCCCATTCAATTTTGCCATTGCGAATATGATACAATTTTTTCAACCAAAACTCACCATGCAAATTTACAATTTAATATCAAGCCTTCAAATGAAATAGATGAAGCGTATACATTTGATTTTATCATCGCTCTCGCCATAACACTAATGGTTCTTTTTTTTGTGGGGAGAGATCCCGTGATGACGAGAGAGAGCGTCTGGTGTCCATTCACGTTTTGTGTAATCCCAGGCGTTTCTTCTGGGACATTTAATGATTTTGTGTACCATACATTTCAAGTCATGAGTTCAAAGCTGTACCAAACAAATATATTCATTCCTCTTTTCTTGCAGATACAATATTCTTGCGAGCATGTTAGAGTTGTCCATCACTTGTCGCTCTATACACAAACTGAAAATATATACGGGCGCATTGAAATATCAAGGGGGGAGGGGCATCATTTTATTATAGCTATGCATAATTTTATGTAAACGATGATGCAAATATTAATGTGCAATGTGCAGCGGCAAAAAGAAAATTGTCTGGGGAGGATTTACATGTTCAGGCACATTTTGTAACTGAATGTTCAAATGCATGTGAGGCTTAAACTTGTGTGTATGTCTGATATCAAAAACAGGCTAGTTTCTCCTTACATTCACAACTAGTGGGATGATGGTGAATGAGGTTACCCAAAACCTGTTGCTTGCCACGGACTTCCCCACATAATACAAATATTTGCCTGCATCTCTCATGAAAATTATCAGCTTGATGTCAAGGCAATGAAATTATATTGACTCAAAAAGAGGTATTGAACGCATAGCAGAACCTATACATACACATGACATAAAACTGTTTAGCGTCTGAAAGAGCCGAAGTAAAGCAATACATGTGACATTAAAGCCAAGTTATCCTGAATGCCACAAGTGCAATAAAATTTGGGGTATTGATCGATATGTGCATACTCACATAGTGATTGTAATTGCCTGTGCAGATCGTATTAATTCTCCTCTCTCGCTTCTCTTTCTTTTGTTTCTCTTTTTCCTCTTTCTCTCCCATAACATTTTTGATTTGCAATGGCAGGGCAGTTAACATCACCAGCTGCTACCAGTAGCATTCACGACATAAACCATGCCATAGACGGCACCTTGCTCTCAGAGAACGTCGCCAATATGGTCACAGCAGTATCACTTGCAACTAGAGTTTCCTTGCGATGCTCATCGATCTTTTTTGATGCCATGTTTGAAGCTGCAAAATACGGCACATCAATCTCTCTGGGGATATCAAGAAATGCATTGACAAATGCGCTTTCCACCGCAAAGAATTTGCATGCAAACACACAGAACAAGATCACATCTGGGACATCTGTTTTACATGAAAAGGCAGACGACAGGTAAATGCAATAATTAATCAAAACCACGATACAAATCAATGCTCACGCGAAGGCAGTTTATTTGTTCAGGTGCTCGAGAAATATACCAACATAGGATTGTACCTTGTCAGTCATACGTTTTCCTTAGCTGAATTGTTTGCCATGTCAGGGTTGCAGTTCACATCGAGGACTATCCAATCCAGTTTGAAGGTAAACTTCCAAAATGCATGTAACCGTAACAACCACTCATCGACATTACAGGCAGCTGAGGAGTCAGTGCGAATCATTGACGGCATTTTTGGATCAAACGACACATCGCGCGCTATAGCTTCTATTATCGCTCTTGTGCACCGAGAGTTGGTGCAAGATCCAGAGTTTGGGTTAGCAAAGGCTGGCAAGTTGGCTATATTAACTGGATTAACAAAGGCCTTAACAGCATTTGCGGTTCTGCAAAACGTGACACATAAACGAATGATGAAACAAATTCCCATGACAGTTTTGTGGGAAGGACTTGTTACAGATGAAAAAGAGGAACTAGAAGAGAAATACCAGCAAAAGAACAAAATTATCCAATTCAAAAACAACAAGCAGCAAGGCAACGAGGAAAACACTCTCATCATACAAGAATTAAATGCGCTATTGCAATCGCAAGAAAGCAATCAAAACGAAAATGAATTAAGCTTGGTTACATCTGTGCAGAACGGCTATAAAGTTACAACAAAAACTACTTGCACCACTACAAAGACCACCACCATCTGCCCTCTGAATTCGACATTCAACAAACGCATCATTGTCAAAACAAACGAAGAGGAAAATGGGTCATACCTAGCGCTAATGGACAAGTCAGGCAAAGAGCCGCCGAAATTTATACTGTCAACGCTGTCAGAAAAACGGCGAAAGCGCAAAGTGGAGCGACAAGAAGAAAATTTTGACCAGTTGCAGAAATCAGCATCAGAAAAGCCAGCTTACCACCACAAGCGTAGATTCTCATCCCCAGATGATGGCCATTTCTACTGCGAGCAGAAGAAAGAAGACTCTTTTCTATCAAAGAAATACAACTATTCGACATCTGATCTGACAGTCAAGCAAAGACATGCATCCAGCAACAGCAGCATCTTCATGACAAGGCAAAAGAGATCGAGTTCTATATCCAGCTTTTGTTCCACATCCTCCAAAACGTTCTCCATGACCTCAACCAACAATACCAACAAAGTTTTGCAGAATGAATCGGCGCAGATCATCAAAAACATCGCTCACTACATGAGATACGCAAGCGCAGCCTATGGTGAATCCTTCATGCGCATTCTGGGCATTGGAGATGTGCCTGCTGTTCTGCCCAGCTCTCATCATCACCATCCAAATCATCATGCTTTTGCACATCACACTGGCAATTCTGTTGAAGATATACTATTATCGAGCTATACAGATAGATCACCACTGCATTTACATAATCCTTCTATTCATGCACTTGTTCATTACGTGACAGTAGATCATGCCGCAAAAGCAATTGTGCTCACATGTCGTGGTACACTCGGTCTTAGTGATATACTCACTGATCTTAGTTTTGATTACACTGAATTCAATCTTCCTACAGACAAGCACTCCAGATTCAAAGCTCATAGTGGTATGCTGGATGCTGCTCAATTACTAGCCAAAGAAAAAGGAAAAGTCTATCAGAAGATACGTCAAGGTCTCGTTACATACCCTGATTACAGTTTGGTGATGTGTGGCCACAGCTTGGGAGGTGGAGTTGCATCTTTGCTATGCGTACTATGGAGTCAGAAACTAAATGGTCATGAGTTGATCTTGAAAAAGAATGGTGGAAATCATGACGATAAATTCGTTACATCAGATCAATCCGGATTACCAGCAGGAAGGCCTGTTCACTGCTATGCTTATGGACCTCCAGGTGTTATGTCTCTCGAATTAAGTCAATACTGCAAAGGTCTGGTCACTAGCGTGGTTCACGGTAACGACATTGTCAGCAGTCTTAGCTTGGGGCTCCTGAAGGACTTTAAGAACGTAGCTACCAGTTTGCATGCAGAGGCTGACGTAGCAGAAGAAATTATATCTCGTGTTGTTGGAAGGCTCCAAAAGAAAAGAAATTCCTCACAACAATCAAAAGAAAATATAGAAGATGAATTTAATGAAGATGATCAATGGTTCTGGGCAATGATCAAGACAATGAGAGCTGATATGACCGCAGAAAAGATGTATCCACCAAGTTCAGTCTACCTAATAGAAACAGTTCCACATGTAAAGCAACAGCACAAAGTTGCACTTTCAAGATGTGAAGATGTAAAGGCCAGATTCTCTGAAATTGTTTTTTGTCGAACCATGTTCATGGATCATTCTCCACTGATGTACGAACGAGCTATTAGAAAGCTGTGTCGAGGATATACCGCATAGCAAAGATGAATAAAATGTAAAGAAATACTCTTGTTGTTTTCAAAAACCACCCCCCTCCCTTCTAAACCTTTTTTCCTCCTATTGCTGTGTCAACAAATAAAGTGGACAAACTGATTGGCCATGCAATATATTGAATGACCGATTAGCCAGAATATAAAAATGGGGTCTCATCATGTTTTGAATTAATACCGTTTTCTTTCCGGATCTCAATACAAGTTTTTCCTAGCTGAATTTTAGCAATTTGAGTTTTTAACCTCATATTTTCCAACTCCGTCAGACCACAAATCCTTTTATATCCTACAAGCACCCTCCTCACACACCCCGCCATGGATTTATCCAGTATGCTGAATGGCTCAATGCCAACCAAAAAGCGAGATTACACGATGTCAAATCCAATTTATCATTCCCAAGCAATGCCTCAACCAAAACGATTACAACAATCCAATGGATCCACCACGACAGCCGTCGCTCCTCCTCCTGCTCCGCTTCCAACATCTGCCAATCCCAGGCCTACTGCCACTACCACTGCAGCTGCTGTTGTAGTTCATCCTCATCCGAAAGAGAAATCGGTAAGTGATACGACAAAAAAGGAGTCTTCTAGAGTCACAAATAATTAATTTTTTAAAACCAAAATTAGGTGGTTTATCAATTGAGTACATCTTTACAATATGTAGTTGCAAAAGACGCTATCACTAATCCTCAAGTTGCCAATCATCAAGCCCTAGCTTCTCAAAAACCTGCCAATTACAAACCTAGCAATGGTGTATTCTCTTCTCCCTTTAGACCTGAGATAGAGAGTAATGCCAACCTGAAAATCAATGGTAAGACTAGATCCATGTTTGCATTATCATGTATGTTAGTTAAGTCGCCAAATATAGTTGCCCCTTCACCATCGAATGGCACCAACGGCCTCTATTTGAGTCCCTCGCTTAAAGCTAATCCTGGTATCTGGTCTCCCAAATTATCTCTGAAATATGTCATGCAAGATCAACCATTGACACTGCTTCCTGTTGGACGTAGAATGAATGGGCAAGATGATCAAAGAAGCTATGATGATAATTCGGAATGCCAGCTTAGAATTATTGATTTACTTATCCACGGTGACGAACCCAAAATACTACTTGAAGACACATACGAGATCCAAGGTGCTTATTATCGCGGTTTCTATGTCATGATGGCAAAACGACAAATTCAGCACAACTTTGTATTCGCATATCCTGATCATCCATGGTTTGAAGATCTGTATGGGATGAGAAAGAGTGCCTATGTCGCTATGCGCACGGAGGATGGTGAATTATATGAACTGCATTTGAAACCCTCAAGAGATAAACAGTATGTATTACTTGTAGATGTGCGAAACAAACAAAACACTGACCGTTCTATAGATTTTTATTTGGCTATCTCGTCAAGCATGAGGCTATGGTCCACATCGTCAAAGAGTCTATGAAGGAACTACTACATTGCAGAAAATTACCATTGGTGCTTGATTTGGATGATACTCTTGTGCGTATCGTTGGTGAAGGAAATGAAAGACATGTCCCTGAAGCCGATATTTCCAAATGCAGAGATCGTGTAGCAGTATTGAAAGATGGAAGAAGAGTCGTGCTGACTGAAGGAGTGCATGAATTTCTCCAATGGGCCCAGCAGTTCTTTGATATCTCTGTCTGTTCCTTAGGGTAAGTTTCTCCTTGAATCACAAAACGAGAGGCTACTTCTCCTTACTGATATGCTCACTTTATTTAGAGATCAAAATTATGTGGAAAACGTTGTCAACGCATTAGATCCTCAAGGTGTATGTATCAGAGGCATCAAATACTCTGCACGCAGTGAGCATGATTACATCAAACGATCCCCTGATCCAGGAAGGCCACCCAAAGATTTATTGGCTTTGTATAGTTTCTGTGCACTCAAGGACAAAACAGTTGGTTCATCATTCCAGCTACCTCTTATTCTTGATGACGAAACTCGTATGTGGCCTGCGGATCAAATAGACAACATTATCGAAGTGACAAGCCAAAGAGATAGCCCTGTCTGGTCTGTTTCATTATTCCCTGTCGTGAGAGACACTTTACAGTACATCCATCAAGAGTTCTTTAGACAATACGATATCTGGATGCAAAAAAATCAAGAAGCAGCACAACATGGATTCGTATACACCCGACTACCACCAAGCGCAGTAGGAATATACAAGACATATCTTCGACATATTCTAAGAGACAAGATTGCTAGCGTGCCAGCTTCCCAAGCTCCCCGCTCTTAATACAAAAGTTCATCATTTCCCTTCATATTCGTCACCCTCGCTCGCTCTTGTATTATAGAAGTCATCCTTTTTTCGCATGCCGTATACGTAGATATACATTCCAGTCTCTAATTTCTTGAATATTTCTGTTGTATGTAGTCTTTATTCCTTTTTTTTTAATGTATTTTTTTACGTTATATATTACCCTCTGTTGTCTACTGAAAACAAAAAAAAAAATTACATAAAAAACTGATGAGAATATAAAAAAACTCAACATCTCGCGTGTATTTAGTTTAAATCAATGTTGCACAGGTGCCTTGATTCATTTGCACATTACACAAATAAACTGATAATCTATTGTATATTCAAAAACAATGGTTGAAATTCCTACTTGAGCGAAACATTGCTATGATAACTGCATTAATATAATAGTTGCCCCTCTTTTTTTCTGCTCTACACCATTCACTTTTCTATTTCTGCGAAAAGAAGTATGAATTAAGGCTGAAACTGAATACAAAAAATGTATTTTTTACTCGTCAATCTTCTCTTTAAGGCATTCATTGACTGCGAGGCAGGGGATGTAGATCAATCAACATCCGTTCGCAACGCATCTACCAAAGCTCCTCTCCAAGGCCATGAAAAGCCAGTTGCTAACTCACTGACATCTAATGTCGGGTAAAAAAAAACTAAGAACTCTCAAAGCCAAGAACGGAGGGGCTTTGCCCATTTCCCGTTTGAATAACGAAGACCTACATTTTCCATCTAGTCTTTCTTATTAAATGATGATGACAGTTGTTTTTACAAAGATACGCTTGAAGGCTCGTTGTATTAGACTTATCGTGCTGGTAAAGCGTCTTCTCAAATCAGCTATACAATAGAAAGGAGCCTTTGCTGCTTTTAAGGTGCGCCATTGTATCGTATTAAGGGGCATGCGAGCACCTCAATCTATCAATGAGCAAGCTATAACAATGATAAGAATATAAAGATGCGTATATAATCGCAACCAAATGATGATTGAATCTGTACAGCATTTTCTTACTATCTACTACTATTAGAGTTCTTTAAACTGGATATATCATTCATTTTCACGAATCTAATCTTGGAACGCAATGCTGGCCTGATGCTACAAGCAATGACAATTCTACTCGTCTCAATGTTTCTTTACCTTTTTGATGGTGCACCGTTTATTCAAGCTCAGTGACCCCTAGCTAATCATCACATCTTGACCATAATGTGCTTTAGATTGCGCCAACTACGGGTCTACACGAATAGATTCAAGAAAGTATTAACGTAGAGCCATAGATTTTATCCTTTTCCTTTTCCTTTTCCTTCAACTTTTCTCCCCTCAATTTTCTATTCGCATCAATAAATTTATAAAGAACTTCAGGTAGCTTCAAATGCCTATACAAAGGTATTACCGCTTTGAAACTACATTAAAATGATTCAGAAGCATCATATTCATTCACTTCGCGTATCGTGCATCTTATGGTATTTCAAATGGAGATGTTCATTTCACTTTGTTCACTAGCTTTCATTGTGTTGGTGCTTGATTCTAATAAACCTTGTCAGAGCATCTGGCTATAATTGAAAGGGCGTATCGTTTGAAGGCATCTCTATATATTATAATGTGCTTAATATAGCCAAATAAGACTTAAATTATCATATAATAGCATATAATCATAAAAGGATATGATACGAACCATCGATATTTTAGATAATTTTATAGTAGAATGTTTACTATTAGATGCAGACTACCTATTGCGTCTATAATGTCCAACGTGCCTTACAGCCGTCATCGTCTCACTAATGAGCTGTATCATTGTGCTATAATACAGCGATATAACAGCGCCACTCAGTCTAATATTTCCAGGTGATTGCTTGGATGTAACAGCATGCTCTTCTAAATCTAGACTTATGCATACATTGTCTGTACGCCATTTTATCATACAAAAATGCGCCTATTGACAAGCAAATGTATAAAACACAACGAAATTTGACAGTTTTCAAGCCTTCATATCTTGACATATAGACCTTTCTGAGCCACCAGAATGACACCAAACAATTGTACTCAAATAGCACTGACCTTCTGACACCTTTGCTCAACTTTTTGGAGACCAAAAAAAAACATCGACCAAATCGACCCAAAAACCGTGAGGGATACCTCATGGTTTTCATCAAAAATCAAACGATCGCGTTTTTCACCCTGAAAATGAAGACTTTTACTATGGTATATATCAAATCAAAATGTTTCTCTCGATCCAAAGCAACCTCTGAAACCAATTTTGCAAGGTCTTCCTATGCAAAATTTCGACATTTTGACCAAAAACCTCATTTCACATTTTCTAAAATTGCTCAGCAAGTTCATTCAAAACATCTATTTTACTTTACATCATTGGAAGCGCCTTGAAGTGTACTCCAAGAATGTATTAGGAAGCATCGGGTGATAACCACAGTTCGTATAGTCGAATACCGCAAAATAGATTAAAGAAGTCGACAAAAAACAGAATTTGGCCAATCTTGAAGAAAAAAAAGTAACTGAGTTTGAATGAGTTTTGGCGGTGGTGGGTAGCGCTGCTGCTGGCTGGCCCAATGCCTTTCTGATGATGACAACAATGATGATTACGATGCTGATTAAATGGGGATTAGTATACACACCCATTTCGATTGATCTGTCACTGATCTTGTCCGAAACACATAAGCTCAGGCTAAATAGCCGTCTAGTACGATGCTGAACGCAACAACTATATATCTCCAATTGCATTTAACATGTCCAATGAATAGCCAACTTGTGTCTTTATCGTTGAGCACCGTTCAAATCAACTACAAAAGGTCGATCATACAATATCTATGTGATACTTTGATATTATTGTTTAAATCTGACATGCAATCCATCCAAGACAGGTATTGTGTCACCACATGCTCAATAAGTGGAAGAGCACGACACTTTTATTTATATGGCAATGATCTGGATATACACAAATGCAAACATGGGCTATAACTACAATTTATTGTGCTATCAACTTCTAAATTTACTTTATTTTATATGAATACATGCTGGTACTTATTGAAAGATGACAGTGATTATGCAAAAGGTGCTTTGAGTGGATCAATGACTTTACCAAGCTTGGTGATTACCTTGGGCTTGGTCAACTTCAAGAAGGTTTGACGCGTGTTCCATTCGCTACCCATAGGTGTGCTAATAGATCTTTCATATTGCTCCATAGTCTTAAAGGGGAATGGCACAGATGTAGCACGATACTTTTCAGCCTAAAGGACAAAGTGATTAGACGAGGGTGCAAATCAAAGCTACTACAATTGCTTACCTTTTTGTTGAGTTTCTCATTGATAATGACATGGGCAAGCTTAGCATCCTTTCTCTTATCAGCTTCAATACCCTTTGTCACCTTGAGGATCTTCTTCTTTTTCTTGTTCTTCTTGACACCAGCGCCAGCCCAAGTACCCCAACCAGGCAATGTCAAATCCTCAACCTTGTCACCATCTTCTTCAATTTCAGCCATCTTTTCGTCTTCAAACTCGGCAACCACATCATCATTAGCAAAGGCTCTTGCTACAAGCTCTCGCTGACTGAAACTGACTTTGTCTTTATGCACCATCTTTTGATCCACTTCATCATCACTGTCGTTGTCGTTGTCATTATCGAACTCAGAGTCTGAATCACCCTTGGCAAGCTTCGCTTTGGCAACTGTAGATGCGTTCTTTTTAGCAGGTGTCGTTGATGTGTTTGATGTGGGGTTTGTAGTAGCAGAAGATTTGATGGACATGATTTTTGTTAGATCGAGCTCCACATCCTCTGTTGTGTCATTTGCTTGCTGCTTCTCTTTCTTTGTCTTGTTCATCTTGGATATACTGTGGTCAGCGCGAGATTCAGTTTGACCTGAGATAACGTTATTTTTCTTGGAGGCCTTTTTTGAAAGACGAGAGGTATCAGCTTGCAGCCAAGGATTGGAGGCGTCATTATCGTCATCCAAATCAGCCAACGGACTCTTGTTTTTTAAGCTGATGGGAGCAGATGTGCGAGTGTTGTGTGCAGCTGAATGTGAGATCTTTTTGATCTGACCAGCCTCATTGACAGTGATTTTACTATTGGGCTCAACATCCTCATCCTCCTCGTTGATATCCTCTTCATCGCTATTTTTATTGTGCGTGGACTTCTTGACTTGCTTTGCCTTGGCGCCAAATGCCATACGACCAGGATTATTAGCAACAACAGTAAAATGATCCTCCTTCTTTTCAGCTTGATCATCATCGCTATCAGCAGCGAGCCATTCTTTTTCAAATGCTTCAGCGTCTTGTTTTGTAGCTTCTAACTGACGTTTAGCAGCGTCTTGCATAAATTTCATACCAAGCAGGCCCTTGGTAGGTTGGGTATCTTGAGCAATTTCGTTCTTCAGCTTGTTCAACTGGCTATCCACATAGGCACCATCGTCTTCTAATTGTTCATCACTATCCTCGTTCTCAGAGTCGTCACCTTCGATTCTACGACGAAGCTCTTCACCCCGACGCAGTTGTTCCATGATAGCATCACGAGTGCCTTCATCTTGCGTACCACGAGCCAAGGCACGTTTAGCCCATTTGCTGGTATTCTTGTGCTTCAATGACATGCGCTCTTCAGCTCTGCTCATAGCAGCATCCATCTTTTCACCATCCTCCATCTCATGATCAATTTCAGCCATACCCTGGATTTGAAGCGCCAGCTTGTCCTTTTCCTTACGCTGCAACTTTCTGTAACTCTTACTTTTGATCTTTTTGAGACGCTTATTTTTGATTTCATGACGGAACATCAACTCACGCATCATGCGAAGTTCTTTGCGCTTCTCTTCCATTTGTTCAACAGTCAATTTGTTCAGTTTGAGGGCTTCAAACTCTTCCAATTCCTCGTCCTTCATGCCAGCTTGAGCAAGTGCGTCTTGGATTTGCTTCTCCAGTGAGGTCTCGGCCTTGAATTTGCTAGCCATGGCAGCACTAGTACGGTTTTCCTTGGGTGTCACCGATGTGTCTTGCATAGGGAATTGAAGATGCTCGGCTTCGCGGTTCATCTTGACAGTAGCTTGCCACTTGGAGATCTCTTCATTGGCGGTTTTAGCAGCTGCTTGACGTTCCATACGGTCTTGCACACGCTTGGGAAGAGGAGCATCCAGAGCACGGCGAGTCAAATTCTTTCCTTTACCAGCCAAACTCTCAAGACCGGATTTCAATGTGCCAAAAGATGTCTCATCATCCACCGTGTCCATCAAATCAGCAAGGCTGAGCTTCTTGGATGAACCGTCATCCTCACGAGTAGCCAAATTGAATTCACTCTCTTGATAAGCTTCGCTTCTCTCTTTCAATTGACGTTTCTTGGTATTACCATCTTCATCAGTACGTCTACGTTTCTTGGAATCCAAACTGCTGATCAGATCGGCCACCTTGTCATCATTCAAGTCCATGTCTTCATCGCTCTCATCGCTGTCATTGATATCGTCGAATCCACGGAACTCTTCTTCTTCATCATCGTCTTCATCGTCATCCATGGCATTGGTGGCAGTCTGCTCTTCTTCATCACCACCAGCAAGCATTTGATCGAGATCCACATAATCTTCGCCAGTGTCGCTTTCAAACTCTTCTTCGGAATCGTCATCTTGTTCAGAATCCTCGTTCAAATCAATTTCACCAGTGGATTGTTGCTGCTTCTTTTTCAGTTCCTTCTTGTTGGAAGGCTATATATCCACATCATCAGTGTCTGTCAACTGTTAACCAAAATGTAAGCCAACTTTACCTTGGTAGAGCCATTGAACTTGTATTCGCCGAAACGCTCCTCGTCAGACTCATCAAAAGCTTCATCAGAGTCAATCTCAGAATCGTCTTCTTCTGCGATTTCACCAGCATCGTATTCCAAGTTCTCTACTTCATCGAGATCATGTCCCTTGCGACGTCCAGTTTCCTCCTCGGCTTCAAAGACATCTCGATTCAATGATTTGCTGACAAAATCGTTGAGAGCGTTACGCTTGTTGGGTTTGCTTTGCTGCTTGGAGGATTTGAAGCCTCCTTTCTTTTGTGGGCGAGCCATGGTATTTGCTTATAAAGAAAGAAGAGGGAATCAGCTTGAAAAAAATTACACTGATTTGTATCTTCGTGACTAGGTGGTTGACGAAAAGCAGTCGTCGAAGCAGGTTGTTTAGGAGCAAATTGATGCAAATGTGCACCCAATTGTAATTTCCCGGCTATATAAGGGGGGGCACACTGCCATCCGTTGCAGAGCACTGGGATCATTTCTTCAAGTGGGATTTCGTCACTGATGCCAATATCATATACGGTATAATATGAATATCCATGGGTACCACATCTTCAGACTGAACCAGCACCTGTTAAACAACGAAACCAAGCGAAATCTAGCAATTTCGGCACATTTGGCCTCTCCTAAAAGCGCTATATGCCTCGTCAAACTCTAAAACATTGCAAAACGTTGATAATCCATCTGGCCAAATACTATCGACCACTTTTCAGCGATTTTTTTTGGACAATGAAAACATGGCCAAATTCCTTGATTTTTCATGAGGGATACCTCATGGATTTTGCCAAATTTTAAATGATTGAGTTTTTCACCTCAAAATCGCGACTTTTTACTAAGGCATGTATTAACTCAAAATCATTCCAGAGATGTACTGCACACTCTGATGCAAGTGCTTTGTACACTTTGATTGCGAAAAATTGACTTTTTCGCTAAAAACCAAATATCAATCTTTCCAAATTTCCTGACCGAGATGTTGAGAGATTGCGACAAAAGCGGCACCATCGTGTAGAGTGCATCGAATTATACTAGTTTACCTAGAGATGTCTTGATTGTTTATTTTGATCAATGCCTTGAATTATGCCTCCAAAGGAAAATGGGATTCCAAAATCGCAAACTTTTGTCATTTGCCATTCGCTTTGACTTTCGATAATTTAAGCCCCGCTCACTGCGAATGCAAGTGTAGACCTTTATGAATGGCTTCCCTTATATCATTCACGATCACCAAGCGCAACGATAGCACATTTGATATGCTATATATGTGCAGCTCTTTATCTAAATTGCAGCTGAGAGTAACTGTAACTGAGAAAAAGGACAGAAATAGAAGAAAAAGCTCACAGTTCTATGCTTTGCAGTGTGAATTGTTGCCTACTGTTTGACCAACATACAAAACGTGGTTCATTCGCTTTATTGAAAAGCCGAATTATCAAAACGAGTGGTGCATTTCTGCTTTAAGCTGCGTCATGAGGGAACCTTTTCCTTTTTCTTTCCCAACATTCATACACAACTCTTGTAGTCAACATATCAGCAAATATGAGTGAAGGCATGTTCTCAAGACATGCTGCTTTAAGTGCAGGTAAATTTGAGGAAAAAAGAGCAGCGCTGGTTCTTGAAATACCAACCGTTGAATGAATAGGGGCTATTCCTGCTTCTGCGGAAGAGTTGTCGCAACGATATCTGAAATTGTTTCAACAGTACTCTCGGTAAGCTCATTCAAAGACATGGCCGTTGCGATTATCCACTGAACGCATGCATAGCTTGAAAGCGCAACACGCTGTCTTGAAGAAAGCAGTGATCAAGGTAGATACCAAGACCTTGCTATGGTTTTATCAAAGACTTATACGGTACTATAGGAACAAGCATCCAATGTGGCATTACAAGGAAACGTCAAGGAAAAAGAAAAAGAGCTAAGAAAGGTACATGTCTTTAGTAAGCTATATTCATGGTGTTGATCAACATACCAACTCCTGTTTACTACCTTTATTAGCTTCAGGAACAATTGGATCTTTTAGCGTTTCACAACGAGAGACTTACGAAACGTATCCAAGCCGTACAGGACAGCGAACAAAAAGGCAATCATTTCTCTTTATTAGGTGGATCAGTAAAGAAGGAATTGGAAAAGAGTGCACAAGCACTGGATGAAGCGAACATGGATTTGGAGCGAAAGATTGAAGAGAATGAGAAGCTTCACGAGGAATTAACTGAAAGACAGTTTGAGTTTACTGAAAGTATCAATACATTGTTGCAGCAAATCCAAGACCTCGAAAAGAAAGTGAACGATTTGCAAGACGAGAATGTCAATTTACAAGCAGAGAGCAGAAATGGCAGTGGCAATGGTATTGCTGGTGCTAATGATACACCACTCGAGCATCGTCAACATGTGAATGCTGAAGTCGAGTTGCTCAAGAAGGAGTTGAAAGAGTAAGTTACTTATCTTGGACTGTGTTGACAAGGGGGGGGGAGGGAGCTGATTTGATGTTGGTTTTGCAGAAAGAACGACTTGTTGGAAGAGAAAACGCATCAAGCACAGCAAAATGACATGCAAATGGTTTCAGAAATTCAAAGCTTACGTGCTATTTTGTTGGCCAAAGTTGGAAGCATGACAAAGGAAGAATCCACTTTATATGACATTGTCCCTGCAGCATCAGATGCATTGAAAGCATTGGAGACACAGGCCAATCAATACATTTTATCCAACGGAGACAAGGTAAAGACTCTGATAGCAGTATTGGATGGCTACTGACCTGTAACACGCTTAGACTGACATGAAGGAATTACCATCCGACATTGCCGAGAGGCTAGCTATATCCACAGAGACATACTCTCAAGAGCTGCTCAACTTGTTAAGGCAGCTGGATGATACCAAAGCAGAACTCAACAGACTACTAAAAGAAAAGGACGATGAGATCCAGCACACCAAAAACAAAAACCAACAGCGTACGCAAGAGTTTGAACAGCAGATTCAGGCACAAAATGTCAAGATTGAGGGTCTCTTGGCAACCCTTGAGACAAACCAAAAAAGCCAGACTGATGCAGTAGCCAAACTTGAAGCCATCAATAAGAAGCTGGAAGACGAGAATATGCAACTGCAAAAAGAGCTTGAATTACAGGTAAAAGAGGCCCTGTTAAGCATGATTCACAATTGATTGAAACATGCTGCTACATAGAAATCAAACCTAGAGGATGCGCAAAAAGAACTAAATGATACCAAAGAATTGATGAAATCCAAAGATACATCAGACAAAGAGATTCAAGTGGATCCAACTCTTGATGAGCCCAGAGCAGCAGACAAAGAGACCAAGGCTGACGCGGATGTACCCCAACCTAATGATGACACAAAAGAACAAGAGGAAGACGACGAGGATGTCTTTGTATACCCTAGCCAACCCACTGAGGAACCCAAGAAGCAGCAGGAAGAAGAGGACGAAGAGGACGAAGAAGAGGATGTCTTTGTATACAGAGGCATGGATGCAGTTGTGCCTGAAGCTGAAGCCACAGAAACAAGCACTGAATCAGAAAAGATATATAATCAAGATGACATGAACAGGAGAGAAGCCAACATGAAAACATACTACGAACAGCAAGTTGCCCAACTCACAGAAAAGATTCAAATGACTGATAGCAAAGCGCTCAGATTTGCAGCCATGTACAAATCGCTAAAAGAGAGATTGATCCAAGAGGACAAAGAAAAGCAAATGATGGTGACAGAGATTGATCGTCTGAATAAAGAGGTCAAGAATGTGCAGGATTTACTGGCTACTACTGAATCGAACTACCAAAAACAAGTAGACACAATGACGGAATTCATCTCGTCAATACAACAAACGCAAGAGGAGCAATCTCGACACCATCAGCAGCAACAACCGCCACAGAGACGAAGCAACAACTATCACAACCAACGCTAAAGGAGAAAAATTATAATTTATGACTAATAAACCCATCAGTATATATATATATATATATATATATATATACCCGTCGTTTGATGTTGGAATACATTTAATGGTATGAGTGCTTCATTGATGCCGTCTATACAAAAGGTAGCATGCTTGTCACAATCCACCTACCCACTGCGGCTTAAAAAATTGGATAGACTTTTTGATTATTTTCATTCCTTTCTTTTTCCATTCATACCACAAACACCATGGCTACTCTCGCAGACGAACTCGCAGCAGATCTCGACTTTTCTTCTGACGAAGAGGAGGAGCAACAAAGATCTGACATAGATGAAGAGCAAGAAGCACTGGATAAAATGAAGCAGGATGCAGATGGCGATGAACAGATGGAATCCGTAGACAACGCAAGCAATAGAACAGCAACTTCCAGCAGTGATGATGATGCCAACAGCGTAAAAAAGATTGCCAAGCTGTTGTACAGCAAACAAACACAGGACGTGCTACAGGTATATACTTGATCAAGTGTCTGTAGGGATGGACATACTCACATTCATGTTGGAACATAGAAAATTGACAGTTACATTGCTCAAAACCGCAATGCAACTCAAGTTGTTGGGCCCACTGAAGAGGATGAAGAATACAAGCTTATTGTGCAGTCAAACAGCATGACAGCAGACATTGATAACGAGATTCAGACGGTACACAAGGTAATTGCACATACAGAAATCACTAAAACACCAGGCTTACTCTCACACGCACACACACACACACACACACCATTCGCTTGCTAGTTCATTCGCGATCATTATGCAGCCAAGTTTCCCGAGCTCGAGACACTTGTATACAACCCATTAGAATACGCACGCACCGTCAAGGCAATTGGCAATGAATCAGACGTGACCAAGGTGGATCTTCGACCTATTTTACCATCAGCCACCATCATGGTGATCACTGTAACAGCCACCACCACTTCCGGCAAACCATTAACAGACTACGAATGGAAATTGACAGAGGAAGCTTGCGACATGGCACTTGATTTAGATGCAGCCCGTAGAAAGATTATGAATTACGTGGAATCTCGCATGACAGTGATTGCACCCAATTTATCCGCTGTCGTTGGTACGCCCACTGCCGCCAAGCTATTGACTGCCGCTGGTGGACTCACAGCCTTTTGCAAGATCCCGTCTTGTAATGTGCAAGTCATTGGCAACAATCGAAAGACCAACACTGGATTCTCAACTGCTCATATGGATAGACACACAGGTTACATTGGATATGCAGAGCCCGTGCTAGCAGCACCTCAAGATTTGAAGAGAAAATTGATCAAGATTGTGTCGGCCAAAGCAGCTCTAGCGGCTCGCATTGACGCTAGTCATCAATCGCCCGGTGGAGAAGCAGGACAAAAAATGAGAGACGAGGTGGATGCCAAGATTGAGAAGCTACAAGAGGCACCTTCCTTGAAGGTTGTGAAAGCATTGCCCATCCCTGACGAAGGACCCAAGAAGAGAAGAGGTGGTAAACGTGTGAGAAGACAAAACGAAGCCTATGCCATGACTGAATTGCGCGCTGCTCGTAACAGAATGGCATTTGGTGAAGCTGAAGAGGAAGTTGGCTATGGCGACGAGACAGAAGGTCTTGGTATGGCCACGAAACAAGTGGGCAAAATCAGAGCCTCTGTCGCAGATCAAAGAAACAAGAGTAAGTGACATGTGATAGCACGCATGGGCAAGTAGACTAAATGCTGCATTCATTTCATAGTTAAAGCACCCAAGCTCAAGAGTTTTGCTCGTGTGTCTGGTACAGCCACCTCTGGCTTAGCATCCTCACTTGCATTCACACCTGCCCAAAGCATGGAATTGATTGATCCAACAGCAGCCGTTGAAAAGACAAAGGAAAAGAGAGCAGAGAAATATTTCGGCGATGGTGCATTCTCCATGTATCCCAAGCATTAGGCCCTTGTATCAGTGATTTGTAAATAAAATAGCAACGAAAGCAGGATCATGCTACAATTCTTATTGCAGAGCGGTCTCACTGGGACCAACGTCTTGTTCCAATGAATGTAGTATATCTCGGATAAACAAGGAAATTCAGTAGAACGTCTTTCGATGGTGACTCATAAGATGTTTCATATTACTCTACATCCACATGGAAGGAGGGGAGCGAGGCACTAGCAAGGATCATTTAGGAAAGCGCGGGGGAAAAACTATTCAGCAGCAGTGTCCATACGAAAAATTTTCTCTACCAACACATGTTAAAAAAATAGCTGTATGGGAGACAGAATGTGGGAGGGTGAAAAACATCCATGCAGCAACATTGGCTTGATTTGCAGGATGATTCCCTGAAAATCGCACCCATAGTCTCCCCACAATAAGAAAGATTTCTGTCATTGGTTTAGCCGTTTGGAGACGTGGAGACCATACAACAATAGCAATATGAAACCTTCTTGTTAGACTCCAGCTGTAGCAGATGACTTCAGCCACCTACTACATAATCAATCAAGTTTCTTTTTTTTTTTTTTTTTTTCTACATTCCCTTCCTTTCTTTCTGTTGATTTATCTCACAATTCAGAATCATGGATACAGCACCTGGTCATTCGACATCAACCATGATGAGAAAGGATTCAATTGCCATGTCTGCCAGGACATTCACAACACTATCCAGCTTTGAATGCCGCGAATACAAGCGACTGCACGAAATTCTGTCGACTCCAGAGCAACTCGCCTTCTTCCAGACTTACCTTCAAAACATACATGCACATGAAAGTTTACTGTTCATCGAAGCATTGTCCGAACTAAGGCACGACACATCGTACAACCACATTGAGCAAATCGTCAACAGGTAGGTTTTTTTTTCCGCCTCATACTATATACGAGTATATGGCTCATCGCTGTCCATAACAGAATCTGGAAAACCTTTCTAGTGGAGAATGCACCACTGGAACTCAATGTAAAGAATAAACAGGCCATTGGCGATGAGATCAAATCACATCGATGGGGCATCTTGACTAAAAGGGAGGCCCTTGATCTGTTCAAAGATGCAGAAACAGAAGTCAAAATCTTTCTTGTACGTTTCTCATTCAGCCATCCGCATGCCAACTGATCTAACGCCTTGGTGTAGAATGAAAAGATCATCGAATTCGATCAGATATACCAGCCAACGACTAAAATGTAACAATGACAGCTGAATGAAATAACTCTGCTCTTCTTATCCATACTTTTGCTTAGAGCATGCTACGATCCAGAAGGCACAAAATATCAGAAAAAGGTGGTCGTCATTGGAGGCGGATTCACAGTAAGAAGGGGATAGTTGATGTATGTCATTTAGCGCAATGTGTAACCAGCATTATTTTGATAGGGTTTCACTGTTGCCTCGATTTTAGACCCAATGCCACGTTTTCATGTTACGTTGATTGATACAAAAGGTACACCCAGCATGAGATATTCTGCTGCCGCTGGCTCAGTGGTGATGATAGGCGCCTAATGCCCTTCTTTTTAGACTCCTTTGAATACACGCCTGGCATGATCAAGTTGCTGGTGCGGCCAGAAGAAACCTCCTCTCTACGAGTGAGGCATGATGCCTATGTTAAACAAGGACGCGTCGTGATTGGGTATGCAGATCAAATAGTAGACGATGCTAAAAATGTCAAGGTCAATGACGAATATGTAAATATCAAATCACAGCAAGTAAACCTCATGAAAGCTGTTGTACTGAACACACACGCATAGATTCCTTTTGACTACTTGGTCATTGCGACTGGAAGCACCTATCAATCCAAGCTGAAATCGTTCGACACATCTTCGCTGTATCGATTGTCTGAGCTCGCCACAGAACATCAGCAACTGAAGCAAGCCAAATCTGTGTTGATCATCGGTGGCGGTTTAGTAGGCTGCGAACTCGCCAGCGAAATTGCCAATCATACGTTTCCTGCCCCCTACAACACAAAGAAGAAGATTACCTTGATTGATTGCCATGATACGCTTGTCAGCAGAAGCTCTATGAAACGACAACAGAATGCCGCCAACTATTTTAAAGACCTTGGGGTTCAAGTGATACTAAATGAAAAGATTGTTGATTTTGATTCAGCAGAAAACAATACCTATTTAGGGTCTACCGGGACACCGTATGCAGGGTACGACAAGGTGTTCTTGGCTACAGGAACATCACCGTGCAATCATATTCTCAGAGACGAAGGCGATGTAGGGTTTGAGTCTTGTCTGGATCATTGGGGCCGCGTCAAGGTCAAACCCACCTTGCAACTGGATCATTGGAAGTACAACCATATCTTTTCTGGTGGCGATGTGACCAACGTTAATGAAGAGAAAACTGGCTACGCGGCTACTTTGGCTGGTGTTTGTATCGCAAGAAATATATGTAGGATAGAAAAGGGAAAAGCGCCTTTAAAACAAGGTTCAAAGGGTACCTTACCTGCGCCAAATAAACCGCTTCATGGTATCGAGTCCAGAGGGGGCGTTGGACGACAGCATTTGAATATATTCAAAAAGGCATTTTCTTTCCTCAATCCTTCCTGGGCAGCTCTCAAGTACTTTGACGAGAAGGAGTTTCTGAATCTGGTGCAAGGAGAAAGCAAACTCGTCACCACAGCAGCAATTGGAAAGAAACCTCGCATTCTTGATCTGGACAGGAATGACAGTAGCAGCAGTAGCGATAGTTGCAGTATCCCCAGCATAAACAGCATCATCAGTCATCACCACCCATTGCAACATCAACAACAACAAACAAAAAAGAAAACGACATCACTTGCACCCTGTGGGCATAACAGAGCGCTGTCGACACACTCTGTCAATGAGGCGCCCTTGGAGATTTCAGCAACCAACATGTCTGGCTCTGATATCATTTCCATCCAGCATCAAGGCAATGTACTGTTTCCTCCATCTGCTCCTGACACCTCTCTTTCTGCTTCTGCTCCTGACACCTCTCTTTCTCTTTCTGCTTCTGCTCCATCTCTACAACAGAGGACCTCTTGCGACTGTATCTACACACCAAACCAACTGAAACCACGGCCATCAACGGATGTCATACCGAAAGAGACACAACAACAAAGACTTGCAAGAAGGCCAAAATCGAATGATGAAATTCGACTGATTCATACCGAAAGAGCATTATACCACAGAAAGATGAATTCGCAATAAATAGCACCTTGTTTGTTATGATTTTTTTTTTAATATAAACATCTAGAGTTAAGCTCTTTTTCCTTGTCCTCTCTCTCTCTTTAAGGTATGTTTGCTATTGCAATTCATGTTGTGCTCACATGTGATGACTATACTAGTTGAATTGTTCTTTTTATCGGGATCAAGTCCGTACGAGCCGAAGTATCATTAACGGAGCAAGAAATAAAAGGTCATTTCTTCTGTGTAATCTTCCATTTGAATCAGCTAGACCGAACTCTCGAAATGCATTGACCCTCTGGATGCTTCACCCCCCAAGCAATGCGTCCGATGAAAAATGAGTGGATAGCTACGTCATGTAGACTTATGTTGTAACTATTATACAACATCGCTATCCATGATGAAATGACGTTTTTAGATTATTCGATTTTCAAAGTGAAAACCGGCATTGCAGCAATGTGGCTAAACCATGGGTCATGCTTTTTTTTTTTTTTTTTTTTTTTACTGCCCGTAGATCTTGAGAGCCAAATTTTATAGGATGGTGTGGTTCATATCCTTTAAAGCATAATGGACATACCGAGCAAGCGTCGTAATTAGTGATACCCTTACTTCCCTTGTGTCACTCAGGTTGCTTCATCGCATTTGAAGTCTGGTGACATGCGTTGGCATCATTCATGTATCACTGTGTAGCCTACCTATCTTTGTTGTTTTCCCTCCCCCCCCCTTCTTTTTCCTCTTTGTCAATCATCTACATGCGTGCCTTGCTGATTCTTCATCTACCTACATGAAATTCTGTTTTTCTCAGTTTTTGCTCATTTGATTTCAATAGCTTGTCATTGTCAAATGTGTTGATTTGAAACATGACATTTGGACAATGAGGCTTACCATGCAAGAATTCGTTGTACAAAATGACAAAAGCTATACAACAAGACATTCATAAGGAGAACGAGGGGCGGTTTGGCCTAGAAAAAACAAACTTTTAGGTGCATGTTTAATGAAGTATAGACTAGATATACACACAAAAAAAGTGGCAGAGTTTCTTGTTGCTTCCGAAATCAAATATTGTTGTGTTACTCAAAAACACATAAACAACAACAACAACAACAAACCAAACGACCACAATAAAAGAGAGAGAGGTTTTTCCTGTTGATCACTTGCTTTTCCTCTTTCTTTTTATCACACTCTTTTTTTTTTTTTTTTTTTTTTTTTTCCTTTAATTATATAAAAAAAACCTTGCCATGGAAAGATTACTGCAAAACACACCTTTTCACCATCCATGCAATGTGTACAAAGAATCCAAAATACCCATATTAAAAGACTACAATGTCTCTGATGAATGCAAAGAGATTGGCAAGCATTTATTGGACATGACAAAGAACCCTCTTGTATGTGTTTAGCTAGAGTGCAAGAGAGAGCATAGTGTAACCGTCTTGTTTAGTGCCAGCATGTTGATGTGTTGATACCCAATGAACCCTCTCAGCAGACGGATCATTTCAAACACTTTTTTGGCAAGAAATACATGCCACAGGAACAGCAGCAAGAAGCCAATACACATCCACACAACATTGTAAGTGTGCGTGAGGCATCAATTAAGCTCGTGGAGCGGCTGCTAACATGCTTCATTTAGTCATATTCAACCAACAACAACAACAACAACAACTGCATCCCAAGTCATGCCACTCAAAATGCATGCATTGTCGAGTCGCCTACATCAAAACCCATCAAAGAATTCATTGCGACTGAACAGTCCTATGTCAATCTACTAGAGGAAATTGTCTATAAAATCATGAAACCCATCAAAGAGTCCATTGTGGATCCCATCAAGCAGCCCATTCTGGACCAATACTCATTCAATCGCATCTTTATCAACATGGAAGACATTTTGCACGTCAATAAGTCACTGCTTGAGTCGCTACTGGAGTACAAGCAGGGCAGCACAATGGCATCCTTTGGCAGCATCCTCAGTCGTCATGTAAGCATGCAGCTACAAGAAGTTACATGCGTTTGTATTCACTCCCTGTCTTTGCCTTAGTTTGCATCCTTTGATTGCTACAAAATCTTCTTTTTAGGCAAGTCAAACTCGCTTGCTTGCCACCAACAAAACATCAAGCAGAACAAGAACTATGCCAAGTTTCTGCTCAACAAGGAATTGAAGGGCAATCTCGGCATGAGCGACATTTTGATTCAGCCTATCCAACGCATGGGCCGCTACAACCTGCTGCTGAATCTAATCATGGATCATCTGGACCCTCACGACATGGACAACCAGCATTTGATGCAAGCAAATGCCAAAGTCTGTAGCATTAACGATATGCAATATGGTGATTCATCGTTACTTAATTTGTATCACCTTATTCGGGACGCACCAGTAAGTCAATGTGTTGTATACATTGGGAAAAAAAAAAAAAAAAAAAAAAAAAAAAAAAAAAAAAAAAAAAGCACAAGCCAACACAATCATGTCTCCAAAATAGGCCTCCTTGATTCAAACCCGTCAACTGCTGGGCTACTTTGATGCAACTGAATTATCGCTACAATCGGGAAAATGCAACAGACCAGTGACATTACTGGTGTTTACAGACAAGATCATGGTGGTCAAGCGCAAAAACTACAATCTGCAGGGCAAGGACTATCTGGAGAAGATTGAAGAAAAAGTCAAGGACACCCACTCCAGCAGCATGCTTCAGAAGGCCAAGGAAGCATACAACGGTCTGCCGCTCGAGTTCAAAGGCTGGGCCGACATTAGATCAGTAGAGATATTTGATGGTTTAAAAGGTGTGTTGTGTTTTTCACATTGTACAACCTTTGTGTAATCACTCATCGGTCCGAACTGTTTGTTTTTTCTTCTGTTAGATCGACCTGATACCTTCTTTTTAAGAACGTGCCTTCCAGACTTGAGTCCCAATGCTACAGAAAAAGAGTGCGAAGCCTACTTTAGAAGAAGTGATCGCTTGTATTCCATCATCCCCAGTTCCACACGCTCCAGCAAATCCGTCCAAGATTACATAGCAAGCAAATCTGCGCTGATCCGCCTGTGTCAAAAGCAATGCGCGCTATCAAACATCAAAGGTAGTGAGGGCAATTGCATCATTGGCATGTTTTTTTTTTTTTTAGTAACATTTGATCATTTTAGACACTGAATCGAATGAATTGTATTACGAAGACAAATTTAAATTACCCGCTTATACCCAAATTTACAACGATCAAGAATCTTATCGAGTAGCTGAATACAAGAACCATATTTTGGTGGTCTATTTGCAAGATGGCTGGATCGATATCAACCGTCTGATTAGCGATGACGTCTGGATATTGGCTCTGGTGCATCGACATGAATCTGGCGGCTACAAACTGACTATCCGTGCCAGAACCAGCTTGATTCCCATCCGTGAAAGGAGCCGAGACCTCGAGTATGAGCAAATCGTCGCTGGCGAAACTCATGCCAAGCAAAGCAACACGCTTGATTTCATTGATACCCTGTGGAATAACTGTAAGTTTTATCCGATATCCTTTTGCCATTATTTTTTTTTTTTTTACTAATCTACCCATGGAATAGTGTTCTTTTATGAAAGAAGATTGCGAGCAACTGAAGCATTCTCCTGTATCAATGATGACTTGCTTCGTGTCAGAGCACGCTCACGTTCCCGATCCAAGTCGCTTACTCGAGTAGCAAGCAACATGAGTCTCGGCAAGATCTTTTCTAGATCAAGATCATCCTCACCTTCAAGAAGATACTCTGTCGATGAGCATGAACAGGGCACTGAATCTGCGGCATCACATGTGCTTGATCCCATATTCAAAATAGCCACTGTAAACAAACAGCTGGAAGACAAGTTCCGAGGTCCATCTGCCAACGTGTACGCAAATGATGGCTACAGCATGCCTACTCCTTCAACCACAACTTCAACAACAAGCACTGCGGCAACGGAAAGAAGCATGAAAACACGCGGTCAGCACACTCATCCTGCAAGGGTCAATACAGCAATAACACAGCCACACTACTTTAACAACGCTCCTCCTTCCGAGATCTTTGTTCGCGATGATACCCATTTCATTGATAGCTTCAATCAACCCCCAAAGCCCACTAGTCAGCCTCAGGAAGACGTGCTCTATGGTGGCAGCAATCTGTATCAAGACAACTCGTATAATCGCCCTCATCCCTATTCTCGAAGAAGAAGCTCTGTTCAAAGTTACAACAATTTTGATGCTATGCTGTTTAGCCAATCACCCCAGGAACTGATGTCAAGACCTTCTAGTGGCGGTAGTAATAATAGTGCTTCTTCTTTTTCCTCTTCCTCTAATGAGACAAGCCCAGTTTCTGGTGGTACAGCAATAACAACAACAGACCCTCGATATGGTGTGCCTCTATTTTCAAGTGATACAAATAGCACAACCACAACGTCAAGTGGCAATGGCGGTGGAGGTCACCCTTACAACTCCGTAAGCAGCTACAGTAGTAGCATCCGAAGCTATCTGGAGGAGGGCAACATCCTGGCACATCATCCCCATGAGCGATATGGCTCCGTTCGTAGTAATCACAGCTTTTCTTCTGATGAGCGACTGATGAATGCTATAGACGGCTCTAGAAGATCCTCTGCAGCGGCTGCTGCTTCTGTTGCCAATGGCAGTTACCGTGGCAAAAAGCTCAATGCAAGTGCTGCTCCACCACCGCTTCCCAAGTCGTTTTACAGTCAATCTCAGTTACCCACCGTGCATCAGCAGCAGCAACCTCATTATCATCATCAACATCGCTCATCACAGCCTTTACCAGCATCCCATCACCAGCATCAACATCACCAGCATCAACATCACCATTCACAACAGCCTAAACTCCCTCATCGTGCGTACACAAGTCCTGCTGGTGATTCCATCTCTACCAATTTCGCTCAATTGAAACTGGATGTCAACGATTTGATCGATGATTTGATTCAATCCCAACAAGCAAAGGCCAAAGACTGCAATACGTATGAAAGCGTCCGTGGTCTACGAAGTGTAAGTTGGTGTAGTCGCATAATAGTCTCGATGGGTTACTGATAGTTACTACAGCATATTGTCTCTAGATTAGATGAGTTCATGGACGATTTGAGTCCTGTTGGTAACGAAAGTCAATATGATTTGCGTTGATCTGCTTTCAAAATAATATACCTCCCTCTCCCATCTTTTTTGCTATTCTCTATGTACATGCTTCTCCATTCATTTCAATCCATTCTATTGCCTCCCCCCGCCTCCCCCTCAATGATTCCCTCTTCTTCACATTTGTATATATTACTCGTCTTTGTCAGTTTGTTTAAATTAAAATATGCTCTTTCTATGTCCTTAAATTTACAAGCCCGAGATCATATGATGCATTTACATCTTGATGAAAGCTTCAAAAGCAGTGTCCATTGCGGTTTGACCAAATTACCGCTGTAGAAATCCCATACTAGCCATAGCATTTGCTATCTGAGGTTTTTGATGAGTGTCAAAGGCAGCAGGAAGTCAGTTGCACAAACTGCTGGCATAGATTAGAGTTTGAAGCATCATTTATGCAAACGAGCCATGCTGGGAGCTTATCCATTTCCCATATTGTAAACCCAGCGATCGCCATTACCACACGTATAGCAATTTAAAACGCGAAACACTCCACCCCTTTCTTCCTGTTCTTTTTTTTTTTTTTTTTTTTTTTTTTTTTTATCAAAAACCGCACTTTTCGCCAAACAAACAAATTCAGATGGACGAAGACTCTTTGATCGTTGTCCCCAAGATTGAGAGAACTGGATTTGAGGATTGCCCAAGATGTCGGCTAGGTGAATTCGAAAGCAGTTTTCGCATCTCTGTCAAGAACAGTTCGCATGCTCCATCACACATCTTTCATGTGCACAACAACGAAGGCTTTCAATCTATCATGATGAGACTATGCGACGAGTTTCCAAGGGATTGGCTCAAGGGCGTGGTCTATTACTTTTATATTGATCTCGGTGGATTATACCATCACATTGAAGATCCCAGTTGGTTGAAAGGTAGGTGTCACTTGATACACTATTCGACATGAGAACACTTAGACTTGCTTGTAGATAAAGACATTCTCATTGTCACCACTGTTGAAGACTTGGAAGAGCTACCTTCAATCAGTCTTGCTGCCGGTAAGACCTATTTGGCTTGTCGGTTTGACTGATTCAACAAACTAATGGATTGCACCAGTTCATGCTTCGCTGAGACATGATGTAGAGCTGAGAGATCATCAAATTGAAGGTGTCAACAGAATGATCCACTTGGAAAAGTCCCAAAGAGGCGGTATTCTTGCTGACGATGTAAGTAGAAAGGGATTGCATGCGACATTCATAGTGCTGATCCTGTTTTTCTATGTAGATGGGCTTGGGAAAGGTAATCGCTAGCAACAACTGCCAGTTTACCAGTAGAATGTAACCACCATTGATAGACAATTCAAACATTGACCGTTATCCTACGTCGACAACCTCTTCAAGCCATTCATGCTTGTACATTAGTCATTGTGCCATCAAGAGCCGTAAGCATCTCCAACACACACACACACATACACACACACACACACACACACAAGGCACACTTCTTCTAATTTCGCTCTTGCTATAGCTGGGAGATCAATGGGCAGATGAGATTCGTACTAAAACAACCTATGGCAGTTTACCTTATTTTATATATCAAGATGAAAACGTCGCACTGATTGACCGTAAGAGACAATAGCCAACACACCTCGCTTTCTTTACTCATGTAGCTCGTTAGAGCCTTGCTTCCGTGTGATTATCACCACATATGATAGAGTGAGAGGCGAATTCAAAAAGAGGGAGCAGGGCATAGAAAACCAATCGCCGCTATTCGACATTGATTGGCACCGTATTGTGCTTGGTAATGACATGTGAGGTTGCAAAAGGACGAGAAATTAACAGAGATCGCATAGATGAATCACACAAAGTGAGAGCAAGAACTATGCTTGCAAACGCAGTAACATCGCTGAAGGGCAAATTCAAATGGTGTCTATCAGGAACACCCTTCCAAAACGACATTACAGAGCTGTACCCTATTTTTGAATTTTTAGGCATTGAATTAGATCCAAAGCGAAAAGCTGAAGAGGAGTATGTCACTGATGTACTCAAATGCCACATGATTCGACGCACCAAAGCCATTTTACACAAGGAACTCACCATCTTACCAAGACAAGAACAACGTTTCACACTGGAGTTCAGTCCTCCCGAAAGAGCTTTATATGAATATCTGGAGCGCTTGCTATACCACCAAATTGCCCTGATGAGAACCAAGGGTGACCGTAACCATCATGTTGTGTCTGCTGCTATTCTCTATCTACGACTAAAACAAGTCTGTGGCCATCATATGATTCTAATGGACAAGTTTCCTGATTTGATTCCAATGGCTGATGCGGGTGCTGATGACGAAGTTGCCGCTGCAATGGGCGAAGGAGATATTCCAAGAGAGAGAAACTACTGGGACGAAGCTACAGAGTATGAACAAGCTATGGAGATTATTGCCAGTTATCAGTACGTACTCATTATGAAGAGCGACCCAGCTTGAATCTAACGTGGCTGCAAAATAGTGATCAATACGGAAATTTGCAGGATCCCATCGATTCCTCTCAACTACAAAAGCTGAAATTCATCAAGCACTCTACTAAAGCTACTTGGTTGGTATCGTTCTTGAAAGAGCTACTTGCTGCTGATCCAACAGATAAAATTGTGGTGGTATCACAGGTAAAAAGGTTATTCTGCAACATGGCTGACGTTAGATTCTGACCCATTTTGTTGGTGTAGTTTGTGGATGTTATCATCAAAATTGCCGAATTACTCACTACAACAAGACTTCCCTTTGCTACATGTAAGCTAGATCATACGTATGCCCAAACTACTTATCAACACTCTGAATTAGACCATGGCTCCATGTCCAACTACGCTCGCAAAATAGCATTACAAAAGTTCAACCACGACCCTCGTTACCGTATCATGATTATGTCTCTGAAAGCTGGTGGCGTTGGTTTGAATCTTCAAAGAGCAAACCACATGATTATTCTTGACAGATGGTGGAACCCTGGTAATACTGAAATGCATTTGGCTGTGAGAAAAGTGTTACTCACCATGTCTGGTTTTTGTAGCCACTATGGATCAAGCCGTCGCTCGAATTCATCGAATGAATCAACTAAAAGAGACCTATATCCATACAGTAGTCATCAAAGATACAATAGAGGAGAGTTTAATGGATAACATCTTGGATAAAAAGGTGAGCAAATGTGAGAGAATTTGGTATTAAGGTGGTATTGATACATTCAATGTAGAATGCTTTGTTCCATAAAATTGTCGAAGCTGAGCTTGACAAGGAAGAGGATGATTTCAAGGCTGACCCTGTTAATGAGAATGAGCCACTCTTCAAATTGGATAAGGGCAAGAGAAGAGCCGATTTGAAGGAGGAATTATATATTGAGGATTATGACGATCTACAAGATTTTGAGAGCATTCCCTTTGCTCTCAAGAAGGAAGAAAATCATGACATTGATTTTTTTGCAATGGAGCAAATTATGCCAAAGAACATGGTTAGAAGACTGGATAAAATTGAATCCCTTGATAATGATACGAGTATCCTCTCCAAGAAGCGTAAGAAGAGAGAACCTCGCGCTTAGATTTGTAAATACACTTATAGTAAAAGATCTAGCTTATTAGCATATTTAAAAAATTAATATAATAAATACATAGCATAGTTTTCAAAAAGTCTCGGGGAAGCTGCAAAGATCAGTACTGTGATCTCGACGTTGTCTGCTTCTTGGATTCAGTGCCCACAACAGAGAGCTTCTAATCAGATTGTACCTGGGTTTGATGTAACGCCGATTAAATTGTTAATTTATGCGCCCGTTTTGGTGAAACCCACCTTGATTTGTTGCACGTTTCTCAGGCACATCTCTTTAAAGAAACGAACAACAATAGAGATGTCTATTTCGAGATCCATGACTACTCAATAGTGCATTTTAAATTAGATCTAAAGCATTTTTCAAATGCCAGATCAAGCTGGCAATCACATTTTTCATTGCCATATCACTTTAGTGCAAATCTCTGATTGTGGTTAATGAAAATATCTGATTTCCCACTATTCTGAATTGGTAGAAATTGAGCAAAGCAGGAAGAATTAAATCAGCATGTCGCAGCAATACACCAAATGTATGGTTATGTTCAATTTGCTATACCATTTAATTGTTGGTAAGTTGCGACTCTCCGAGCAAACGCGATGCTACTATAAAGGCAAGCGTACTCGATGGTCAAATTGTCTTTGAAACAGCTTACTCATTGTACGCTTCATCCGCATTTTATGGGTCAGCATCATGCAACGCTTGACATGATAGAGTTTGGTTGGTTGGCACTAATTAAACCAAATTTTATGCAGTTATAAATATTTAAAGATAATTATCTAAAAGAGAGCTTATTCAGTAGTACAAGAGATTTTACATATAGCGCGCACATTGGACCAAATAGGATTTCTTGGGAAAGTCATGGTCCAGGAAAAAAAAAAGCCGTGTATTACGAAATCAACACTCGGGTTGACTAATTGCACCAATTGCCAAAGTATGTAAGAAATACCATTTATAGATTTTTGACAGTAATGTTCCTCTTGCCTACTAGATTTAAATAATAGAGGAACAATAGGGCAATCGCCCACGTGCTACATGGTCTCCTTCTGATTTTAGCTTTTCCTAGATAATGCCTCGCGATGACAAAGAGAGATGAAGAACTTGTTTGATAAAGACGATCCTCTAGAGAAAGAAAGCGAGATTTTCAATAAGCAGAGCTAATAAAGTAAAGGAGACTGGAGCGTTTTTTCTACTAGAGTCTTAATTTGCCTAGAATAGACTGGATCAAGCAAAAACAGCCTTGTTTCATCGATAATCTCAAAATGAGAAAAAAAAAAGAAGAGAAGGCGAAAATGTGAAAGAGGTATCAGGCAAAAAGCGAAAGTCATGCTAGTATCCTGCAAACAGCACGTTGCAATGACGACATTAAGGTCTATTGTTTCTCTTTTGCATTGCATTGGAGTTGAGGATAGCATCAATCATGATACAATAGACATTTGGATGAAAGATTGCATCTCACTTTACTTTTAGCAATGTGCTTTTCCCCTCGAGATGTTGGCTTTCTATTGTGAACATAGCAAAATGAATAAAGAAGGTTTATTTGTCATGTGTTCTTCTTCTAGGACGGTAAAGTGAAAACGACGATTAGAATATAGTGTGTGTGTGTGTGCATCTAGTTAAGGACAATATATTATTGACAAAAAAAAATTTTCCCGGGTATCCCTTTTTTTTTCTTATTTTTCACTTGATTTTCTATTTCAAAGCCTTCTTTCTTCTTTTATTCACTCATTCTTGATAAAAAGAAGGCCGGTTTCAAGTTTGAACATCCAAAAAAAGAAGAAATGACCAGCTATATCCCTTTACCTTACTCCTCGTACAATGGAGAGTACCAGCCTCAATCAGATCCTTCGTCAACCAGTGAAACTTCATCTCAACCTGTCCTACCAGTATCACCACCTTTGCAACAAGGGTAAGTGCCTTTTCCTTTTTTCTTGGTTGTCATGGTATCGCGCGATGGTCCCTATGCAAAACTAAAAATTCACGATCCCTTTACTTTTTTTATTAATCTGAAACATTTAGATTAATGTCGATCTCGCAGCCTGAGACTCCGCGCCCAGATTCAACGGCCCATACGCCTCCTCCTCCTACTTCATCTGCATCATCATCAAATGACAAATTAGCTATTTCACCCAATTTGATCCGCAGAAGACCACCTATTCCTTTGAAGCATGCCAACTTTACAACGACAACATTTCACTCAAATCCTTATCCTAGTGCTGGCCCAATTAGAAGAAGACGAACAGAATCCATCTTTTCATTTGAAATGGGTCCTGCTTTCACTAGCACCAAGCAATTGCATGATTTGTACAGTATGGATCAGTCGAACAGGTAAATGCATTACTTTCACACAAATGTTTGCAGAAAAAGCTGACATTATTATCTCTTTTTAGTTATCAAGTGCAACTTCACGCTAAGATGGATCGAGGTTTTTTCAGAGCAGATCAAGATTGGACATGTTATCGCAGAAACTATTTTCAAGTCAGTTCAACATTTGATGTCCATGGCATGAATTACATGATTCAAGGTGCCGAAGTACCTTGCTTGCTGAGAAAATCACCAGATTCACAAGAGTTGCTTCAAGTTGATTATTTCTCTATTGGAGTGTGTGCTCGTGTCACCAACAATGACAAAAAGATTGAGCTAGTCCAGCATACACCCAAAAGAGATAAGGGCCCACAGATCATTCCTGAACCAAGACCTGTAAGAGCTGGAGGAAACTTACATCTTGCTTCAGTAGGCTCCAATCACAACATTGTTACATTTGAAAGATTGCAATTCAAGACTGCAACTGCTAATAATGGGAAAAGACGAGCTGCTCAGCAATACTATGAAATTGTCGTTGATTTATACGCCAATTTCCCAAGAGAAGAGCCTCTACGTGTTGCTACTTGTGTCTCTGCTCCTTTGGTGGTTCGTGGACGCAGCCCTGGTCATTACGCAGACTCACATACTCGCTTCAAGCACATGGATACAGACTCTTCTATTTCAAATGAACATATATCTCCTGTGCCAATGGGCGCTTCACTGCCAACAAGTATGTCTGCTTCATCTACGACAAATGGCAGTAGTGTAAACGAAGACAGATTTGCATACAATGCCTCTTCTCTTCCACCACCCCCACCACCATTATCATCATTGACCACCAATGGCAGAGCAAACCCTATGGATCACCATGCATCTCCAAATCATAGATACACTAGTCTACCCAACTCACCCGTCAGTGATTTTGGATACTCGCCTTACAGCAACTATACGTATTCTTCATTATCTGGATATCCGCATATGATGGGCCCACCTCATGCTTCAGCTAATGCTTCGAATATATCGCCATATGCACATGCAGCATCCATGAACAGCAACCCGATGCCTAGTCCTTATTTTCAAAATGTAATATATCTACTTGTAAGACTTGTTTGCGTTTAGACATACTAACTTTCTGGTTTATGTTAGGATCAATCACATCATCACCATCCACCTCCACCTCCACCTCCTCATATCTATGCTAATGGGCCACCAGGTTTTCACAGTGAGAAAATAAAGACTGATATGAAGCACGCTAATTACTGGCATCAATCAAACGAGGTTCCAAGAATGAATCATCCACAAGAACATTACCCAAGTAATGGCAACATGTATATGAACTCGCCAGCAAGCAACCCTTACGGGCATCCTCCTCATGAAGATACTCCTGGCAACGCCTACCCTTCTAGTCTTGACGCTGGTCGTCCTCAGTAACAGATTCCTAAAATATTATTGTATGTAATTGAAATACTTCTATCCTTTAACCATTCTATTGTTTTATTCTATGCCCCCCCCCCACCTATATATATATATATATATTCATCTAATAAATTACCATTATAACTTACAAGCATCTTAAAACTAATAAACAACGTTGTAATATTTACATGTGTGTATGATTACATGTGTAAATGTATCATTCTCCCCCACTGCTTTGCTCTTAAATTTCTTCATATATGTTAGTGGTCTTGCGTAATACATTTTGGCCTGATTTTGCCCAGAGAAACCTTGACCGACAACTTGATGGTCAATGAATTATAGACTTCAAAAAGCACCAAGGATGGAAACATGAATTCCTATTTCAAGACTAAAAACTGCTCAATATAGAGCGTCAAAAAAGCTATCCCCTCTTTTTGTAAAATGCGCAGCACTCCTTGGGCCCTTTGCCAAACCATCATGAACGCATCTCTACGCTTGTCTCTGCACTTTTAACACTAATAATGTAGTGGCTTCAAATACGGATGCATTCAGTATTTCGAAGATCTGCTGTTGATGGTGCTCACTGGTAATACCAAGTCTCTCCTACGAGTTTGGTGTTTCCACAAGTATAGCAGTTGGTCTCAAGCGAACACAATTTGCTGTCTTGCTCAGTGTCGCATTGCTTTAGAATCGAAAAAAAGCAGAAAATAATAGAAAGTCAATGGCACCTTCAACTTAAATACAAATATCTGCAATTGCTTCTGCTTTTATGGATCGTTTCAGAATCGAGATGATAGCAAATGTTAAAATGAGAAAAACTACATGAATAATTTCAGTATCTGATAGTCTGTCTGTTAAGTCTGTTAACTAATGTGTGGCCATATGCAGAAAGACCCGTTTGTTTCGCATGCAGAAAAGTGTTTGAATCGGAAGGATTCCTATATTTTTTGATTGTCTCCACAGCTTCAGGCAGGCCCACATTGTCATCCTGAACTGTGTGTTGCTTGGTGCATTTGGGAGGTGAGGACAGCCACTCTGCCTCACCAAACCACTGCTCCCGCTCTCTCAAATAGTGATCATTCGCAACTTTGTCATCGCCAACAAACCAGCTGAATAGCGTCTTAATTTGCATTGCTTGCTTGATTGTAGGTCGCTGATGTTGGTTTTTCTGTGTGAGTTGTGCAATGATTTGTCTGGCTATGTAATGTGAGTCAGTATTGCTTTTCTTTGTAGAAACATGAGTCTGTTTTCTACTTACAGGGTGGCGAGATGTTGGTGAATATAGCAGGTGATAGCTCAATTTCTTGCATGACGATAGCTTCCTCCAAACTTCGGGCCTCGCAACTATCAAATGGATGATTACCTACCAACATTTGATAGAAGATGATCCCGGCAGCCCAGCTGTCCACCTTGTCGGAAAACTCCTTCAACTGGACCATCTCGGGAGCATGATATCTATCGAAAAGGATCAGTTTATGCAATGCTCATACTCTGTATTGCATACTCACGCTAGAGTGCCCCAATCTTCCGGCCATGTCTTTGGTTTGTTTGATTTCTGCATAGAGTGTCCGAAATCTGCAATGACGAGCCTGGGTCTATCTGTGTATCGATCCGAAAGCAAGATATTGCTGGGCTGTATAGCATAGTTAGTACATTATGCTGGTTGCTCGTTTGAACATGGTACCTTGAGGTCTAGAGGAATACGTCATGCTATCAGATCAAGTGTCATGCTTCTTTTAGCAGCTCAACTTACCGCAATGAATGATATCTTTGTCGTGTAAATACTATGAAAAGAAATGAGTATCGAACAACATAGTGTCTAACAAAACACATTACATCCAATCCTGCAAACAATTGATTTATCAGGAATGTTGCGTTTCTTTCATTCATCTGGTTCAAACGTGGATCGCTGTTGTTCAGTCGTTCCTGTAATGAACCACCGTAGTATCTAATTTGGGTTAATCAGATTAGTTGGCATTGACAATAGTAGCAGCACTTACAGAGGTGAAAAAGCAAATACTTCTTCTTGATTTTCGTGGAGAGCCACCAAAGAGAGGACATTTGGCTAAATGTTAGATGCAGTGAGTATATCACCTGTTACTATTAGACATCTTTACTCACATGCTTATTGCTCTTGAGTATCTTGATCTCGGTTTTATAGGCCCTTATCACCCATGGTTTGAGACAAGATCCCCTTAAGTTGGTATACTTACAGGCCAACTGGCAATTGGGGTTGTCTTTATCATAAGCTAACAGGATAAAGGATTGATTGCCGGATCCGATATCCTTTTTTGTAGACCTGATAGAAATTTCTCTGCCTGTATTCTCTTGCTGAATTGGAGAGGACAAATAACCTGGCTGAAAGGTCTAACAACATAAAGGAAAGATTATTAAAAATGCTCTTTTGTAAATATTTGCATGGTGTACCATTGCTAATGCTGGGAACCGCTCATCATCGACTGCGTATTGTGTGTACTGCAAATCTAAATGAAGTTGAGTAATTTGATCCAAGCTGAATACTGCTCACACTCACTGATATGCATTGATGCAAATGAGATGATGCAGCCTGAATAGAGAAGCACCGTCTTGTTCTGTCCAATCAAACAGGCATCTACTGCATCGTCGTCATTACAATGTGAAATTTCATGCTGGATATTTGGATACTTACAGTAAGTACCGGTTGTGCTAGTGTCCTGATTGCAAATTAGTATTCTTCAACGTCGCCATCATTGCCTACTCAATACTTACAGTAAGATAGACATTAGGCACACTGTTAAGTGAGTCAGAAGCCTATAACAAATGTTAGAGACGCGTGCACCTCTTGCTATTCGTTTCACATTACAGATGCGATCACACAATGAGTATCACAAATCAAATCTTCAATGTTGATCCGGATGTCACTGCAAGCATATCGATGTCAGCACATGCAACTATCTTCATTTAACAAGTTGCAAATAGTCTAACCTGCCCTCATCTTTGCCAATGCGATACAATGTGCCCTCTTCTATCGAAACCACTAAGGTTCTTTGATTAGCTGATTCTGGCATGGTGGTTCGAATTCGATACTGTTGAGTCTCACCAAAGCTTTGGTTGTTTTTATTAACGCCTCGCAAAACACCAAGAAGTTGCTTCATATGTCGTGGGTTGCAACGTTTTGTGAATAAGCTTTGACAACACAAAAGAAAGAAACAAAGGTTTATGTCATCTGCATTCAATCAAATAGGCATTGCGGTACAGTCACAATTCTACTACTGTTGAAGGCATACCAAAACGTGATTCAGGCACCTGTTCTTTGTAAAGGATATGTCCATGAGCTACCAGCCAATCTTGCAAGATTTCCGTCAGAAAGCCTCGCAGAAATACAGTTTCTGTTAGCAAATCCAAGGCTCCTATTTGAGAAGCAGCATAGGAATATCCGTTTGTATGCCATGATGCGGATGTAATTGCAGAATTTCGCACAATCATGAGTAACAGAGTTGTAAATTCGAATCGCTCACTCTGGCAGGTGCTATGTCAAATCAAGCTGTGAGCCCATTTATATTTTATTACTTAATTTTTTTTTTTTTTTTTAATAAACATTCTTTCCAGAAAACCTGTATAAGAGTTGCATGAAAGATCCCGCTTAAGATTTCCCGAGCACTATTGTAGTCAAATACTGGCAGATTTGGCCCAGTGAAGAATCGACGCCCATGCAATGTCAATCGTCCTATTCATGCTATACCTGACTTGAGCTTTGGGAGTATATACGATGACACACTATAAAAAGCACCAAAGGTTTTATCATGTGTAAGGATGGGTTTATTGTCGCTAATATTACTCAGGTATATGCAAAATACAGCGAAATTGAAATATATTCAAGCAGTAATATCTCGTGTTAGAAGCCGTATTGGGCTGCTAGAATAGCATTAGACAATTGCTCTCGACTAGCAGGTGCTTTTTGACACCTTTGCTGACCTTTTTGGGGATCAAAAAAATATGGCCGAAAATCGACCAAAAAGCATGAGGTACCCCTCATGGTTTTCATCCAAAATCAAACGATCGCGCTTTTCACCTTGATAACGAAGACTTTTACTATGGTAAATATTGAATCAAAATGTTTCTATCGATCTAATGTAACTTCTGAAATCATCTTTGTGGGACTTTGATATGTAAAATTTCGACCTTTTGGCCAGAAACCTCTTTTCATAGTTTCGTAAATTATTAAATAAGTTTATTCAAAACATCTATCTTACTTGGTACCACTGGATGCGCCTTGAAAAGTACTTCAAGAAAGTTTAGTGGCGTATGGAGTATTCATCACTATTTATATAGTCGAATCTGACAAAATAAATCGATTGAGTCGAAAAAAAGCATAATCTGTCCAATCTGAAGCATACTTCAAGCGGTAGTTTAATTGGTTCTGGCTAACAAAATGGATACCTCGCTAAATGTAGGCTCATACAGCAAAAAGGGAGTTGCGAGTTGAAAAGTAATATTTTAGCTTGGCCTGACGACAATCTAGCATCAAATTAGTACTTAGAATGAAATGTGGCATAATTGTAGTTTTAATAGTTAAGGTATGCACAAATGCGGGATGATGAGAAATATGATATAATACAGATTTAAGCCAAAGCTTTTCTAAGAGCAGCCCATTTGAGAGTATATCTTTTGATAAGGACTAAATTGATTGTGAAAACCAAAAGTAGACAGCCACAAAATGTGAACAAAGGTCCATTTCCCATGGCTCTCTGAATATCAGAAGCAATCAATGAGCCAATACCAGCCATAATATAACGAGCAAAGTTGTTACATGCAGTGACAGATGCACCTTGTTTGCGGAAGCAGTCTACCATGTAGGCACTCAGAGTAACATTGGGAAACATGAGAGCAATACCCACTGATTCAGCATGTTAGCTACAATTTATACGTTATGCAAGACAACTTACAAAAGAATTGGCACACTAAACCGTATGCAAAATGAACATTTTCCTCGAGGCACCAACCATAAGCAACGAAGCTCACTAATTGAAGCACCATGGAAGCGTAAAACAAGAACCCTCCAAGACGCATCTCAGGATGTACCTCTTGGTCATTCTCTTTGGCCTTTTCAACGTTGCGTCTGTAAGTAATATCAGACATTCTACCACCCATGATACCGCCCACCATAGAGCCTGCAGCAGAGGGCAAGTAGCAGACACCTACAAGGCCGGAATCAAATCCATATTGAAGGGTATATGATCTCGTAAAATTTGTATTGTTCAGATAGAGTACAAAGAATCTACCTTCAATGTTAACGATCTTGATCGTTTATGGCGTAATTATGACTTACAAGATGCCCACAAATGTAACGGCCAAAGCGATATTGGGGTATCGTAGTAGCCTCAGGGCCCCAATTGGATTCACAAACCGAGTCTTTTTCTTTGCTGCTTCTTGTTCTTTAGGCTTTTGTGCTTCAATGTCTTTGTCCAGATGCTCCTCGGGATGCTCCATATTGCTTGAAGTAGGACTTATTGGTTTTTCTATGATTGCAGCAACTGGTGCTGCAGGTGGGCTTGCTCGCCAAGTTTCTGGGAGAAAGAATACAATACCAAGCCATGTCAAAAAGACAAAAATGGATAAAAACCAAAATGTACTTCTCCAGCCGAGACCTTGATTCAAGTAACCACCGATAATTGGGCTACATGTCAAAATGTAATCAGAATGTATGTACATTCATTGTGAATATAGTGAGTTACCCTATTGCAGGACCCAATAATGGTCCACATGTGTAAAATGCGAATGCTCTACCTCTCTCATGAGGCTCGAAAATATCAGCAATTGTACCTGCTCCCATGGACATTGCCTACATAACATTTGATTAGTCACTAGATTTAATGAGTGTGAGATTTTTTTTTTTTCAGTATACCGATGATGATCCCACAGCACTGAAGGCTCGGAACACAATGAACATTTCAGCATTGACAGACAATGCACAGCACACACTGCCAACGAATGAAATGAAGAATGAAATAATATAGATGCGTCTTCGACCTACGCAGCTTACATTAGACATTGCTCAAGATTTAGCATAGGAAAACGTACCAAATAAATCACCAAATGTTGCCCAAACCAGAGGCTGTAACTAGAGTTTAGACTTGGTTTGTTAATTGATCAATCAAATGTACATCTTACAAAGAAGGCAGTAAAGAAAGTAAATATAGACACTACAGGACAAGATTTAGTATGGCGCATAATTAACATCATTTAAGGAAAACATTACGTGATGCATTCATGGTAGTATCTGTGGTTTGAAAAGCTTCTTGCATCGTAATCAGCGCTGGATACTGTTACGCAGGGAAACATTAGTGGTCATGCATCCCAGATCATTGAGTGAAACTTACATAAATCGTAGATGAAACCGGTGATCTATCCATGACAGGAGCAAAGAATTTAGTTGGATCAACTGAATGATGAAATTATTGAACTAAAAACAAACTTACATAGCACCTCCAATAGCCACAACACACAAAATCATATTCTTCTTGTATTTGGGAAACTGCTTTGGATCAGAATTATCTTTTGTCATGCACCAAAATCGAAATCCTCTCTTTGATTTGCCTGCAACAACTGTATCTGTGGTAATGGATGACGAGCTGGTAGATGAGGACGATGATGGGCGTCTTTCAATTTGCTCCTGTTTGAGTTTATCATGATCTTGATAGGTTTCATCATTGGGATGGTGCGAATCCATCATTTCCAATGTGGGCCCAATCATTGGGCCATTGTTATTCAAAGACACAATCAATTCTCTTTCCAGATAGCTTTTGGTTGATTCGTGAGATAATATTCGAGTGGCAGGCTCCATGTTGGATGTTTGTGTATGTGTACGAGAGACAAGCAAAGAAAAGTGCCGAGAGTTCTCGGTTGTTTATATAGCAATAGCAAGATCAGAGACGGAAAAGAAGAAGCAGGAAATGAAAACAAAATAATGAATGTGGTGATTTGAAGCAAAACGAGGGAAAAGGATTTCCCTTGCTCACTCATTTTCATGAGATCTTCTTTCCATCATTGATAATTGGGTGCAAACACCGAAAAAAATCTGAGATAACCTGTATTTCATCGTTTAAGTATAGTGTGAATTACAAACCGGCGAAAATATAACCCTTCAGTGCCTGTTTTCAACCATTTTGTACTACAAGAAGATTCGTTTGTTTGACACTATTCACAATGACACAGAGCCTATACAGTCGAAATCTAGATGGATAACACATTCATACTTTAGAGATAATCAGGCATATGACTTGAATGTATGGGCTTTGAGGAGTTTACAGAGTCTGGATCTCTGATTTGTGTATTTAATCATCAACCTTCTGAAAAAGCGCGATCAGATCAAGCTTATTTAGACATTCGCTTCAGATCTACTGAGTTCCAACACTTCATTTCACTCAAATCCTAAATGGCATCTCCAATTTCCTGTCAAGACACCTAGTGGCTTTCAGACGGATTCACATTGATACTACTCTTCAAGACACATTCTTGACATACAAAATTCCTTTATAATTATGGAAATGATCGCTTTTATTTAGCAGAAAAGTTTGATCGAAGCTAAATTTTGTACGCTAATCTTACATGAGTGTGGACCCTGGCAAAAGATTCCTTTCTTCGGTTGAAAACTGAAATTGATATAAAGTCTTTGCCTTTCATGTAGCTCTTGGTTATACTCTTGTTAGGAAAGAAATTCTATATCTCTACAGCAAAGCATTTCAAATGAGAGAAATTGTCTGGTATACTTTTTAGTGATGGCAAAGGTTTGTTGCGTCTCAATGCGCTGTTTCAAGTGATCCATGTCTCGTTTGGTGGAACGAGAGTGAATTCAAGGTACAAGGTACCTAAATGGAAGGCTTATCTTTACTATTTAGGGGGTCAAAATCAACAGTGCTGATCCTAAGGTTCTAAAAATATGATTTTATTGAGGATTCGTACACTTTTAGGGATAGCTATAATAAATTAATCGGGCAACATCTCGAATTGGTGAAATTTAGTGATTATGATTCCCCCCCCCCCAGCTTTTACTATAAAGGACACTATGGCAATGTAAAAGTAAAAATACATGGACTGATATAACCCAACAGTAGCGTGTATCTGTGAGTTTGTGAACATATCCTAAAGAAGATGATTCCTGTGAATCTACGAGAAGCAGTGCTAAAAGCCAACTTTTTTCGTGCATCTAAGCCCATATTTGGAATCAAATAACAAACAAAACGTCAAGCATTCTGGCAATAAACGACAGGACGCTGACGGGTCTTTGCCCATGCTAAATTACTAGATAGATGAGTGCAATTAGTATGAAAATAATACAGCTTGACAGATGATATCATTTGCAGCATGTCAACTGGGTTAAGTTGATGATCGTCTAAAAACACATTTTAATTTTAATTTGATCTCAAGGTAAGAGAGGTACCAAGAGAGATATAATGAAACAAAGGTTTGCAAAAAGAAAAGAAAGACAGATTAAATAACGAGGGAAAAATATTTACAGTAAGTGAGGGGGATGATATGATAATGAAAAAGAGAGAGAGAGAGAGAGGGTAAATAGTGGTGGGGAAAAAAGAATGTAAGTAGAGAAAGGAAAGAGCTTTACAATATTAAACATACAGTGGGAATACAAATTTGAATAACTGGAATGAATGAATGAACAAAAGAAGTTTTCGAGGCATATGGAATCGAGACAGAAAGAGTGGAAGAGAACGAAAGATTGGAAAGGATCATACGTTGACATACATAAGAGTAGGTTTAAAGACTGACAAAGAGATTGACAGTGTTGTGGATACCACGACTTTCGAAAGCCATCTGAACATCGTCATCAGAGTTGATTGTAATGAAGTCGCAATCTTCGTCTTGATATTTGAGTCTGAGGAGATCAGTTGACTTTAGGTTGGCAACGAGGCGAATCTTTTTGTCGACCTTTTCCATCAATTCAAAGAATGTAACTTCATGGTTGGTGACAATGACATAAATGCCATCATTGAAGTTGAGCTTAATCTTGATAGCGCCTGGAGAAGGAGGAGCAGCTCCAGTGGTCATTGCAATATCACTGAGTCGGGGCGTTGAGGCAACTGATCTCATCATGGGCGGGGGTAGTGGAGGTGAAATAATTGTTTCTTGATGCTGATGGTATGAGCGTGAGAGATCCAATGGCGTTGGTTTCATGTTGGCTGAACGTGTGGGCAACTGAGGCATCTCACTCATAGTAGGGGTACCGGGTGCTGTTGAATCAGTGCTTGTAGTTGCTGTAGAAGAAGATGCGGTCATGGGAACAGTATGACCAGGCCCATTATTCTTCATGATGTTAGGACTACTTTGAGAACGAAGACGGTTTTGATTGATGGGCAAAGTAGGTCTTGTTAAGGTAGAAGGGTGGGCTACAGCTGCTGATTGAGACTGAGAGCGACCTGTAATCAAGAGTGAATGTTGATGGAAAGGTTGTTGTTGCTTTTGTTGTTGAATTAGATAATGCTGATGGTAATCCTCGGCAGTGTAATCACCTGTTAAAAAGTTGGTTGCAATGTCTGTCAGACCATCATGACGATGCCAAGCAGCGGCACTAGTGCTAGTACTGGAAACACGAGATGAGCTTGTTGGTGATGACGGGTGAGATGGAGGCGGTGAAGCAGGATAATAGTTGCAATTAAGCAAAGAGGGAGGTGATGTAGATAAAATACTGCTGGTAGTCAGACTTGAATTTGAGCGAGGTAAAGGCGACAAGTTCATGCCAGGTACGTTGTGATAAGGTCTTCCTACGACGTTGTACTTATCTTGGCTAACAGCAGCGGTTTGAATGGGACCTATTTTACCGCGAATCATAGGTTGCTGGTTAAAGGAACTGCTGCGTGATCTTTGCTGTTGATGCTGTTGCTGTTGATGCTGTTGATGGTAGTCATCTTCCTCATCGTCAAAGAAGTCATTTTCGCCTTCTTCTTCGTCTTCACCGTCAGTGTAAGTTGAAGATAGTTGATTGGATAGTAACTGGTCGTTTTCATTTGCAACATCGATAGCCTTTTGAATGGCTTTCGTCAATGTACATGTCCAGAGCTTCAATTGCTCTTCATTTCTGAATTTGAGAGAGATTTGCTCCAATTCACTGTTCTTGAGATCAACGACAAGGCACCAGACACCGTTCTTGCAGCACTTGCTGTTCATATCAGCCATGTTGGAGGTATAGAAGACGTATTTAGGCACCAAACTGCCACGTCGCTTCTTCTTGTTGATGGAGAGAGTATTGCTCTTGGGCAAAAGATTGTTGCCTTTTGATTCTTTGCAGAACAAAAGGGCTTTTTCAAAAAAGAAGACGTGCAGATCACGTTCATTGCTTTCAGTGGCGTTTGTTGAGATGATGAGCTTGTCTTGCAACATGAGATTGCCGTAGCCGTCAATGCGGATTTCTTTCCAGTCATCAAGTCTCTTTTTGAGCTCTTGCACCTTTTGGACATTTTCATGCTGGCGTTGGGTTTCATTCACCTTTTCAGTTACTCGTTTGATGGCATCGACGCTTGCTTGCGTTTCTTGGTAATGAGGCCAGGTTTTGTCTGTGCTCTTGAGCAGCTCTTGCAACAACAGAGGGTATTTACAGATACGTTGAACCGGCTTGATCAACATGGAAGGCAATTCGTAGATGGGGTTTAAAATCTCGGCCAACTTTTGCAAACGAGGTGTTTCTTGCACTACCAAATCCTGAGCTGAATAGTAATTTGCGCAATAAGGTTCGTATACAGAGAATGATTCCTCCATCGTGATAAACAGGTGTCCAATGCGCTGTTCCTCAGGTGATTTCTCTGCGATTTCTTCCAGCTGTATCAGAAAGCGACGCTGAAAATCCACCAGGGCATTGAGATTTCCAAAAAGGTAATGAATGGTATCCGCAGAAACGATTTTTTGAGTCTGCAATTCACGCATGTAATTCTGTATTTATTGCAGCAGTTAGTTTTTTGGATGATTTGCAAACAACACCAAGGAAAAGTTTTACCTGAAGAATTTCCATATCTTGTACATATTTGCGTTCTGTTTCCAACAACTCCAAAACAACCTTATCGCGTGTGTTTTTTGGATTCGGATCAGAGTTGTCTGAATTTCTATTGGATGATCTTACGGTGATGATACCGCGATTTTCCAATAAAAGCAACAATTTATTAATGGTATTTACGACCTAAACAAGGGGTGAGAGATGAATAGGTTAATATTGTGTGCTACCAGCCAAAAAAAAAAAAAAAAAAAAAAAAAAAAAAAAAAAATAAGCTCACTTTGACAAAACCAGTAGTATCGTCCTGAAAGAGATCTGAAATGGTAAACATTTCTTCCTCCGGAATCGACAAATCACGAATACAAGCAACAATAAAGTGATAGACATTGGCTTTGCAAGAATTCAGTGCGTTCAAGTTGGGATCACTGTCAACGCTCAGGGGTTTGACAGGTTTCAAAGCATTGTAAAGCGTGCACAGCGGAAATCCCTGACGACAAATCTTTGTCAGCTTGGATAGTGGATCTGATGTGGTGTCTTGTTCCAAATACATTTGCATGCCATCAATGGTGGATAGCTTGTCCAATACGGAGCGGCATAGATGATACAGTGAGCCTGAACTGGTAGGTGTTGTGGGTGTAGCTGTGGGTGTAGGCGCCGTGGTTGTGTTGACGGGCTTCAAGGGCGACGGCGATGGCGGTGGTTGTGATGGGCTGGAATTAGTGTCCATTGTTGCAAATGAACTTTTCTGGTTGAGTGCTAGTGTGGCCATGTTTGTGGCGATAGTTTGAGTGGATGGTTCTCTATTTCTTGATTATTAACACTAAGAAAGAGAGGTGGAAGAAAAGAAAAAGGGGGGGGGGAGGGGGAGGAAAACAGAAAATGAAAAAAAGTTAAAAATGAAAAAGAGAAAAGCAAAAGAAAGAAAATAAGAACAAAGGCCTCTTTTTTTGTCTGTTTTTTGTGAAACATGTACTAAAATGAATTGAGGCAAAGAAAGAAAGGGGGGAGGTTTCTTTGAAAATGCATTGTTCAAGGAGCAAAGCGACAAATTAGAATATGGGTAGTTTATCAAATTAAACAAATAAATAAACAAATGTTTATTATTTATTGATGCCATTCAAGAATTGCAGTTTTTATGCTATTCAAATATTGTAATTCAATGGCCAAATCCTTTGCGGATTCATAGTCATTTTTCTCAAATGCCAACTGTAACTTGTGCACCGTTTCTGCGTATTTCTCTGTTGTGAGTAGATGTTAGTTGATGGTAAATAAGAACACACATTGAAATTTACCATCATTCCGTGCTTTCAAGGGCTTGATGTCTGCCTCTGATTGTGCTTCCTCCAGCTCCTCTCTAAACTCCATGACCTCCATCAAGAGTTCAGGATTGCTTAATGAGTCACCTTCATTCACCTGGATGCCTTGCTCCTTGAGTAGATACTGCGCACGGCTAAGGGGATCTTTTAACGTGTGGTATGCCTTGTTGATGACGGACGATTGCAATTGTGCATAGTCTAATTCTCTCTGCAAAAAAACCGCATTAGATCTCAACCGTGTTGATTTCATCTACAACCTGCTTTTTTTTTTATTTTTTTTTTTTTTTTACCTTGGGTGCTTGAGAAAAGCTGTCTGGATGTGCCTTTTGTTGCAACATTAGAAACTGTCTACGCATTGCTTTCAAATCAATGTCAAATGTAGGCTGATCTCTACACGTAACAGATGAGTAATCGTCACTGGGATTAATAATCCATCCTAACCTACTTGTTGTCTCCTTTGCCTGCTTGCAGTAGATGAAAGAAGTTCAGTTGGGCTGGAATGGGTTGAATGACTTTACACACTGTATTCTCGCAGAATAATGCAGAAGGCTTATTTGTGGATTGACATTGCCAGCATTTCTTGTCTTGTGCGATACTACGCCAAGCTGAAGTTGTTGACAAATAATGTTTGCTTGTACGTGGATGAACAGAAGCAAGTGCAACCCTCGTTCTTGTTGTTGTTGTTGTTGATTTTAATGTAGGTGATATCAACTGAAATAATCGTCTTGTGTTCAGCATATTACCCCTTGATTATTAGCAAAAATAAATTAAAAAAAAAAAAAAAAAAAAAAAAAAAGAAGTGAGTTCTACATGTAATCTGTAGGTATGTGTGTGTTGATTTTTTTTTAGAACTTGCGACCCCCCAGACTAAAATCACAGCTCCGTTACAAGTGGTTGAACAAATAACACTATACCACATTCAGTTGCAATGTGATAGTTTTATAAATAAAACTGATCTGCAGCTTCTCTTATCATTTAGCTTACAAGATCCCGGATTGTATATATTATTCCGTTCCATGTTATATGTGTAAATTGACATGATGTAAGGGGGTCTTGTAGAGTCCGAGTAACAAGGTACCAAATCAAGCAATGCAGTGCCACCGCATCCTACTTGTTTCCATAGCAACCAGGTACACACACAGAATTACACATCAGATCATACAATTAACCCCTATATCTTGAATGAGCCCACATTGCAATAATGAAAATTGGAGTGGCATGTCAATTTTCATAGAGGATGCCCCGAGTGTTACACTCTTTTCTGATTGCACAAGTTTTACTTTGAGTTGCAAACAAGACTTGACACCTTGTCATTTATATTTGAATTAGTCATGTTGTATATTAATTGTTTATTGGAAACGATTGATCATATCAGAGATACGATTTGGTGATTTGGAACGGATCTCCTTGGACGAAGTGGTCTGTAATTGATTATGATTGAGTGTGTTATTAGTACTGTTGTTATTGAGGTTTTCAAATCGACTACGAAGAGATGCCATTTGAGGTTTGTTGCTCGTGATGGCAACAACTGGCGTAGTGTGGTTGTTGTTGTTGTTGTTGTTGGCAGTAATGGCAGCGACTTCAGCATCAGATGCTTGGTTTGCAGAAGGTTCAATAATGAGCACCTTGTCTTGCTCTTGCTCTTTGGCACCAATCTCGACGCTCTCTACTTCTTGCTCCTGCTCTTTGGCACCAATCTCGGCACTCTCTACGTCTTGCTCATTATTGGTTTCCTGTTTGGGCAAATCAACAATGATATCGTCTTGCTTTTCTGTTGCCTTCTTCTCGATTTCTGTTACATCCTGAGAAGAAGTAATGACATCAGATCCAATTTCACTTTCATTTATTGATTCTTGATCTACACCGCCATGATTGGTGCTGTCGTTCTCGTTGCTGGTGCTGTCTAGAACAGCGTTGGCCTCTGCCTCGTTAGTATCGTTGGCAACATGCTCTGATTTGGTGGTTTCTACAGCTTCGTCAGGATGACTTGAGGAAGCAGGAACCGATGAAGGAGTTGCGGATGCCTCCATGTCAGCAGAGTCATGATGATCTGCACCATGAGATGACTCGGAAGAAGCCTTTGAAGCAGAAGAAGCAGTGGGAGATTCTACAGCAGTATCAGCCTTCTTGATCTTCTTGGGTGTGGTCAAAGTGGCTGCTGATGGCTTCTTTGGTGTGGGTGCGGTCTTCTTGAGTTTGGATCCAGTTGACAAAGTTTCCTTTCTCGTACTAGTTTTACCAGGATTGGCAGAAGATGGGAGTCCAGAAGCTGCTGCACGGGTACCTGTTGTTCCTGTAGTACGTTTAACAGCGGTTCCATCCGCCTATAAATAAAGATTTGTAAATAGTAAATAAATGGTGTATTCTCACAAGTGTAAAACAAGGAGTGGAACGGTGCTCTCCTACCTTTTTAGATGCAGTAGTAGATGTTGGAGGTGATATACGACGTACACCTCCAGTAGTCTTGGTGCCAGTGGCGGTAGTGCTGGGTTTCTTGACACCTAAAGCAGTAGTAGTAGCAGCAGCAGTAGCATTAGCAGGCTTGGAAGTAGTAAAAGCCTTGGATACATGTGAACCAGTTGTAGCTGTGGTAGTAGGTACCTTTTTGGTAGCTGCTGAACTAATCTTCTTTTGGCGAGCAGGATCAGCTGGTTTAGGAGTAGTAGTAGTAGTAGTAGTAGTAGTACCTTCAGCAGCAGATGATGTCTTTTTACGTGCACTGGCTGCAGTAGGTGCTGTCAATCGAGAGACCAATGATCGAGTGCTCACAGCTGCCTTCTTTGTCTTGATTTCCGTGTTGGCAGAAGCATCATCTTGAGTTACTGGCTTCTTTTTAGTTTGTTGAGAAAGTAAAGCCACTCTAGGCACTCTTGTTTTAGGTTTGGGTTTGTCCTTTTCGTCTTCGGCATCTGCTCCGCTGCTACTTGTGGCGGCAGTCTTCTTCTTTAATGTGGATGTAGGCTTTCTCAAACCTGTACTAGTCGCCTTCTTCTTATCTGCAGTTGTTGTTGTAGTAGCTATGGCGGCACTACGAGGATGGCCGACAGATGAAGCACCAGCAGCAGCAGGGGCTTTAAGTTTAGGTTGCTTCTTGTTGACATGTGTCTCCTTGATGTTCTCCTTGACTTGGCTCTTGTCTGCTGTTACACTAGAATTCTTGGACGAATCACTGCTATTGCCGCTGGATAGAATGTTAGCGTCAGTATCAGTGGTAGTAGCAGTGGCTGTCGTTGTTGTAGTGGGAGTGGTTGAGATGAGATCGCCCTGTAAGGGAGAGAAGATGTGTCTGAGTATTTGGTAATGTTACATTACTTTGATGACTGTATATCACGCATACCTCCTTTTCTTGAGTGACAGATTCATTCGATTTGACATTTTGGTGATCTTCTGTCATGTTCTTTTCCTTTGGTGTGTCCAAGGGTTTGTCTGCATCGACATCATCATGAGCGACAACAATGACATTTGTTTGTTGTGTCTCGTTTTCCTGAGCAAATACCTCACCAGAAGTGACACCGTGTTGTTGATGCTGATTAGCGTCGTCGTCATTGTCTTGCGCATCAGCTGTAACAATATCTGCATGAATAGCTACAGCAACAGGTTCTTCTTGCTTCTTGCCTTGCTCCGCATTCAAAAGCTCCTTCTCTTCTTCTGCTTCCAAGGTAACAGCAGTAGGTTCAGTCTCTAAGGTTTCCATGGCAACAGGGGCACTGGCAACAGGCTCCAAAACTGCATCAACCTTGGCTTCCTCTACGTGGATAATGGCCTCAATCTCTTGCTGTTCTTCGGCATTTGCTTGTGCTTCGGCATGATCCTCGTCAGTATCGTTTTCAGCAACAATTTCAGCTTCAATGGTCACCGTTTCAGGCTGTAACTTGACATCTTGTTTCTCCAAAACGGGTTCCTTTTCAATTTGCTTGGTATCCTTCTTCTCCTCGAAATGTGCATCTTCTTTGGTATTATTAGCAATAAATGTGGTATCAGGCTTGTCAGTTTCTTTTGTATCTTTGGTGGTATCAGGAGCAATGTCATTGGCATCGGTGGTAGAAGCTTCAACAGTGACAGTAGCAATGGCACCCACTTGGGAAATTTCTTCAGCATTTAAAGCATTAGTAACAGGGGCTTCGTTAGCATTTGAGACTTCAGCAGCGGGAGCTTCTTTGGTGTCAGGAACATTGTCATCAGCAAAGGTGGCTTTGACTACTTGTTCTTCCTTTGAAGCATTATCATCTTTGTCGGCAGTGGTGGCAGCAATGGTATCCTCAAGAGAAAGATCGAGCTTGGCATCTAAACTGACAACAACTGGATCAGCAACAACAGCGGCCCCCTCTTCCTCAGCATCAACAACAACAGCGGCCTCTTCTTCCTCAGCATCAGCAGCCACACGAATTTCTGTAGTTTCATCTTTCTTCATGTCTTCAGGGGCCGGATTGATGGTTTCATCTTCTTTTTGAGACAAATCAGTGACATTATCTTGCGACGTGACTAAATCAGCAGTATGGAGATGTTTGGTGTCCACAGTAGGCTCCACCTCGTCTGCCTCATGGTCAACAGTAGCATGCCTTGTGTCCAAATCATCCACTTTAGCAGTTGTAGCAATAGCTTCTGGCTCCTTGGTAACCTCGGGATGTTGCTCATTGCTTTCGTCAACTGCATCAGGTTTGCATACATCCTGGGTCTCAAACTCATCTTTTAAACCTTGCACCTCTACTACATGGGGCTTGTCATTTCCAAAAATAAGTGCAATTTCGCGCTCTGCACTTGCTTGACTATCACTGCCATGAGTCGCATTGTGCGATCCATCTGTACCAAAAAGCGCACGAATACTGCAGAACACAATATAAGCATTTTGTTGCACTAACTGCATAGTGTCATAGTCACCTGTTGGGCTCGACATCTCTTGCTTTGTTTGAGTTTGTAGGCCCCATGAGATGTCTCCAAGCTTGAACGGCATCTTGCTTCTCCAAAACCAACGCATAGATGGGTGAGCTATTTGTTTGAGAAGATTAGCTATGCTTGCATGCCGCTTTCAACATGTTGATGCAAATAGTATCTGTACACTGCCTCGAATGGTAGCACAGCTTGCATCACCTCATTGTATATACAACATTTACCTGCTCATCCAATTTGTAAGATCCTGATAGAATGGTTTCTCTTCATGCTCCTTGTAGAATAAGCCTACTTTCTCTTTGGAAAGTTGAATCTGTTGTTCCTGGACAATGCGAAATCCGTTCTCCTTGATCTTTTCAATGATTTCGTCTTTGTGTGCGGCTTGCATGGCATCAGGCTTAATCAAAGCTAATGTTCTGCTGGGTGATTCTGCTCGAGCATCATTCTGTAGCTGGCATTAATCATCCCTTTTTGTATATACATCCCCTTCTCCCTTCATTGCCTCTTACCTTGGTGATGCTGCTTACAGGTGTTTCATCTTGATGAACTGTGTCCGTAAATTCGAAATGGCGGTGAGACATGACCAATCACCCCTATGAAAATGCTTGATCTGCGTACCTTTTTCATGCTCTTGCTCTAAAGCTACAGCCGTAGATGGAATATCCTCTGACTAATGGTTGGGCGTTAATGTCAAACGTCCATCAAGATATATGTCTTCAAAAAATATGCCTTCAAAACTTACTGCTGCTGTAGCGGGTATCATTTCGTGCTCCAATGTTGACATGATCCTGATGTTTCTCGCTTTGTCAGTTTCACGGCTTTAGATTAGTGTACAAATGAGAAAGAAAAGAAAGAAAAAGAGTAAATTGCAAGGAAGAAGGGAGGGGTGATGTATTCCATCCTTGGGGCGCCTCTATATATTAGTTTTGAGAGGATAATAAAAGCATCCTTTCTGTTGAACCATGTATCACAATTAGCTTTGTGACGTAAAATCAATTCAGGTACAATCCACCTTGCATCGTGCTACCTTACTTTAAATCATCATGTAGCACATTCTTTCCACCAGCTAGGCACACGGCATTTGACTGAAATGGATCATTAAGTTAAAAAGAGTTTTATTATAATAGTACAAAAATTGGGTGAAATGAAAATTATGTATAAAAATGAAAGGGTTAGATAGTAGCTGCTTTTTTTTTACATGGTGTCCTTCTTTTCAGCATTGTACACAACAATGTTTTCTTCAGAGATCATGACATTTTCATTGGTAGTGGGTAAGTTTGGCACTCGCTTTCCAGTGATGTCTCGCCACATTTCTCTTGCCATGCTTGCAATGGTATGACGGGCCTCGTATATAGGATAGATGCCAACAGCAAACGTACTTATAAACACCCAAATAATAGAGACAACGACCCATCCAGTAAAGAAAGATTTGGAAAAGACATACTTGGAGAAGAACATGGGTAAGGGCCAAAGAACAAACAGGATCAAAGAGAGCGTTAGACTGGAGATTTTTGCGAAGCGGGAAGATTTGTTCATAGATTCAATTTCTTCCTGAGTATTGACCATCTTTTCATTGTGAGCAGCAGCAGCAGCGTTAGCATGAGGAGATACTTCATTGTTTGCTTCATGGAAATCGCCAGCGACTTGAGTAGAAACATCAGTATCATCCACTACCTCAATTTGACGGGTAGCATCGAAATTAAAGTTGTCAGGCTTTATGAGACTGATGATGACGGTGACAAAAATGGGAGAGATCAATGCAACGAGGTTACCAGACATCATGGGCATGTTTTGAGAAGTAGTCTCGATAGTAATGGTGCCATACATGCTCTTGGTAACAGCCAACCAGGTGCTCACTGCAGCGCAGAAACCAAAAATGGGGGACACGATGGCAGCCAACTTGGATTGCTTGCTCCAGAGCAAAGTCAGTGTTAATGGAACGACTGCAGAAGAAATCAAGACGCCCATCTACAATATGAATAGTAAGCTTTATCATGTCTCACCTGTGGAGATATGTGATGACTTACCAAGGTGTAAAGATAGCCAAGATTGATACCTGTCAAATTGAGTAGAACGGCGAGAACACCCATCAAGATACCAAAGCCAATGACACAAATATGAGAGAAGCGAACGACTTCTTTACCCTTGGCTTCAGGTCTGATGTATGTACGATAGATATCATATGTCAATACAGATGAAACAGCAATCAATTCAGCAGAGGAAGCACTAGTGACAGCCATGAATACGAGTACAAGACAGGCAAATCCGCCAGCTTTGCCCAGAAGAGCAACAGCAACATCAGGCAGAACCAACCCTTGGCTGATAGCAAAGGGAGTCAAATCAATATCAAGGGCTCTGCCGGCTAATCCCATGGTGGTGGCCAATGTGAATGGAATAGCAAACCATGATAAACCGCCAATAAGATAGGCTTTGACAGCGTATTGAGGATGGGCAGCAATGGCTCTTTGCCAGTAAGCCTATATACAATGTTAATGTCGTGCATCTTGTTGGTCATGGCGGACACTTACATTATCAACAAAGACTGTGCCAAAGTTACCAACAATGTTGATAATACCAAAGATGAGAGCTTGGAGGGATGACATGGTGACAAGAGAACCTTGCTCATTGTCAGCAATAGGGTTACGATCGGAAGCAGCTACCAAAAGGTCATACATGGTGCCAATAGATCCAATTTTGGGAGAGCTACCATAGACAGTGAAAACAAATGAAATGATGATAATAAAGATAACTACAGTATGGCTATAGAAGCGTTATGTTAGACATGTATGGTTTCATTCATGACCAAGCGACAACTCACGAGTAATCAGACATGAATGTCGCCTTGATACCACCAAACAAAGTATATACAATGACACCCAGAGGCAGTAAGAAACATACAGCAATTGTGTGCATACCAGTAAGATAGTTGACAACAGCACTACCGCCCAGCAGCAACATGGCAGTGACAATCTATAGTATTAATTTGAAATAAGCTAGTTTGACCTGGCTGATTTGCATTGTTACACTTACAATATTGGTAATCATGGAGAAAGTAAGATAGACAATATGAGCACCTTTTCCGTAACGGGCTAGCACAACTTCCAAGAAAGTATGAGCAGAGGGCGCCTTCTTTTTCAGTTCGATAGCGAGAACGGCAAACAACAACACCTGCACAACAGCGCCAGAGGCGTACCAGATGGGGCCCTGTAATGTCAAGTTTAATGTCAATGCTATGGCATCTCAAGGATAAATCAAACTTACAGAAACACCGTATTTATAAGCGACTTCAGTGCTAGTGAGTAAAGTGGCCTTTATGCATTGTGAATTAGTATTTATGGCTCAAATCAATGCTGTATTTATGCTTACAGCCCATGTCCATGAAGAGACAATGGCACTTGCAACAAGACCTGTTTTTACGGTACGTTGTGCTGTCATGTACATTTCAGATGTTTGAACTTCTTTCAGGTAGCGTTGACAGAGATAGGTAATGCCTGTCATCATAGCAGCAAATAAAGCTCCAAAACTATCAAATACTGCAATCAGTTGGTTGGCATCAAGTGTAGGCTATACTTAAAATTACCCTAATACCACGCCATAACCAGCGCCTATAACAGATCAAACTTTTGTTAACGTCAGAGGATTTGAAGGAATATCGTGTATACTACCTTGATCTAAGATGGCCATTTTTAATAGTGTGTATAATGAGAAAAGTATGCAAGAAAAGTATAATAATGCAACATGGATGAAAACAAGCAGTGTCTTTTTATATGAATTCACTGCAGATGTAATGCAGATCAGATCAGAGGAGCATGGTATTGATTGCTGATATACACAACCGAAAGCATTTGATAATTTGTTTTACTGATACAAACAAAGTCGTTATCTTGAGCAAGAGAGTCTTTGCTAGTGCCAACGATTCATAATTGAATGACTCTGTGATGTACCACTTTTTTTTTCTATCAGTTACACAATAGACAGGTATTCAAGATAAGCTGTATCCAAGTGTGATGCCTGTACGTGAGTGAGTCGCGATGGCTAGCCCAGTTGATAGTCAGCGATAAGATTACCTACAATAGCATGAATCATCTAGGCATTTTGATGAGACACAGACATTGATAAGATAAGTGGCTCCGCTCTTGTTCATGCCAACATGCCTCTCTACACGATGATGACTGATGCGATATTTTCACACCCACATCAGTTGAAAATTACACAAAAAGATAAAATTCTTGACTCTCGTTTCCATGGAACCTATTCATTGACCAAAAGATGTAGATATCATACAAAAGCTCTACAGCTTCTGAACATGTAGATCGGCAAACACATCATCTAAAGTAATCTTATCATAAAAATTGAGCTACCCTGTTAGCATAACAGGTGTGGATGATTTGCCTGGTTGACTATTGTTCGCTCCGTCCGGATGTTCCACAACGTAAGAAAAAAAGTTGCAATGATAACCTTTAGAAAACAAATGAAAGATAATCTTGGTACCTGATTATGATAGAATAGATACTAGATGCAAGCCTGGAAAATATTTGGTATTGTTGAGGCTGCTGTAGAGTTTTAGCGTATTGGCATCAGAATGAGATGCCTCGGCATTGCTCTGATTCATGTTCATTGAATCTGACTTCTTCTGTAGAATTCGTCTGTTTGACAGAGGAAAGTTTTCGCTTGCACAACTCGCAAGTCCCTCAAAGTTGTTTTGGAATTACAATAGAAGGAGGAGTCGTGTATGACAATGATGCTTGATTTGGTATTCAACTGATATGACGGATTCCTGATATCTTCAGCATTGTGAACAGCTTAGTGGTTTGCTGCCTACGTTTCACACAATTTCAATTCATCTCATTTTGCAATTTTAGAGGTTCAATCTCCAATTGGTGTGGCTCGATCGCTGTTCCAGGGTTAAGCATCTAGTGGCACTCGACTATTGTCCTTGAATGAACAAACGAGCCTTTTAACATCAAGTATGGCAATTTTACATTCATTGTTTTTTGTTATGGCAGTTTTGTCCTGTTACCTTAAGCTCCAAGTATATAATTTCATCACATCAAGGATGGCATCACTGCCAACAACGGTCATCAGCCAAAATTTCCTGAAGCTTCGGTAGTTGTTTAGGCACATGCCTTGAATCTTGCGAGCATAATGCCTGGCATCTGCCACCCATCATCGTCATCATTATATATACTAGAAATCAGTATATATATACTGGAAAACTTGAATACAAAAACGTCGTCGTAGCCAATTAGAGATTAAAAGCTCTTCTCCCAAGAACATAACGCATCTAATTCAAGTGATTTCTTGCCTGCTATTTGGCTGTGGATTGAGTGATTTGTGGTTTCTAGGCAACACTTGGTAACATTGACCTTAAGAAGGTTTTACCGTAGCGAAGCAAAGGTGTAAAACTATAGTGTTCAAGCAGCAAATTCGGTTTCATATTTCCATTATTTTCAAGTATATCAACTACAAAACGCGTCAAAATTTGTATGGATTAATCTTACCAAAATCAATATACCTTCTATTCGAATTAGAAGTTGCACAGGCTGCAGAACTGCCCTTCCAGAAGATTTCAGCTATCAAGGGTATGATTTTATGCCGTGTAAATAAAAGTCATAAAGCAAAAATACAACCAAATTGGACAGTTTTCAGGCGTTCATATCTTGGCATGTAGACCTTCCTGAGCCACCGGAATAATGCCAAACAATTGTACTCGAGTAGTAGTAACTTCCTGATACCTTTGCTCAACTTTTTGGGTCAAAAAAAAACATGGCCAAAAATCGACCAAAAAGCATGAGGTACCCCTCATGGTTTTCACCGAAAATCAAACAATCGCGTTTTTTACCTTGAAAATGAAGACTTTTACTATGGTATATCTTGAATCAAAATGTTTCTCTTGATTCAAAGCAGCTTCCGGAATTCCTTTTATGAGGCTTTCATATGTAAAATATGGCTATTTTCGCTAAAAACCTCATTTCAAATTTTACCAAATTGCTCAATAAGCTCATTCAAAATACCTGTTACAATCAGCATCATTAAAAACACCCTGAAAAGCACTTCTAGGATGTATTAAGAAGCGTAGGGTGATCATCACAGTCTATATAGTCAAACGTCGCAAAATAGATTTTAGAAGTCGAAGAATGACAAAATCCGTCCAATCTTGAACAGAAAAATATAAGCTGAGTTTGAATCTATTTTGGCGGCGGCGGCATTGCTGCTGGCTGACCTAAATGCCTTTCTGTTGATGACAATGATGATTGCGATGCTGATTAAATGGGAACCATAGAATTGAAAGGACAATTGCTTGGCTCGAATACTTTTTTAAGAGCTTTTTTTCCTATAAAGATGTCTTTTTCAATGACAATATTTCAAAAAATCGCTGTAGAACTTACACAAGTCCTGTATTTACGCATGGCCAGCTCTATGTCGCCATCTCAAGAGCAACATCAGCAAATGGGCACCTCTCCTCCTGATTCTGATATATTCTTTCTTTTATTATTAATCAACTGTTTAAATTTCATTTGATATACCAGAGTCTTATTATTTCTGTTTTGAAATGTCTTCAGCAAGAGCATTCTATCACTCAAATATCAGCGCATATTTGGTCTGCGTTATACATATTGAAAATGGGAATGATGGATAGTTGACGCACAGATGGACGCCAAAATGAATTGCTTTATCGAAAAACAAATGGATTAATCTTATATTTTTCGAGTAACGTACCATTCAGTGTAGCCTGCAATAATTGCTATCAGCCTGCGAAATGCTTGAATTCAGGAATATTGAAAAGCTTAATTCAAACTTCATTCGCTAGAGCAAGTTTATTAGGAATCTGAATCAGTTAGTAGTAAACGTTCTAATTGTATTACGCTCAGAGATGCTTCGTTCATCTTTGGAGAATGAGATATGCCAAGGTCAAGGTGCTTGATTTCATTATGAAATATATGCGAAGTCTTCATCACCTTAATATCCAATTGAGAGATCTGATTATTCGTCATTGTTTATATTCTTCTCGGCTTTAAAGATTGGATAGTACATATATTGGCCATAAATACTGTTTTGGGTAAATTTAGCGTACTTCTGTGACCAAGCCCCTTTGAATTGCTCTTATAGCCATCTGCTGATATCATACTTTCTTTCGATAGACGAATAGTGCTCGTATGGTCAGCACTGCTGATGCTGCTCTCGTGTGTCTATAAATGACATCCAATGAGTGTGTTGTGACCCACGTTCTTATAATAGCTGTTAATGTATACACAGCACACTTTACCGTCAGATGAGTTGCAGGGGAGGAGAAGGATATTTCTGATTTAGGCAAGGACCCAATAGGGTGAATCAATGTTTTATTATAGCTGCTTTCAAAGGTAATTGCAATGTGTGTTACCATGAATTGCATGCAAAAATGGGAATCTTTTGAGTCATAATTCTACCTGATTTGCCCGCCTCAATGGAACAAGGCCATCGTAAGGTTGGTTCGGACGAAGAAAACGAATGATCATTATACGCTACGTGAGAAAACAAACAATGTAACAAACAAAGGGCTATATGGTAATAATCACAAATCACTTTTATTTGTACATCAACTATGGAAGGATAATCAGTCTCATTTTTTTACTTATTGGATGTTTACTGATAATACATTTCATCTTGACTGCTCCATCTATGTTGCATGTATGGACATCTCCTTTGTGGATGATATTGATGGCGATCATGAAGGATATCGCTATTGCTTCGAGTCAGTGATGAGGGTGCAGCCGCGAGGTTGCTACCACTTTGGCTTCTTCTAATGTATTGATTTTGTCGATCGCCATAATCATACTCTATCTGCTCCTTCTCATCATCATTGTAGAGAGATGAAGCGGAACTGTATAACGTTGATTCTGTCGCCGAGGAGCTGTCTTGATGTCTAACCCTGCTACTGTAGTGAGGTTGATGGTTGTTCTCGAGAGGACAAGAGGATGTCAGATGCACACATATTGAGTATGGCATTGACTGATGGTGTGGCATGGGTGGAAAGTGCATTGGATGAGGTGGAGGTGGAGGTGGACCCATCATGAGATAAGGGTCATAGCAGCCGCCATAAGAGCCATACCAAGGCTGTAGTGGTGGATGAGGAGGGGAGCTCAACATGAATCGATTGTCCGGCAACATCATGGTTGGAAACCCTCTTGCAGTGGCAGTAGTAGCATGAGTTCTATTTTTAAGGTTGCATAAAACTCTTTTGGTACGCTGAGATATAAGCCTGCAACGAGCAAGAAGAGGTAGCTTCTTGTGCTGCGTTTGTTCATTATTGAAGGGATCAAATGGTTGGGCAAGTAGCATTTTTTTTTGTTTTTTTACAATGTAGAATGAAGGGTAAAAAAAAAAAAAAAAAAAAAAAAAAAAAAAAAGAAAGAGAGCATAGAAAATCACACTCTTTTATAGTGTTTTATTTGTTTGTTTTGTTTTCCTAAAGCATTACCAATCCAACCTTGTGTCTAGCAACATCAGGACATTTCCAATTGTACAAATAGTAGTTCAAATAGCCATCGCCATTACCGAATTTTTGTTCTTGGACAAACTTTGCATTGTCCATCAAATCAAGTGTATTTACAACATCAAAATCAGCCTGTAAAGTTGTATTAGATAAGAGCACTTTTATCCACACGAATCAAACTAACCTTTTTAGCCAATACCAAAGCATCACCCACTAATTCATTCAATCTCTTTGTGATGAACTTGTCCTTTTGTACGTCACTTAGTTCATCATCGACTTGCACAGCATAGTAGAACATATAAGCAGCGTTCAATGTCGAGTGTTTGGGATTACCAATGACTGAACTGGGAAGCGAATAGAAGGAGAAGAAGTCGGTGATCTTCTTTTCTGAATCCTCAACAACATAACTCCAAACAACCTTATCATGAGGCAAGATCCAATGTTTGACATCTTCGTCTGTTTCAAAAACAGGAGCGAAATCAAATCTCTGCAGGTATTTGTTCAACAATACACGCACTTGAGATGCATCTTCTGGGCGCATTTCTCTCAATCCAACAGTGCTCGTCTTTTCAGGTACTTTGTAGCTCTTCACCATACGAGAAAGAGTGGATTTTTGGGGAATACGTGAGAAATTGCATTCGACGAGTTTCTTTGGGTTGAGCGATCTATGGTAATAACTGCAATATCATGTGTTTCAGTATGTTTGCGTGAGGTGATTTTTTTTTTCAAACAACACTAACCGACATGTGGAGACAGGCTTGGGAAGAACGGCACCGGCAGTATAAGTAGCTTGGAACACGCCTTCAAGATGACTTCTACGGGTAATTTCCTTGATAAGAACAGGAGCTAAACGCTTTGATCTGAGCTTCTTATGAACACACAAAAAGTTGATTTCTGTCAATTTGTGGACACTATAGAACAAGAATTAGAACAATGAAATGAGTCTGATTTGGATGTAATATTTACACATCATATGTTCTCATTGCAACGGGAACACCACTGATGAAAGCGACCAATTTCTTATTGGAGGCAACACGGACACCAATTAACCATGATTTCTTTTGGTTGGGAGGCAAAAGAGCCCTTTTATCAACAGTGTTAGTATGGATCACCCCACTCCTTTTGTCTCTTGCCAATACGTTACCATTTCAAGAACTCTGCAGAATAATCAAATCTGAATTGCGCATCGTCGTCTTCGACATAGTTCATGGTCAACAGTTCATACAACTCCTTGACTTGCTTGTCATCCTCCATATCAATCTCACAAAACTCAAACTCCTTGGGCAAAGGGATAGGCTCTTTTCTAATTTGGTCGTAGGGAGTGTCAGGTTCAACGGGTCCTGATTCAGCAATGTTTTCATCTGCCCAGTTTCGCATTAGAACCAAGGTACCAGCACATTCACTCACAAAACTTACCATAGCGAGGCACAGGTTGAGTCTTCCAAAATTGATGATCTCCCATATCCTTTTTACCACTAGTCTTGACCTTACCAGCTCTTTCCAGTAAGGCCATGCTCTCCATCATTTGTCGAAGTTGTGCCTTCATGGCTTCGGTTTGTTCAGCTTCGTTGCTTCCACTGGCAGCGACAGCAGCAGATGGATTCTTCATCAATTGCTTGACCTTCTTGCTGGAAACAAGCTTATCGACTTTCTTTGCGAGATCTTGCAACTCTTTCTCGGTAGGTTGTTTATCGTCAGACATTACTGTAAAGTTATTGGAAACACGTAAGAGAAGAGAATCAACCGAGAAAAAATGTGTTGGGATGCCATTGCATTCAGGCATTTGAAACTCCATATCATTGAAATGTGACTCCTTGGAAGGCCAAAGAATCACTAAAGAGTAGCCTTGAGATCAATAAGTGTCCTGGAAATGATATCATCATCGTGGCATGCATCGGGAACACAGGCAGGAAATGCAAAGCAATATCTTTGGAGGGCTTATTATTAATCAAGATGCACAGATCTATTGGTGTTAAAATGTAGTATGGCTAATCTTTGATCCTTCGTAGACGATGATTGTATCTCGGACCAAAATTCATTTTAAAACAGGCTGCTCAGCACATCCGGTAAATAGTTCATTCATCGTTGCTAGGGCAGCATTAGTAAGCAGGGATATGCACAGATATTGCCATTTTGGATTGGCAATGTAGAGCTTACAACAGTAAAAAGGTGGATCGACATTCATTAGCTTTATTTGCTGCGCAGATTCCATGGAAAGACTTGATCCATGTCAATATTGCGGTACAATGCCCAATTTGAGTAGCGGCGACCCTGTTCAATAGCATTAAATCGCTCAAGAAACAGGCCACTTTTTTAGACAAATCGTTTATTACTGCAGCCGGACCGGACCCAACCCATAAATGTGAATAGAATACCCTGGAGAAGGAGGGGTTTAAGGTGCGGAGAAACACTATAAAAGCTCTAAAGGGCTCATACATTTCATGCTTTTCCTTTTTTCATACTTTTTCTTAATAAAAAATTACACAACACAATGTCTGGAAAGAACTTAACAGCAGAACAAGAGAAAACTAGTGAGAGAATCATGTTGGAGAGTGGTCTTAAGGGTGCTGCCATTGGTCTTGGTATTGGTGCCCTTGCTACTGTCATGACATTTCGCAGATCTCCCGAATTCAGAGCATTGAGCAGACCTCTGCAATCATTGATGACTGTCTCAAGTAATGTATTGTGTACAGGTGTCTGTTGCATCAACAATACTAACATCTGCTTATAGCCACTACCGCTGGTTTCCTATTTGCATCTGATAAAGCTGTTACAGAATATGAGAACCGTGAGCTTGGTTATACTGACGAGGAAATGATCGGTCAGCTAGGACAACAACGTATTCCCGATGAGCATTTGTCTACTATCGACAGATCATTACGTTATCTTAACGACAATCGTTGGTCATTTATCGGTAAGTTGATTATTTTAGCGTTGATTGCGAGTATATGTGTGTGTGATGTGCGATTATTGATGTAATCATGATCTAGGCTTTTCATGGGCTGCATCTATGGTTGGTGCTCTCGGCTATAGTTTCTCCAATAAGTATCTTACAACCCAACAAAAGGTTGTTCAAGCACGTATGTATGCTCAAGCCGTTACCATTGCTGTTTTGATGGCCTCTGCTGGTTTGTCTATCTATGTTGGCGATGATGACAAACCCCGTAAAGAGCAACCTGATGCTCAATTAAGAGCTGTTCTTTCTCTCCCTGAATCCATTTCACCAAAGTCTGAGTCCAAGATGGTGAAGCAAACCTCATCAGAATAGATGATTCATATTCACACTGTATTTCCTCTTTTCTGTCGCTCTTTTTTTTATATATTTTACATAGACCCATTCAAAAAAAAAATCAATAAAATTGAACAGCGGAATCAGCCGCCTGAAACCAAATACCTCTTTTTGCCTTGAACAGCCATTCCGATTTGGTATGTCAAACGTCGTAGGGATGCTTTGCTATAATACTCCCAAATGCGATTGCTCTGTTGTTGGCCAGCAATGTCATGTAATGATTCTGCTCTTATGGCACATGGCTTTCATCTTGCAGAATCTCGACATTAATCTTTGTAATGCCAACATCTGGCTCCGTCTCCCATTGTTGTGCGACAGCTTTTCCAAGACCAGCGCAGCTTCCTCGCTCCAGCAGGCAATGTCTAGCCTCATCATGGTCACAAAAGACCTCTCCTGTACGTCATCAGACGAGAAAAAGATTTTTTGATGTGTCTGTCTATTCAATTTGAAGGCAACATTGTGTGTCTGCTTCAAAGAAAATCAGCAGAGCGCGCGTAAAAGCAGTTTTCTTCTTTTTTCCCTACTATATTCACTAAATTGAGCTTGCAATCATGTTTTGTGCTAGTAAGTCATAATTGACATTGAACCAACTGGATCCTCATATCATCATTTAGTTTCTGGAGAGGCACCTAAACACCCTGTCGTCTCGGTGAAGTCTGGAAGCATATTTGAAAAGAGTTTGATTGAGAAATACATTGCTGAAAATGGCAGAGATCCCACCAACAATGAAGAAATGACTGCAGATGATTTAATCGAAATCAAGTCAAGTAAGTTGATCTGTCAATTGTACATCTGTTACGCGTTGTTTAATAGCCATTATTAGCTCCCGAGACCGTAAAGCCTCGTCCCCCTAAGTTGTCTTCTGTTCCTTCTATCTTGTCTTCGCTTCAAGATGAATGGGATAGTGTCATGCTCGAATCCTTCACTCTGAAACAACAATATCAACAAGTGCGTCAAGAACTATCCCATGCTTTGTATCAAAATGATGCTGCCACCAGAGTCATTGCTCGTTTGAAGAAGGAGCGTGATTCTGCCAGAGAGTAAGAGCTTCCTATCATTATGTATATAACAATCAACTAACTTGTAGTTTAGAGCACTCGCCAATGTCACAGCTCATTTGGGTGCCAGTGCTCCTGCTGCTGCTCCTGCTGCTCCTGCTGCTGAGGAATCAATGGATGTTGATGCTGGTGCATTCCCTGAAGAAGTCGTTGAGAAGATGGATAAGACTAGCGCCGAGTACGAAAACAATGTCATTCTTGTTAATTCATTCCATATCTAACTTTTGCTGTATAGGCTTTCTGCTAATCGTCGTAACAAGAAGAAGCCTCCAGTAGAATTCGCATCAATTGATTCAGTCAAAGGCTATACAAATATTTCTACTATTCCCTCGCTTCATTCAGCTCGTTCAGCCGGTATCACAGCAATGGACGTCAATGGCGATTTCATTTTGACAGGTGGTAACGACAAACATGTTCAAGTATACAACAAAGCAGAAGACAAGGTGGTTGCCAACCTTGCTGGCCACACAAAGAAAGTTACCGCTGTCAAATATAGAGGCCATGCCACACCTGATGATATCTGTTTGAGTGCCAGTGCTGATAAGCATGTTCGTGTTTGGGTTGCTGATGAAAAGAAGGGTTACAAGCTGGGTCACAACATCAATGCTCACAAGAGTGATGCCACAGACATTGATGTGCATCCCAGCAAAGATTACTTTGTCAGTGCAGGTTTGGATAGCAAATGGTCATTCTACGATTTCGAGACTGCAAAGCCAATTGTGGAGACATACAACACTGAAGGTGAAAATGGCTATACTACAATTGCATTCCATCCTGATGGTATGATCCTTGGTGCTGGTACTACAGACTCTGTGGTTCAAATCTGGGATGTCAAATCTCAAAAGATTGCTGCCAACTTCGGCGATCATGCTGGAAAGATCAATGCTCTCGCTTTTTCAGAAAATGGTTATATTTTGGCTACTGCCTCAGAGGATAATCTCGTCAAGATCTGGGATCTTCGTAAGTTGAGCAACACAAAGACATTCACTCTGGACGAAGGTTATAAGGTCGAATCTCTTGCTTTTGATGATTACGGGCAATACCTTGCTATTGGTGGTAATGATGTTCGTGTCTTAAGAGCCAAGGATGGTTCTTCTATTGCTACTTTCAGCGATAACACTGCTGCTATCACTGGCTTACATTGGAATCCTCTCGCACAAGGTTTAATCACCTCTAGTTTAGATCGCAATGTTCGCTCTTACGGTGCTGCTGCTTAACTTGCTTGTTATTGAAAATAAAAATGATTCGTATATAAATAATGATTACAACAAAATTCGCTTTCAGTCAGTCTCAAAACTCAATTTCAACAACCTGCTTCTTTTTAGACTAGCTGATTGTTTCATCGTTTGAATTCTTTGCTTGTCTGAACACTCACTCATCAAAGTACATCTCTAGTGCCAGCTATTGTTACAATAAACTACTTGATACATACGCCTGCTATTTCTATTGGCATGTGCACTTGGTGAATGGAGTCTTTCCACTCTAAAACGATTGACAATAATGCAAGGATGTTTGTACTGTTATAACGATTACACTAGTAAAACGCGAAACATTGTTGATTTATTGCCATAACGCAGTGCTGATGCAATTTCATTCATGTACGATGGATTGGTATAATGCTGGTAACAGGTAATAATCGCATAACACTGTAATGTTTAAGTCTTCTGAATTATTCATGAAAAGTGTTATGTCAAAATACAATGTAAAATTGAATCTGCCAAAGAATTACACTTTTATTGAGAATGCATCCCAAGGATGCATTTATATACTTTCCATTATGCTAGGGTTTACAGCATGATGATGAACTATAATACAAATAGGTTTACTATCTACCCAACAATTGATTTGTAAATTATGATTAGCATGATTTACCCAAAGGACCTAAGAATAGCCTAAAACCTTTAGTGTGAGACCTTGCTATGACATTTGATATAACAAAAAGGTTCTTAGTCGTAATGCGAATCATGGATAAGTAAACGAATATTTGGCAACAGGATCAATTCAGCCAGTTATTACGACACTCTAGTATCTTTAAATTCTAATCACAATAAAACGAATTGATAACAATGACGTTGAATCAGTTGTCAACAATTTCTGAACTATACAGATTAACACATCAATTACTATGCTTCCTTTTTATTACAACATGATGATGCCTTCTTTTCGTACGATATGAATCAAAATTGGGTCTACCTCATATATAGACAGTTGATATTCTAGCAATGCACACGTTGGCAATCAATTGTCTTGAAATACTTGTTATCTAGTAGGCCAACCTACAAATGGCCTGCCTTGTTGAGGCTTATTATTACCTCAAGAAAACTCCAAAAACCAACATTTCACCGAACTTAACCCCAAAAAGGAAATATTTTTAAACCAAGCAACTAAATTCAAACTCCTATATCCAACTCCGTTACAATTTGGAACACCGCTACTGCCAAGATGACGATGACGCAAGCCAAATTTGCGTAGCTAGCATGGTTATTGAGAAATTGGTGATTTTAGAAATTGGTGTATTTTGAGTAGATGCTACTAATAAAACTTTTTGGATTACCATATAAATGTATACTTTATATATAGTGAACGTTGTAGAGGGTAATTTGTCTGACTAGGCAATGCTTCATGTGGGGTTATAGATGGTAATGTGGATGAGTACTGAGGAAAAATAAAGAAAATGGTCAATTTTCAAGGAGCTGTACCGCTGGGTTTTATTAAGTGAACGAAAGCTTCAAGCTTAGTAGCTTCTGCTTCTCTTTCAATTTTCTATACGGTGGTATAGTTTTTATAGAGAAACAAAAAAAAGTTCAAAATCCTCTGCTTGTAGCTCGTAAAATATATGATTTTGAGCAAATTTATGAAGGGAACGTACGTCTGGTACTTAAAACCCTTATGTTATAATGGATATAACATAGAGCTATCGAATGGTCTTTGATTTGCGCGAATCCAGTGAGTATTTGTCGAGATATGGTAAAAAAGGGGTATCATGCAAAATCATGAACTTTTGTTCAAAATCTACGCGTGATAGCAAGCAAAAGATCTGGTGACGATTTTTTAGTCTGGACAAGATTGTCAATATTTCATGATAGAGTTATGCCAGAGCTTCAAGCAATAGCTCATTCGATAGAAATTTTTTTGGTCTACAATTTGTTATTTAGACCTGAAGAACAAAATAGGAAATGTTATTATGCTAGAATCTTCTTGAAGCTTTATTTCGAGCGATTTCAAAGAATATATAAAGACAATCAAAATCTAATCTATATCATTAATCGAGTTAAGCTCGGTCAAAAAAATAAAGAAGGGTGGGCAAATAAAGAAAACAATGAAGAGAAGGGTGGGATAATAACATTTCCTATTTTGTTCTTCAGGTCTAAATAACAATTCTAGGTCGAAAGAAATTTCTCGCAAGAATTTCTTGAGACTGTCAGAACAAAATAGGAAATGTTATTATGCTAATCCAGAGTACCAAAGGAGTCATTTGCATCAAAGAATTCATCCTGGCTAGACAGAACCGTAGAGGTGAAGTCCACTTGCGCCATTTGGTTACGTTGGTAATGACGAACAAAGGTCTCCGAAGAAGCCCAGTTTCCAAGAGCCACGATATTATCCCGGGAGATACCACTATCTAAGGCGCGAGAGGAAGCCAGAGAACGAACAGAAACATTTGATTCAGACGTGCAAAGTTGAATGAACTCTCTATGCAACCATGACGGGATGGCTGATGACGAGAGAGGTTGATTAATGAGATGGGACTTAACAAAGAGCTGTGAACCAGAAGGGCGAGAGGCCAGACCAGGATGGTCTCGAAGAGCCTTGAAACATTGTACCGGACACAGTTCGATATCGGATGCATGAGGATGGACCGTAAAGGGCTTGATGATGCGTCGTTTACCTCTAGTTTCTTTGGGAGCGACGGCGTGGAAAGAGAGGCAACCAGTATCCGTAATGGAACATGATGCAAAAGGAATACGAGCCAAATTCGAAGGACGTAGGAAAGCTGCCATTGTTAGAAGGAACGCCAATTTCTGTTGTAACCGTTTGATGGAAGTGGTCGTTCGAGAAGGGATAGATTGATCGAAGGCAACTGCTGGAGTAATGTCAATAGTGGGCCGATGGATGTTGACAGGAGATGCCTCTCTCATCATGGAATCTATGATGTAGTTGTTAATAATATTACATTCTCGAATACCGTTACGGCCCTCATGAAGATGAGATACTGCCGCTCGTAGCGTTTTGAGTGCCGAGGCTTGTAGATTATGACGAGTTCTCATGTCAGCCAAGAAGTTGACTAGTTGTGCCGGTGTAAATGTCGTAAAGGGAACGTTGTGCTGCATAGCCCATTCCAGGAAGCGTAATTGATTCTTGCGATATCCCAAGTTGGTACCAGTAGGGGCCAGTCGCTGTTGTAGCATGTCCCCAACCGCTTGTGCATTGAGGCCTGTCTTCACCAATTGTTCCCGGATAATAGCCACACGGAGAGCATCCAATTCTGATGTAGTAACGGATGGGGCGTCCTGGGGGAGGTTGTTTGTACCGCTTGTGGTAACAGCATCCATGGGGGAGATAGAGCCATTCGTTGAACCTTAGGGAACCAGAGAGCACTGGGCCAGTAGGGCACCACCAGAGTCACCAACGGAAGACGTTCCTGTCTGATCTTGTTCAAAACCCGTGAGATGAGATTCCAGGGAGGATTTGCGTAGGGATTCTGGAAGTGGGTCCATGGGAAGGACAGAGCATCCGTGTAGAGAGCTTCCGGATCCGACATCCACGACACGTAGTTTGGTAATAACTTTGTCGTCCTGTCTGCGAAGAGATCTATACTGAATGGGCCCCAGTGTTGTTGAATCTGTTGAAATACTTGCGGTCGGATCATCCATTGATTCTTGAAAAACTGACGGCGAGACTCGAAGTCGGCTATCTTGTTCTGTAGGCCTTGTATGTGTTGCGCTTGAATCATGATCTTGTGTTGAAGACACCATGTTCAAACCTCTGTAGCCAGTTCTAGTAAAGGAAGAGAACGAGTGCCACCTTGTTTGTTGATATAAGATAGGCTGGTGGTGTTGTCCGTGCGTATCAACACTGTTGAGTTCGGTGGAGGATGAAATGTCTTGAGAGCCAAATGGGCTGCTTTCAACTCTCGCCAATTGATCGACTGTGCTGCCTCCTGCGCGGTCTAATAGCCGTGTGCACGGTGATGTTTCCAGGAGCATCCCCATCCCGTATTGCTGGCATCCACAAACATGGTTTGGTTGGGTGTAGAGGGAAGCAGAGACCGACCGTCCCATTTGCTGATGTTCTGATACCGCCACTGTAGTTCCTCCAAGCTCGCTTGGTCTAGAGGCCGAGGTTTGTCCCAATCCATATCTGACCGCACCGTCTGGTTCTTGTAGTAAAGAAGGTGACGAGTATACAGGCGAGCTGGAAATATCGCAAACGCTGCTGATTGTATTCGCATGGTCAAGCTGTGTATGACTCTGGGAGACTGACGGTGAGGCTTGTCCAGAACCTGCTTGATGGATCGACGAATATCCCTCAGTTTGCTTGCTGGTAGAATTGCCGTCATAGACCGGGTATTCAAGACAAAGCCTAGGTGTTCGAGTTGTTGTGTAGGAGTAAGAACTGACTTCTTGTAGTTGATGAGCCATCCAAGGTCTTCTAAGAGAGATACCACCTGACGAGTCTGAGCCTCTACCTGCTGTCTTGAGTTGGCAATCAAAAGCCAGTCGTCTAAGTATGTTGAGATCCTGAAGCCGCGAGAGCGCAAGTGTTCTAAGATGGGCCTGCAGACTTTGGTGAACACAAAGGGGCTGGAAGACAAACCAAAGGCGGTCGTACAGTACTGGTAGACTTGAATTCTCCATTTGAGACGTAAGAAGCGTCGGGACTCTGGATGGAGACATACATAGAGAAATGCATCTGACAGATCGATTGAAACTAGGTAATCGTTCGGTTTGATCATTAACGATACTTCCTTGATGGTTTCCATTTTGAAGTGAGGAGCCTCGAGAAACTGGTTGAGCCGTTTGAGGTTGAAGACCGGGCGGACACCACCATTCTTCTTTGGGATCACGAACATGGAGCTGTAGAAGCCTGGTTGCTGTTGCACTTGTTGAGGCGAGACCGGTTCGATTGCTGATTTGGCTAGGAGATCTTGAATTGCTTGGTTGATAAGGGTTGCTTGTTCTGCTGAAAAGGGAGTGATGGATGTTGGTGTGGTAGTTGTTGGCGGTGTTGTGTGGAATGGAATGTAGTAACCGTGTTGAACAGTGTTTAAAACGAATGAATTTTTGGTGATATTGGTCCAGTGTTGAAAGTACTTGCTGAGCCGACTTCCTACTGGGTCGGATGTGGATGGTGTTGCTGTTGTTGCTGTTACTGACGAAAAGGGTTGTTGTTTTTCTTGTTTTGCTGGAAACTGTTGTTGTTGTTGTTGGTCTTGCTGTTGTGGTTGTTGTTGGCATTGTTGTTGTAGCTGTTGTTGTTGTTGAAGTTGCTGTAGTTGTTGGTGTTGTTGTTGAAACCACCCTGCTGCGAGGGTGGACCTGATCGAAAAAACGATGGGTCTAGTCCATTAGAAGAAGAACCAGAGTTAGAAGGGTTACGCGCAAAGCGACGTGGCTTACGAGTTACAGTAGCCTCACGAGTTGCCTTCATAGCAGCATGTTGTTGAACAAGAGTTTGCTGGAACTCATTCAAGGGAAGAGTATAATTGACTTCAGAAGTGTTGTTCAAACGGTAGGGGGGGTTGTGAGCACGAAGGGCAATATTAGTACGCTGTTGAGTCATCATGGAGCAAACATGTAAGAGGAGACGACGAGTGTCCCGTAGCATGACACTGTAACGTTCCATGTTGGGATTGCCGCTTTCATATGTAAACATCTCGTTAGTAAGGATGTCCAATGGACGGAAAGCGGCCGACAAGAGGTACTGGAGTTGTTTGATAGCAGTATCCTGGTACTTCTGTCCACGATTCATCAGACGTTCAGCTGAAGGAATGGTATTGGGGGCGTTATAATCAAGATGGGCCATAGGAGGGTAGGCTTCAATAATAGCCTTGCGTTCAGATTCAGGTAAAGGCTTGGCATTGTGGATAGGTGTATCCAACTACATGAGTTCCATTAAGGCATCGGAGGGAGACCAATCGTAGTGGGGCGAGTCTCGACAGAGTGAATGTGAGGTACGGCAGCACTTGCACCTGGCTGCATCGGAGTAGGCATTGCAGTGTCATCGGCTGACTGCATTGGTGTGGGGCCTGAAGTTGTTTCAATTTGGGCTTGAAGTGTGGCCAGTTGTTGTTGGAGGGCTAAGACTTGTTCCTCGAGTGTAGACATGATTGAAATGTGAATAAATTTGTGAAATTTGAGACTTTATAAACTAAAATTAACGGAAAAAAAGAATAAAGAAACAGTAATGTCAACTTGATAAAGGTATGTTTTATTATCAAACTGACAGGTGTAAAGTAAACTGAAGTCTCTCTACTGGCCAGGTAGATGATCCTTCTTATATACTATAACAATGGATAAAAGTTCTATTAATTAGATTAACAAATAAGTCAACTCAGATCAACTAATGTCTAATCATGCTAAAAGACAACTCCAGCAAGCTAATCATGATTTAGCTCTATCTGGATGAATAATTAGACTCTCATCCGAAGTACCCTGATCTATCCTTTCTATAAGGATAATTAATATCGATCTAGTAGCATGTATCCGATAGGTACAGTCTTCTTAGTCTATATTAATAGTACATATCTGAGTGTATATCGCTAAGCATACATCTTTAGCATGTATCTGGATATATGGCATGTCTATAGCATATCGTATGCATGTCTATAGCATGTCTATAGCATGTCTCATATATAGTACAAGTCTGTAGTACATAATAAAGTATCTGTAGCTAGTATCACGGATATAAGCATGTGTCTTATAGCGTGGATCATGAAGTGCACATCTGAAGCAACAAGCTCATATTGCATTAATCTTGGTGCCTATCCAGATATGGTAAACATCCGTAGTCAATGTCGGAATACAAATATAAGTCTATAGTGCCATCCATGTCCGTGGTGCCATCTATAGCCTATATCTTATATAGTATGAATCTTATAGTACTAGCGTATCTGAAGTCCATATCTTCTTATAGTATAAATCGATATCGTACATCTAATCCAGTGTACATACAGTTTATATCTAAATTTGGTAACTGGAGGAACTGTCGGAATGCAGATCATAGTGGACGTATTCCACACTATATATTATCTGTGGATCTGATTCTTATGTAATGCTCTACATCCATATACACGTAGCTATTTCATATACGGGCTAAGAGCATACTGGTGTTTCTTCTTTTTAGCCCTTAGTGTCCCTTGATACAGCAAAATATGAATGCATTTGAGCTGCGTTTTCTCGCGTCCAAGGCCGTTTTAGATTGTCAAAATAGGACCAAACACTTGCTCTCGTCTGGCAGTTACTTCCTGATACCTTTGCTCAACTTTTTGGGGATCAAAAAAACATGAACAAAATCCGATCAAAAAGCATGAGGTACCCCTCATGGTTTTCATCAAAAACCAAACGATCGCGTTTTTCACCCTGAAAATGGAGACTTTTACTATGGTATATTTTGAATCAAAATGTTTCTATCGATCCAAAGCGACCTTTGAAATCATCTTTGTGGGACTTTGATATGTAAAATTTCGACATTTTGGCCAGAAACCTCTTTTCATATTTTCATAAATCATTTGTTAAGTTTATTCAAATCATCTATTTTACTTAGTACCATTGGATGCACCTTGAAAAGTACTCCAAGAAAGCTTAAGGAAGCATGGGGTGATCATCATATTTTACTTAGTCGAATCTGCAAAAATAGCTTAATCGAATTCAAAATCATCAAGATTTGTCCAATCTGGAACAAACTATGATTCTGGATTTGAATTAATTTTGGCTTGTGGGGCCAGCTGTCAAACTCAACGCCCTTTTCATACTGCAATACAGTATTAAATGCTCTTGAAGCGTATGAAAAGTAGGTGGTAGGCCATAAAGCTATCGTTTATAATGATATCTTATTGCATTCTATATCGTTCATAATGGCATCGTCTTGCATTCTATATTTAATAACGTTAGTCTGGATATTGACGATTCATGGGCTGCGTAAGATGTCTGCAGTAAGTAGTGAAATCTCTAAGGCTCCAAGACGTTGTTCAAATAAAACATTGACAGTATTGAGCAGAGGAAAGAGGGTAGAACTAACAGTGGTTTTTGTTGATTGATTGTAAAATCATTATTCTCATATGAGCCAGGCCTGACAGATGCCTTGAAACTCAGGTTCCATATTAGGGTTGTAAAGTGTCTAAGGACTGAACATTTATTATGTTGTGATGATATTAATTCTCGATTCAGGGCAACTTCTGAAACTATGTTGGTGAGACCTTGATATATAAAATCTCGACATTTTCGCCAAAAACGTCATTTCATAATTTCAGAAATTGCTCAACAAGTTCAATCAAAATATCTATTATACCCAACACAGTTGGATGCGCATTGAAAAGTTCTTCTAGATATCTTAAGGCTGTAAAGGATGATCACTACAACTTTCATAGTCGAATCTCGTAAAATAAGTCGATCGAGTTGCAAAAGGATCAAAAATCAACGAATCGTGACAGAAAGTCGAGCGGGATTGTAATCCGTTTTGGCTGGCTAAAAGAAGACTCTCCTTGATTGCTCAAAGCCCTATAATATAACAGCAATGATACCCACAGAAACGATTATAGAGAAAGCGAGACTCCTTCTCAAATGGATAGCGTACGCAACGTGAGACCCAAAAAGGACAGGCTGGTGACGTAGGAGGAGCGTAACATGATCCAAAGAAACAGAATAGCACACAGATAAAACTGATATTGCAGGTGAAGTTTAATTCAGAAACCTCTTTCTTTTGGAAATCCCACGGCCTTGTTTGATGAATTTCGCGATGTGTACTTTACTTAGAACCCTGAAAATAGTACCATTGGATTCCTCAAGCGATTTGCTTTCGAATGATGTACATACTTTCTAATAAAATATCCTCTCTTTGACCACAAATTGGCCATTTACTTGCTTATCTCTCTTCGATTCATGTCCTTTTGTTTACTTTACAAGTGATTTTTTTAAAGCTCAATTTTGCTTAGCAAATGAATTATTTTGATCTTGCATAATCCGAGTACCTTCTAAAAGAGGACGATTCCTAAAAAAAAATGATATGAAATGTGTTGACTCTTTATGAGATGCATGCTCTTGGCATAAGAACTAAAAACAGGTTGCAGGAATGATACACAAGAATGACCAACTCATTATGTAAATGTGGGCATATTGATGATATCTAGTAGCGCAAACACTTGATTGACATTATTGACTGCAACCATGATAGCTGGAAACAAGATGACTTGCACTGGTTCGAAAACAATTCATTATTTTCCATTCCATGGAGATAGCCGCAGTAATATTCATATGATACTCTTGCTTTCCGAGGTGTACGCTTGTCTCTTAATCCAGAATCAATTGTTGCACTGGCTCCAAGATGATGTAAGCAACAAGTAAGCCAACCTTATCATCCTGTATTGCCCAATTAGATGGAAAGTTTATGGCGAATACAAATAACAGAAGAGAAGGATCGGGAACTGTGTGATTTTGGAGAGAGAAATTAAGGGGAGGTAGAGAAAGATTACTTAATCAAGCAACCAGCTGCATTTGTTTCAGTGTCAAATGACATTTTTTGTTTACTTTCTGATGAGGCTGAGCCCGTGAGAAGTTGTCTGTTAATTACATCTAGGGAGAGATGGGGGAACTCGTTTCATGTGAAGATGGAAAAAGGGCTTTTTGAAGTAGCAAAATGGACATAACTCGAGACAGAAAACAGTTGAAAGCCTCGGACGAAGCGGATCAAATAGAGCAAGTGTCAAGCGTCAAAATGGTACTATTTTCACGCGCTAAAAGTAGTATATTGTGGAGAAAAGTAAAAGGAAACGAATTTGAGTGTGGCAAGGATACTAGACTCACACAAAAGTCGATGAGAAGGATATAAATAGGGATTTGTTTCAACAGCTTTTCCCTCTTCTTCTTCATCTCATCTCTCTACAACAAGCAAAATACTCTATACAAGCAAACTCACTACAAGACATTTGGGCTCTCTCTCTCTACATATGGTCATCTAAATCAAATACTCTACTGTCTATTGGCCTCTACTACTGCTACATACAATGCCTTACAAATCCATGGTCCTCTCTACGTCTCTTGGTCCATGCTAGAAAAAGGCCACACTATCTTTGATACATGCAGACCTTGGTGAACTGTGCGAGTAAGTTATTATCTTGTTGAACGTATGAGCCATGTTGACTAACCTATTGATTACATAGTGCCGAAAAACTACTTTGTAGGGACTGAGTAGGATCACCGCTTCATAATCGTGGGTAGACTGCAGGACAAATCCATTGGTCATGCTACGGGATGATCACAAGCTTTATTGCCGACGAGAGTAGGGTTTAACCCTATGATCCGGAGATGGAGGCGGCTTGAGCGTGTCGATGATCTTGTGATGGGTGAAGCAAGTTTACACCTTGGTACCTGTTTATATAGTGTTGGTTCCTTTTATTGATGGTCAGTTTTCTTTGCCCAAATGGTTTGTTACGCACTCATGCCACAGTACTTGTGTACTCATCTCATCTTTATCTAGTTACCTCTGCCATCTCATGTTCTATCTCATCTAAAGCAAGCTGTTCTTTCCAAATGCTATCAAGCCAGGTTCTCTGTGCCTCCTACAAGCTCCTAAAATGACAAGACTGTTCAAATATACCATCTCTACATCTATACAAGGTCAAGCCCTACTCTCATCTGTGCTTCCTACAAGCTCCTAAAATGACAAGACTGTTCAAATATATCATCTCTACATCTATACAAGGTCAAGCCCTACTCTCATCTGTGCTTCCTCTTACTCAATCAATTATCAAGACAATTAATGCCTGACATCTATACAAGGCCAAGCCGTTCTTATATCTCTGCTATCTCTATCTATACAAGTCAAAATAGCCTCAAAAATCTTAATCCATCAAGTATGGTGATCTCATAAACTCAAATACACATTAATAAAAAACAACCACGTCTTGTCATTAGCTTCAATATTATGCTCCTTTCTAATTGCATCTTGTTTCAATGCTTGTACTGTCCATTGATTGCTATGACCAATGTATTTTAAAGCCTGTACATAATTTAATCATATACATATAATTTAACGTCAAGAAATTTTGCCTGTATGTAATATCATAACATAATAAATTTATGGTCCCTAAACACTTTCAAAGCCTCAAAAA